AGGGAGAAGCGCCATGTTATATCCAATCTATGGACTCTAGTTAATCTTCTGGGCATCATAAGTGAAGTTGATAAGTTCCTCAAGACGGATGTCCTGTGCTTCTATTCGGTCAGATAGCGAGTCACATAAGTATTTCTTGCATGTTTTTTTCCATAGCATCATGGCCATGAAGCGAAAATCATATGTATACCCATCAACCTTGAATGCCCCAATTCCGCACACCAAATACCCGCGCGGAAATTTTGCGCTTTCCAACCAACCCCAATTCCGCCCTACTCATAAAGCAAAGAAACAGTCTCAATTGACGAGATAAAGATAGAAGATATAGAAGATACAGAACATATAGAAGATTCTCAAGGTCAGAACCAACTAGTCCAGGAAAAATCACGGATTAATTAAACAAATCATGAATCAACGGATTCAACTCCGGTCCCTACATCACCCCCCCACAAGCCGACGGAAGTATCAGGAGCAATGTGATATTAACCCGCCTTAACCCCGCCATATAAAACCCATATAAAGCCCCCATAACCTCGATATCCATGTCCCGACTCCTCACCCTCCACACCCTCAAAACAATGGCCCCTATCGAACGAATCACCCTCTTCAAGATCCCCAACGAGGCGGATCGCGACCGCGTGCTGGAGCAGTACAAGGTTCTTGCGAAGACCGCTACAAAGGTGCGTGCATGTTGTCTCTTACACAGTTCTGGTCCTGTTTAGTCTGCGCTATTTGGCTACGTACATGTAGTATGTGCTATGTGCTATGTTGTACTACCTAGCCATTCGGAAGAGCGGAAGGGAAAAGGGCAGGGGTGGTCGGGACGAAGCGCAATTGAACGGTTATTAACGGATGTATTTTTTTGTTTAGGACGGAAAGCCATACATTGTCGCTGCTGCTGTTGGCGCTTCGATTCCTGATCCTCGCAATAAGGGGTACAACTTGTCTGTCAAGACGACTTTTGCTTCCATGGACGATATGAAATACTATGATACCGAGTGTGAGGCGCATAAGGCTCTCAAGGCTTGTGTTGGGCCTGTCAAGGAGGATGTGTTGACGAGTTACTATGAGAATATTTTGTAATGGATTTGAAAATTAAGAGATATTGGGACGATTTGTGCATGTTTGAACTTCGTATAAAGAGAGTATAGAGCTAAGGTAAGAGAGAGGTGGCCCATGCAGAAGCTAGATGATAAGATGAACAAAGTCCATTGATGATGTACATTGCATACGTCTAGTACGCCCTGCCCGAGGATCGGAGATAGACATACACACTAAAGCAAATATAATTCAACACAAGGTAGCAAAACACCGATGCCTTCCAAAAATGGCATGCTGAGAGCTTGGAGAGAGGGTCGTAAAAAAGGGGGTGCGCAAATCATAATATTCGCTGGAAACGGGGAAAAGCAGGTACGGGGAAGAAATCACGACGAAAGCAAATGACCCGGCCCATAAGCAATGGTGCAAATGTGCAGGATAGGGCGTGATCACAGATCCTCGCTATCTCATCTGCGCATTCCAAATATACAGAACCGGATAATGGTGTCCGGGGTTGAGAGATGAAGGAGTAATAGAAGTGACGAGGTGATCAGTCAAGGGCACGACGGAGGTCGCTCCATTTCTGGCGGAGGTTCTCGTGGTTCTCGGAAATCTGTTTGGTTCGTCAGTCTCGGCGTCTCACGCTGAATTTTGAAGGAAATGATATCCTACCTCTGCCCACTTCATTTTCGTAGCAACCAACTCCTTCTCCATGTCGGACATTGATTCTTCCATCGCACGGTTCTCATTTTGCACCTCGATGTTCCGCTTCATGATCCGTTCCATTTCAAGGCGGAGCTTCTCCTCGACCTCGGCCGGCTGCTTGTCGACCACATTCTTAAGTTCGCTAACCTGGAGTTCCAGCGCCTCTTTGAGGTCGCGTAGCTCCTCATTCTCAACCTTAACGTGCACTAGCTCAGAGGCCAATTGCACATGCTCCTTGTCTGATGCTTCGGCACGTTCCTCAAGAAGTCGGACACGCGCGCCCTGCGTGCTCACGGTGTGCCGCAAGTGCTCTAGCTCGACCTCACGCTCTTTCTCAGTTCGGGTCTTTTCTTCCCATTCCGTGGTGTATGTGGCAAGCCTCTCGGATGTGAGGGGAATGGCGCAGGCGTCCTGCACCATGATGTCTGATCGGTAGATCTCCTTATCGGAGGCACCGGAGCTTCCGAAGAAGCCTGACTCCAAGATTGACGAGGTGGATGGCTGCTTGTCTATGTAGGCGTCGAACAAACGCTCTTTCAAGAAAGTAGTGAGCACGCTCATGTCTTTCATTTCAAGCAGCGCGTCTGCATTTCGGCGCATGATCGCAACACCGAATTTGATGATGGTGGTCTCTAGTCCCTCTTCGAAGATCAGGTCGTAGATGCGAAGCACCAGTTGCAGCGGGAAACGGTAGGCGAAAAGAGTCAAGAACCATTGAGTGGCGTAGAGCTGAGGAGGAACTCCACGGCGCCGGAGATGGCAGTAGAGAGCGGGTTCTAAGTCTTCTAGAAGTCGCTCAAATTGATATAGGCTACGGTGAAGCCCAGGCATATCCTGAATGAACATCTCTCGTAGGGAGTACTTGTTCATCAGCTTGACCATCATGGCGAAAGCATCGACTTCATCCATCTGCGTAAAATGTTAGCCAATGAGCTCAGTCATCTTGATTAAGGGTATACTCACATTGAACAGCAATGGCATAGCAATAAAGTTCATGCCTTGCGCGTATCCAACTCCCGCATCATACAAGGCGTATGCCTTGCACAGCCCAAAGAGGCCTTCTTGGCTGCCCTGGGAAACAAAGTATTTCGCATAGCTAGTGCGAGCACCCAGGTCTCGCCTGATGACCTTCTCCAATTTTTGCAGCGCAACGGCGTCTGTCTTTGCTTTCTTCAGGCGCTCAACTTCATTCGAGGCATGTTCCTTAGACAACTTATCCGTGTCTCCTTCATAAGATGGACTAGGGGCAGCGCTGCTGGATCGTGATACGGAACCCGAGCGGACTGAAGAGCGTGATGACGTGGTTTCAGTGCCATTTATTGTTCGTCCATCTTTGTCGTGTGCCGTGCCACGCGCCACAAGCTCTCGGTAGACGTCCTCCATATCAGCAGTCTGGCAATCCGCCAGAATTTGCCAAATCACTCCTCGGATCGTCTGAGGGATACCTCGTTTGATGGCAGCATTCAGTTCCTCTGAGCTTGCCAAAGCCTGGGGCCCGTTGTTTACAAGGTGTTGCCACATCTCCCAATCGACCGGGATGGAACCATCAGCCACAGAGGCCGTTCTCCCAGGAGCGACAGTTGTCGAAGGTGAGATGACTCCCGATGCTGCCAAGATGCCCTCTTCTCCTTCCTCTGGGATGATAGGGGGGCTAGCTCCAGACTGGCTGATGCTGGCCTGGCCCGATCGCACGCTCGTCTGATCGACCTCTGGCGCATGGCTCTCCTCGCGTAGGCGCAGCATCTTGAACTGATCCTTGAGGCTATTTCGTCTCGGCTTCTTTGAGCCGACGCTCGAGAGGTCATCGCCATCACGAGCGATCTGGTCTAGATTGCTGCTTAGGGTCGAGACGGATGTGGCAGTGTTTCGTCGGCTAGCAGAGTGGGGTGGGGATTTGATGTCCTTAGCAACGTTCGAGGTTGAGCTTCGAGAGAACCACGCAAAGGGGCCGCTAGGCTTTCGAGGAGGTGCTGGCTGGGGAATAGGCGGATTCTTGTTCACTGGAGGAGCCGCCCATGGGACTGAGGGCAGACCACCCGACAAACCCATCAGCCCTGCGCTTGCTGGAGCAGAATCGTCCTTAGGAGGCAACGGAGGCGGTTCTGTTTTGTCCCCAGGGCTCTGTGCCTTGTCTGTCGGCTCATCTTCCTTGCTGTTCATCAGGTTCACCTCGTCAAGTGATGACGATGTTGATAAACGGTGGGACGTGAGTAGAGGCGACTTTTGCAGTGGGCTCTGATCGTGATCTTCTTCCTTCTTCTCTGCTTCTGTCTGAGTAACCTCGGACCCTTCCTCCGGCTTGTCACCCTCGATGGGCTCATCGGTCGCGGTGTTCACCTCGTCGTTGGTGTCATAGTTATCCTGATCGTTGGTATCCATTCCATCGTCCTGTTTCTTCCCCTTTCTTTTATTCTTCTTCTTATTTTTCTTGTCATTCTGTCCATCCGGCCCCTTGCCATCGTTTTCCTGCTCCTCGGCGGTCTCGGTCTTCTTCTCGTCCTGCGGTTCAGAAGGGAACGGAGGTTTCTCCGTCAATTCCGGAGACATAAGTGAGCCAATTGGAGGGCTGTCGGTTAAAGATCGGGTGGAAGTGGACTTGGGGATGGTGACGTTGAGATTGTTATTGTTCTCCTGGATTTCGGGTGTCTCAAGGGCGTCGTCAAAAGACTCCTATTTGGATGGCGATAAGCTCGTGTCAAGTCAAGCTGGGGTTTGGGAAAGATCTGAGTCTGAACCACTTACCCCTTCGTATTCAGGACTGTGTTTAGGCGTCGACATGTCGGCCATAGCTGTTTTAGATGACCTCACAACAATCAAAAGATGGAACACTCCATAGGATCGCAAGAAAGCAGAGGCCCAAAAGAGCTAAAGGACAAAGATTTCAAGGGAGTGGAATTCGCGGATAAGGAAAAAAAGATGGAATGAGGAAGAAAAGGGATTTGACGAGTTTCAATCAATTCGAATGGCCAGGTACACTCGCCGCTGATTGGCGCCCCAGGGCGGAACCGACAGGACGGAGGCGTTGGGAATGCATTTGCATATTTCTACGATGTACGATATACTCCGTATATGTCCGGATTATTATAATTAGCTTGTCTTTATGCATATTAATGATGAGTATGCTTTTATTAGAATGTTTTAATATGATATTTTGGTTTTTCTAGGAATTCAATGTCTTATAGTGACACTATATATAGTGGGCAAAGGGGGTAAACAAATAGTCCACATTTAAAATAGGAGTACGAAACTATTTATTTTCACAAGGTCTTCTCAAAATCAAGCCATCTTTCTCGTCGCAGGGGATCCAGCTTCTTCAGTTCTGCGAGCCAGCTCAGAATCTGGTCCCGATCCTCAGAAGACAAGCTGCCTTCCACCTTGGATGCGAGAATGGTGTACTCAATTAATGCCTGGTAGATGTATTTGCAGTCTTCAGCCCCATCCAACATCTCCTTGATTTCTTCGATCTCATTTCTAATGTATTCCAGCCGGTCGGACGAGCTCAAATTGGGAGCCATAGTTCGTTCGGCCATCGACGGGTCGAACACACTCATCAAATTTTGGTGATAGAACCAAAGTGACTGATCATAAGGATCAATAAATGCTTGATGAATAAGAGACAGTTCTAAAAACCCAAATTAGCGTAATGTAAACTCTGATAAGACAGGTTAGACCAACCATCATCCAACATTCTTCTCCGATCGTCATCGCTGGCAGTTTGCTCGTCCAAAAGGGATTGGATAAGCTTTGTCCGGTAATGCCATGCGGAGAAGTTGGAAAGATTGGCACCGATCATCTTCTTCGCGTATTCAAATTCCTTCTGAGTCATGCTTGTCGCTTCTTCAGCAGTAACAAGCTCCTTCAGGGTCTCAACCACGAAGCGTCGATGACCCCACCCGTGGAAATTCCGGCTATCAAGAGTCAACATCTTACCCACAAGGGCAAGTTCTTGCTGCCAGATTGCTCGGGCGTCGGGAAGGGGTAGTAGACGGCGAGCCTCATCCAACAGCCACAAACGATAGTTCCAGATCCAGTAGCATTTAGGGAAGCTCCGGAGAAGGGGAATCAGGAAATGTAGATCATTTACGATCAGCTCCGTGGTTGAATGGGCAGCAGCCTCATCATCATCTGAGCCTCCTACTTGAGAGAATTGATACTGCAGTACCTTTCGGCGGTAGTTCCAGGCTGTGTAGTATTCTGGATTGCTAGACAGCAGCTCCGAGATCTTCTTCAAGGTCTCGATTGTGTACTCATGCTCAGCCACCTGTCATGTGTAAGGCTCTGTTTGTACATGAGGTACATAAGACGACCAACCTTTTTAGATACCAAAAGCTCGAGATTCCTGTAATTTTCTATCTTCTGCAGCTCTTGCTGTCGTGTCTCGGGGGACTTCTCAACTGGTTTGTACCGTGGCACACCATGCTATCGCAATCGTTAGCCCGAACAGTATAGCCCTAGGGAGTCAATCTCACACTGGGCATTTTCACTCTTTGTTTGACAATAAGAAATAAGCAAAATGTGTTACCTAGGTAGGTTGCTTCGTGTTGATCAGATGCCCCGGGGCTGCCCACTATAATTATCTCATTGGTGCATGAGGCGGTGGAGTAAGTTACGTAACCTCTCCGGGCATTTGTATAACTTCACGTGATCATCACTCTTTCTACTTTGGGGACTTTGTCTTTGCTTCATCGTCTTTCTTGTCTTGCCGCTATGCCTTGAAATAGAGGCCTCCTTATACATTCCTTTTTCTTAGCTCTAGGTCATTACTCATATACAGATTATCGACCTACATCCAGAACAATGGTAGATACGCAACGTCACTCCTTCGAGGAAACCTCTACAGGTAGTCACAAACATCCACTGACTTCATACTCTCGATCCGAGTCTTCCAAGGACAATGGACCTGTCCAAATGACTGAGTTTGCAACCATTAATTTGCCATTCTTTGAAACACCTACTTCTCAATCATCATTGTCGAAGCCCAAGACCCGACCTGTTGTGACATCCGTCCCTGGCTCCAAAGAGAATCGGGTCTCATCGCCCAAAAGAGGTCGCAGCAGAGTGAGAAACAATGGAAATACAGCAGCACCAAGAAGTTCCTTCCGAGGTTCAATGTCGCCTGATAGATTCATTCCAAAGCGAGACTTCGTGGAACCAACATCAACAACATTTCGTGTGGCCAAGCATCCGCAGCGTCTTTCGCCTCAAGAGAGACTACTTCGACGACTTCCGCCCGGGGATGATCCATTTCTACCATCAATCCCGCGTAGGACGTATGCTACCAACAGACCCCAGCAGCCAACTCGACTCCAGCAGATCCCACATCAACGGCCTCGTTTAGTCACTGAAGGCAATATCACAGGCAACAACGCTGCACATGAATCTTTGAGACAGGTCAGCTATGGTGCAGTGTGGAACGTGGGTGGGGCTTCTGCAGTCCGCGGTAGTTCCCTTATTGCGGCTCCTGATGACACGCCGAGCACTTCGACCAATGGATCATCAACTGCCCCAGTTTTCGTGGCTCGGTTCCTACCCAAGAAACCAAAATACAGTGAACAAGAAATTCATGAGTCGAGGCTTGCGCTTGCTTTGGGGATTGACCCGACGACTAGACAGCTAGGTACTACTTGCCTACGGTATCTGGATGCTCCCCTCAATCCAACATCTCCAGACTTCGAGCGCCTCTCTCCATTTGAATGGAAGGATAGTGCTTGGAAGAAAGTTGAAAAGGAGCGTTGTAAGTGCAACTGTAGTTTGCAACAGTCACTCCCCACCCCCGACCCTACCTTTGGAATAAATTTACCATTTACAGATAAAACATATATGATATTTTAACCAAACTTTTGGTAATTGTGAGACTTGGGGGTGTCCACAGCCTTTTCCGGGACATCAACTGACTCGAGTTGTTTCCCAGGGTCCATATCTCCTGCCAGAAAAGAGGTTGTTCCACCAAAGCCTTTTCGAATCCTTGATGCTCCCTTCCTTCGAGACGATTTTTACTGCAGCACTCTTGCATACTCAACAACATCTGGGATACTGGCTGTGGGCCTGGGCCATCAAGTGTATCTCTGGTCCGAAGGCCATGGAGTGGACTATCCTCCCTTTCCAGATCTACACCCCTCAAATTATGTGACATCCCTGTCGTTTTCTTCTGAGGATGGCGAGCGAAGCATCCTTGCAGTGGCCAGGCGTTCTGGCCAGTTGTCGCTATGGAGCACATTCGAGAAGCAAGCCCGGTTTGAGATCAGTCATCCCAGTACCCTTACATGCGTGGCGTTTAAGCCAAGAACGTCACGGCGTCTTTCAGAAAGGTTCATGCATGTAATAGTCGATGTGGAAGAGATTGTTGTTGGCGATGACTTTGGAAATATCTGGTACTATTCGGTTGAGTGGTCTGACAAAGAAGACCAAGCTAAGTGGAAATGGAACGGGTCCATGACGCTTCTTGCCAAGATCTCTGCACACACTCAACAAATCTGTGGACTAGCCTGGTCACCCGATGATAAGTACCTTGCGACGGGTGGTAATGACAACGCCTGCCTTCTCTTTGAACTGGCCGAGATTGTTCCGCCACGGCATTTGAATTATGCGGTCCCGCCCATTACTCCCCCAGATTCCCCAAGCAGCTTCAGCCTCGGTGTATTTCCATACCTTGCTCTGGGTACCGCTAAAAGACGAGTGGTTCTTAAACGACCCGCCCTCCCATCATGGCTTGCTGCTCCTATTAAGCCCCCGGCTGCAGCCGCGCTTTTAAACCATGCAGGCACTCTAATTTCCGGTGGTGGCCGAACGATTCTGGTCCCATACGGCCGTCAGAAGCATCGTCTTATGCATTCCGCTGCGGTCAAAGCAATTGCATTTGCACCATGGCAGTCGTCCCTGCTCGCTACAGGGGGTGGTACCAATGACAAAGCTATACACTTCTATCATACCCGGAGCGGAGCTTGTCTCGCAACCATCAATGTCTTTGCGCAAGTGACCAGTCTTATATGGAGCGAAACTCGACGTGAGATCGCCGCTACTTTCGGTTATTCACAGCCAGATCACCCATTTCGAATCGCCGTCTTTTCCTGGCCCAGCTGCGCACAGGTGGCGGTCATTCCCTGGGGGCCATATGGAACCACCTGGGATGGGCCCGATACTCGAATCAACAACTTCGACTGCGGAAGAGCATTGTGGGCAGTACGATATCCAGGGAAAGTTCCTCGTTTCTCGGGTGTCCGCTCTAGTGGACCGGACAGTCAGTCATCTTCACCTTCGTCCTCGTCAAGCCAGACTCGGTCTCCAGAGCGAGGAGCCCCGACCCGAAACCGCAAGGTCAGTAGCCGCAGGGCCAGTGCTCGGATGGTCGCTCCCAAGGAGAAAGAAGGTGGAATGTGGTGCACACGAACAAAGGAGGAGGGGTGCATTATTGTCGCGTCTAGTGATCAAACTGTGAAGTTCCACGAGGTCTGGACTGGAAGAAGGACAAGTACCACCTCTGCTTGTGGACTCTTCGGTGGAAGCGACATTCTTGAGGGCCTCGAGGGCATTGAGAAGTCTGGTGGTGAGGTCATTCGTTAATATTCTTTGTCTTCTTGGGTCTGAGTATGGGGTACTCTCACTATCATTAAACGCTTATATTTCTATTATTTTAGTACTGCAAAGAGGGAACTTGGGTAGGTTTATCATTCTTTGTTCTGAGGAATGCAATTCTTGTGTTCTTGTTTCTCTACAGTACAATCCAGCCAAGTGAAAGCCCTTTGCTGGTACCTATCAGTTTACATATACTCGGTATGGTTATTTCGAAAATACAGTGCATGTTCTGAGTAGGGGCCCCATGCCTCTGTCTAAATACAAGCCTCATATAAAATCCTCCTACACCAACCCACCAGACATAATGCTTTTATAGCTATTGTACCCTCTACGCGAGTCGAATAACCCATATAGCAGAGATATCATATACATAACAAACCCTCCAATCGGCTCTTAAATCTCACATTCCAAATAGTATTATGCAACCTTTCACATTAGTGCTAACCTATTCTAGCAACTATAAGCTTATGTTAGAGAACAGAACGCTGATCCCCCTCCACCTCTCTTCAGCTCTCCACAACAAGTCTCAGCTCTTACATATGTTAAATTCTCCTTGTATCTTCTTTCCTAATTCCCTCACCCTCACACAATCCACCCTAATTCCCTCAAAATGCGCCTTCAAGCCCTCATCCAATTCATCCTTCCATCCACAATCCTCGCTCAATCCTCCGATCCCTCCCTTGGCTCCACCCTCAATGTGACCGTCCTCGGCGCGCGCCATAATCGCTCCACCTTGGAGTGCTGGGCTCTCCAGCCGGGATTCGAAACTTCCGATCTACCCGGGCAAGTCGGGACCGCCACTCTGGGCTTAGGGACGATCGGTGGGAACGCGTCGTTTGTGGTGTTGCCGGCTGGGTTTGATGGGGGTAGACATAACGCGCCTACTTTGCAGTAAGTTGTATTCTGCTTTCCAAACATTCTTTCATTCTTTTATATCCATGCATATCATTTGCTATTTCAAAATCAATGTATTCTGAACGATTTGTTTTTTTTATAAATTATTCTTATTTTTTTTTTTTTTACCTAGTACCTAGGTATAGTCCACAGTTCTTGGCTAATCCGCACTATAGATGGGTGGTCTTCCTCTCCGGATTAGCGCATATCACGCTCCCTAACTCGACAACCGAGGCGTGGATTGAAGGTGGCAAGAATGGAGCCATCCTGGCCCTCGACACTGCTGATGTCAGTGCATTGGGTCACTTCACAACTTATCCCTCGCAGGACCGGACGACATCCGTGGTGATCCACCTCGGGGAGAAAGGGGTGCCGGGTCATCGGGTCCTACATGAGGGTCCCTGTCAGGGGGAGGAGTTGCTGGTATAATTCCTTAGTTATGTTTGGTTATGTATACATAAAAAGGCCGCCTGGACGGAGTACGATTTATGTGTTTTATCGCCTTCGTATAAATCAAGAAAGACATCCGAAAGGCACATTCAGCTCTGCATGGTCATAGCTACTGAAGGAGAGATATCAAGATATCAGGTAGAATTCAATAGACATTGATAGAGACGCAGATGCGCTCGGTAGAGGCACAAGATATCGAAAGCAAAAGATAAAACAAAGAAAAATGAAATGCAGACCCGATCGGATGCATCGAAGGAAAAAATAAAATATGTTCTTTTATAGACCGTTATCCCCTTCTCCCATCTCTAATTCGTACAACTTCAAAAGAGACGCGCTTATTTCCTGCCGCCCTTGCTCTTCTTTCCAACAGAAGCAGAAGACTTGCTCTTCTTTGATGGTGGGAGCTGCAGCTGGGCGGCATCGTCAGACTCATCGTCTTCCGTGTCGGCAATGAAGTCAACCATGGAGCCATCACTGTCCTCATCGTCATCCTCATCCTCATTCTCCTCCAGCGATTCCTCGGCATCAGAAGAACCGACAGACTCAGCAGCCTCAATGTCCAAAAGAGGCTCTTCGTCATCATCCTCATCATCACTTCCGTCATCCTCATCGTCTTCAGACTCATCGACGCCGTTCATCATTGACTCATCCTCATCGTACGCCTGGTCGCGTATTGACTTCCGCGGCGTCTTTGTCTCGGTCTCACTGTCCTCGAGATCATCCTGGCCCTCGACGTAGATAACATTATCCTCGTCCTCGCTGTCCATACCCTCATCGCCACCGCGGATAGATTGCCGCAGTCCCAATTGGGCATCGAGCATGTCAAGCTTGCCCTTTAGGAGCAGCAGGGATGGCAGGCTAGCAGAGCGTTGGTCCATGACCTTGTAGAGGGAAGTCATGCGCTTCAGGAGATCGGGGTGGCCGGCCAGGGCGCCACCATGAGCGACGCAGGTCCACTGCACCCAGACGAGAAGGTGACCGTAACGACCAGGCCGAGAGGCGAGGCGCTCGGCGAGTTTTTGAAGCAGAGTCGCGGCCAAAGAGGAGTCGAGACGCTGGATGGTAGTGCGGATGATGGAGGTGTCACCGGTGTGGAAACAAGACTCGAGCATGCCGTTGTCGTTGGTCTTGAGCGACTGTGTGAGAACAGTAGCAAGAGAAACACCAGTGGGGATCTGTTGCACGGCGGCCTGGGGCTTGCCGGGAACCAATGTGCCGAGGAGGACATCCTCGTCAAGCTCGGCCTCGACATCAACTTCCTGACCTGCGTTTGCGCGCAGGAGTTCTCCGAATGATGGCTCTGCGCCCTCTTCTTCTTCCTCTTCTTCCTCGGAATCGGATGCGTTCTGCATCTCAACGTCCTCGGTCGGTGCGACTTGCTTGGTGGGCTTGGTCTTCTTCTCGTTGGAAACCTTGGACTTCTTGTTGTCCTCATCATCGGAATCCTCCTCGCTGCCGGAGTCGGATGCGTCTTGTCGTGAATCCTCCATCTCTACATCATCATCGACCAGGTTGCCCTGCTCAACATTCATGCGAGACTCGTCAACACGGGTCTCGCCTGCACTCTTAACTCCATTCGTTGTGACGGAAGAAAGTGCTGAGCCGGACTTGGTCTTCACCACGGTCTTGATTCCGGTGAAGGAGAGCTCATCGGTGCTCTCGTCGATGAACTTAACACGCTCGAAGACAGGAATCACACCACCCTCGGTGTAAGCAACCACGAGGATAGGGCCTTGGAATGAGATGGCCGCGACGGGAACGCATGCATTCGAGGAGTCGGTGTTAGTGATTTTGAGGGTTGCGTTTGCTTTCTGGGTCATCTGTTTCCGGCTGGCCTTGGCACTTGCGGAGGGCGCACTTTGCGGCTGAACAAATGGCTTGGTGAAGAGTTCGATGCTACCATCTGCGGTGACTGCAGCAAGCAATTGCTTCTCCGGGGCAGCAACGCCATCGGTTTGCAGTGTAATCGATGTGACCTCCTGGTCGGCGACAAGGTTGCGAACAAGCTTCTGGGTGGTGGCATCAAAGACGTTGACGAAGCGGTCACCATCGGATGCAAGGAATGCACCCACGCCAGCAGACTCGGAAGAGGATGAAATGACGGTGTGGATAGGGTTGCGCATGGCAGGGAACTGAACCGGCTCATCGGCCTTCTCGGTATCTATTAAGTACGGGGTCTGGGAAGCGCAGATAAGAGGAGGGTTCGAGGGAACGGGGCGGGAGAGAGCAGTGAAGACTGAGGATGCGGGGAGGTGGATTGTCCTACACATATATCATTAGTTAGGAGCTCGGTATAGCCCAGAAAATATCCAAACTTACTTGGTGCTTTGTCCGGTGCGCAGGTCCCACTGGACAAGCTTATTGTCACCACCGATACTCCAGGCCTCCTGGCCGGGCCGATCAGCCGTGAACTTGAAGTCCTTGATACCCTTGTCATGCGCGCCGGTCAAGGTGCCGACCACCTTGTCTTCGTAAGGCGAGTACATGCGGATATCCGATGTGTTTGTGCCGAATGCAACCACGATATCGCCCTGGTCCAGGCCATCAACAGTCCCATTGACATCGGAGCCGCGCTTGCGCTTCTTTTTCGACTGATCACGGCCCTTGCCTGAGCCACCATAGTATCCCCAGTCCAAAGAGGTCACCGTTTCCTTCGGCCCCAGAGCATGCTCACACTGGAGGCGTCCTGTCTGTGTGTCGTGAATGCGAATGTGCTGGCCATCGAGGCCTTGGATAACGGACGCAAACAGGGCCAATTGGTACTCTGACGGGGAGAATGCAGCGCGCAGGATGGACGACTTGCTGCCGGCGTATGTCAGGCCTGATGCCGGCGATGCGGCGGCCGAGGCGACCTTGGTGGATGGGCGAGTCGTCTTCTTTCCCATCTTGGCTGTAACTTTTTTTTTCTTATCTTCGTTTTTTTCTCGCAGTCGAGGATATGGTGGTGAGAAGATAAATATCAATAGAGCAGGCCCGAGTAAAAACAGCAAAGATTCCGATAAGACTCTATTTTTTTCCGCCCCTAAGGAAACAAATGGGGGTTTAGGCTGGTGGTTTCGCAGTTGATCCGGACAGGAAAAAAAATGTTCTGTAGAGCCTTGACGGGCTAGTCCTAAAGGGGGTTAGACCGCTAGTAGTTCTTATCTAATCATATCATCCCGTGATGCTTCAGTGTCAGTAGAGGACTAACTAACCAACTATAGGCCCCGGGGTAACTGCTAATTCTTTGATTCATTTTGGTCGAGGAGTTGTTTTTTATCTTCGCTGTAGCTTCCCTTAGCTCTGAATTCTATCATCACGCTTCATTTTTCCATTTTGGGCGCTCTTGGTATCAGCATCCCTCTCCTTGACGAATATATATAACAAATTTCACGGACCGTTTTGACGTATTGTACTTCCTGTATATATCCCCAGTATGTATTTTGTAAAACCAAGGCAACATTCTAACGAATTTCAAGTCCATTGTGTGACCCAAAACAAATTCAAATGTATGTAAGAAACAGAACAGTAGCCAAATCAGAGCCGTCGCCATAACACTCCAACGCGTAGAGGAGCCATTTAAAATGTCCAGCACTAAAAATTATGCCGTAAGTATACTTTAAAGCACACGGACTCCCATTGGGCAGATGCTCGAGGCCAAAAGTTCCCCAGGTCCCGAATCATGTGATATGGGCATATTTGTCTAACCTGTAAGGGTCGAGGTGCAGCTGTCCATCGATGTAGTAACAGCAAAGTGCCGATTGGAAATTTGCAGGATGCTTAGCGGGGAACCATGTAGTGACTAGCCTACTCTATTATCTATGGGATGTTTCAAGATTCTATAACATGTTCCTTGCGCCAAATATGTACATATAAAAAGGTGATGTTATTTCTTATCGATGTACAATACGTGTACTCATCATGAGATGGTCACGTGAAATGTCGAGTGGTGACGTGACTCAGACCCCCATCACGTCCGGCCTAACCCGGATTTAGCCAGAACCCTAGGGCTTTGAGTCATCCGAGATATGCGTCCACTGGACTTTAAAGGATTTATAGAATCTGTATAGGAAAAGGCGAAAGGAAGAAATCAAAAGCCAAAAAATTGTCCATATATTTCATTTAATCATAAGATGTTCACCTTGATAGAAAGGAAAGAGGGAAGTTAAGAAAAGAAAAGAAAAGAAGGAAAAAAAAAGGTCCAGGGGTATAGAACCAATCAAGGGATACGAAGTTGAGAGAATCGGGACTAGTGTGGCTGGTGGAACTGAGTAAGAGGAGAGTGCAAGGCGGCCGTTTGTACTTAAGGATTCTGGCATCCCCTCCCGACCATTTTTCTGCTTCCGTCCTGGTTTCTCCTATTTTTATTCTCCTGACCGCCCTACAACAACAACAAACGCGTCTTCGCGTCATTCCACTTCCTTTTAACCGCCTTCATCCCCGAATTCTTATTTTTTTATTTTTTATTTTTTTATATTTTATTTTCATAATTCCCTTTTATCAAATTGCCTGATTTTACAGGCAATAACCGGGAACTTCCAAGATTGTTAGCTCCATATCTTGGTTTATCCAAGTCATCTAGACCTGGCCTCAATTCTACTACATCACGTGAACATTTTTATACCGCCTTCTTGGCAGTATAAATTACCTCGTCTCCGATCGCATTCTCCACTCTTCCTATCTCTCGATCATCTCTGACCTCACTCTTCCCCCCACCCGGCCGTCGCGTTTTATTCGCGCCCACACGTTTGATATTAAACCTCATCAACCGTTGAGTCCATACTACGTGACCTTGGTTGCTGCTAGTGTTTGGTCACTCGAGATTGTTTGCACGCGGCAAGATTGTTTCGCGGAGAGAGCCCACGGGTGTTTTCAGTTGATCACTAGCTTTCAAAACACCTTCCCATAACTCTCACATCTTCAACACTCCCACTCTTCTCTAACTTGTATTCTTGCTTATCCAACGCGACCCCAATGGCGACTCCGCCTCCCGAGGTTCCTCCTGTCACCAAGGAGGACAAACCTCAATTGCCTCCATCGCCCACTGGTCCCTCTGCACCTGAGTATGCACCCACTAGGTAAGTAAATCGGCTTCCTGTCTGTTCTTTTCTTGATCTGACTAGTGCGTAGCGCGCAAAATGTCGCAGTGACTTCCAAAACCGATGGTCCCGCGGATACCGAGGTTAAATCGCCTGCTCTGAATGGCCACACTCCCACCGCGACTTCGAATACCAATGGCACAATCGTTGCTACCTCACCGCCCAAGTCCCCCGATCATCAGACCCCCTCAGAAATGATCCAAAATAAGACACCATCTGCTGCGGGATCTGCTCCACCCGCGGAGCCACAGCCGATCGAAGAAAAGACCGGCCCTCTGCAGGGCCAAGAATCTACTACTCCTGCTGTAGCCAACGCTGCGGCCGAAAGTGTCGTTTCATCTGCACCGCAGGCTGCCGTACATGCTCCCACCTTTCCTGCTTCCACAGACGGCCCTCATGACACACCCGAGCCAATGGCCATCGATACCCCTCAAGGTGGTGTGACTGCTGTAAAAACTGATCTGCCTCATCATCCTACCCCGGGCCCTGCACCACCTGCGCTCACCGCGCTGCAGCCTGTTGACCAGGAGATGAAGGATGCATCAGAGGCCCCGTTATCTCCCTCCAAGATTTCCAGACAACGGGATGCTGATCTCAGCGAAGAACCAGCTCCCAAGCGGACCAAGGTCGAGGGCGACGACTCGGTCATTAACTTTCAGACACCGGGATTCAACTCCCCAACTGCTGCGCCCCCTCGCACTAGTGGCGGACCTGGGCTCACCAAAATGCAACATAAGTTCATCTCAAAGAGTCTCACAAGCCTCAAGCGCATGCACGATGCGCGTTTCTACAAGGAACCTGTGGATCCTGTTAAGTTGAACATTCCGCAGTACCGCGATATCGTCACCCACCCCATGGACCTAGGAACTATGGAAAGGAAGCTCAAGAACAACCAATATTCTTCTCCCCAGGCAGTTGCAGATGACTTTGCACTGATGGTCAATAATACGACCATCTTTAACGGCGCAGACCACCTGGTCACCCAAGAGGGGATCAAGCTGAAGGCGACCTTCGAGAAGCAGATGACTAACCTTCCCAAGCCCGAAGAAGTTGAAGAGAGGAAACCGAAGAAGAACACCGAGAAGACGTCTGCTGCTCGCCGGGAGCCTCGGACTTCTCTTCCAAGTCAGCCCAAGGCTGCTTCTCCCCAGTCTCAGACATTTGCGCTCGGACCCGAAGGTCTGCCCGTCATCCGCCGCGATTCTTCCAACCCCGATGGTCGCCCCAAACGGTCCATTCATCCCCCGAAGCGTGACCTTCCGTATTCTACCAAGCCAAAGAAGAAGAAGTTCCAATGGGAATTGCGCTTCTGCCAGGAAGTCTTGGATGAGCTGCACAAGCAAAAGCACTATAGTTGGGTGATGCCTTTCTATTACCCCGTGGATCCCGTTGCTTTGAACATTCCGACATACCACAGCGTCATCAAGAAGCCGATGGATCTATCGACTGCTCAATCCAAACTTAAGACCGGCCAGTACGAGAATGCAAAGGAGTTCGAGAACGATGTCCGCCTCGTTTTCAAGAATTGCTACCGCTTCAATATTCCCGGTGACCCTACTTACATCTGTGGCCAGCGCGCCGAAGAAATCTTCAATGCAAAGTGGGCCCAGAAGTCGGACTACCTCGAAGCTCACGAGCCCCATCCCGAGCAGAACACTGATTCCTCCGATGAAGATAGCGACGAGGATGCCGAAGAGAGCGAAGAAGATGACGAAAAACTCACCCTGCTTCAGAAGCAAATCGCTGAGATGTCTCGTCAGGTCGAGGCCATTACCAATAAGAAAAAGAAGACCCCTCCTTCCTCCAAGAAGGTTGGCAAGACGAAGCTTGCCAAGAAGGATTCCAAGAAAATCAGCTCTGGAAAGAGAGATAAGAAGAGCAAGATCTCTCAACCTGGCAAAACCCGTGCCATCACCTACAACGAGAAGCAGATCATCTCGAATGGCATCAGTAGTCTTCCTGATAAGAGGATGCAGCAAGCCCTCCAGATCATCCAGAACAATGTTCCTCAACTCAAGGTAAGACATTTATGCGTTTATCACACAAACCAATTCTAATATAGATTCCGCAGGGTACCGACGAGGCCGAAATTGAGTTGGACATTGACGAGCTCCCTAACGATGTCTTGTTGAAGTTGCTTAACTTCGTGAAGAAGCACGTGCCGAATCTCATGGATGACGATGACGAAGATGATGTGCCTACCGGCAACGTGGCACCTCCCAAACCCAAGAAGAACAAGCCAATGAGCAAGTTCGAACAGGAAGCTCAGATCAACATGCTCCAGAACAACCTTTCTCGTTTCCAGGGTGGCGCTCACTCTCCCGATCCAGTGGCCTCGGTTGAGCACAACGAAAGCAGCGACGATGAGTCTGATTCGTCCGAGGAAGAGAGCGAGGAGGAGTAAACATCCTCTTTCGACTTAATCTCGCTATTTTTTTCCATGCGGGATGGCCCTTCACCCTAACTTGCGTTCTAAGCGTCGTTTTTCCCCAGTGCCTATCTGAACAATTTCTCGCCATATCTTTCTTTTTCAGTCACACCGCTGATCCTGACGGGCTGCTTGCAATGCGCATCCGATCCCCTGTCAGCAACGTCTGTACATACTTTGATTTTGAATACCCCTGCACCCGGCAAGGTTTCTACTGCCACCGACAAACCTTCATGCTCAAGATTGGCCGAACAGGATCTTATTCACTTAACCACTTGAATTTCCCTTCCCCTATGCCTGAGTGTACACTTTTTTCCCGTTTCGTTTCACAGCCAGGATAGGTGGATGGGGTTGCTCTATTTTCCCCGACGACGTTGCTGTTGGAAGAGGTGAACGGAAGCTTTTGGCTTCAACTTGTATGATTACGAAAGAAACGCGGAAATGCAAAATGAATATGTACTTGTAATAGGAAATTATCTAATTTTCATTAGGTATGTAGTTTGAATGTACGAACTATTGTATTATGAACCCTCTCTTTCTCTTATTTTGTCTGTCATTGGTCGTGACGCGTCGGGTCTACTTCGGCGGTGAACTTTCCCAGTTTCTTTGCAACATCAACATGATTCCTCCCTGCGATCCCTCTATTCTTGAGCACAATCCTCAATTCAAACGACTATATGAGAATTTAACAACCTCCCTCCTCAATCCAGATGCCTCCACGCGGGCTCAAAGCGTGAGCCCAGCCCGCACAGCTGTGGTAGAAGTAAGTTGTCAACGCGCTATTGCGCAGCACACACCCAACGGACACAAGCATGAACATGGCCCTGACAACACTCTATCACTAGGAGCTGAGGCAATGCCAGACTGGCAATGCCAAAAAGCGTATCAAAGAGCAAATGCTCCGGCAATTGGCTTTCGCCCCGGACAGCAACCTTCCCGCGGAGGTTAGTACATCCCCCGCTGCAGCCCACCGGCCCACCAAGAGGACAACAGTATCCCTAACGAATCTACCGCATCCAGTGCCACGATAATCTTGCTATAATAACCCTCTACCTAGAGACCCCATCCAGCGCAATCGAACCCACCACCCCAAAGCCAGAAACTGAATACAAGAAACCAGACGAAGCGCTTACTCTCCTAGCACCAGACATCGAAGCCTTCTACACCAACATCCCAGCCTTCATCTTACCTCTCTCCAAAAGCCTCTCATCTGCCGTTCAAGACCTACGCGCTCTATCAGCCCCAAACACGGACCCGGCCACCGCGCCCGACGCAGACGTCTCAGCCCCGCAGCACTCGAATCACAATGCACGCGCCCGAGCGCGTGACCGTCGAGTCCGGACCTCGATGGCGCCAGTTCCATCCCTTTCGTCACAGCTGCAGGCGCGGGTGCGTGCGTTGCGGCACACACAGCTGTCTGAGCTGCGAGTCGCTCGGCGGAAGATGGCTGCTACAGCGGCGGAGGTTGTCGCCGTGCGGGCACGAGTCCTAGAGCGCACTGTTATGATTTTGGAGCGGGCGAAACATGGGGCTTTGGCGCGCGCGACGAAAGCTAAGGCGGAGCATTTGGCTGTTGTCGCTCAGGGCGTGGAGGGGAAATTAGAGTAAGTTGTTTTTGTCTTCCCGGATTTCAAGTCTTGTTGTTATCTTTCTGAGTGGGATTGGTCTTTTAACGATTTGGATAGGGTTACGAAACTGGAGATTGCGGCTACGCTTTATACCCCGGAAACACTTGCTGCTCTTGCTCGGTATAGGCAGCATCTGAGACAGACGAAGGAGCGTTTGCAGCACCGCCGGAAGATGACGATCCAAGAGCTGAGGGCTTATGGCGATGTGGAGATGTCTGACCCGGCTACTGATATCGATGTCGATGAAGGATCTTTTGCGGATATTGCTCGTCGGTATGGGATTCTGGCAAGAGAGATTGAAGAAGTTAAGATGGAAATTGCACGATTAGAGAATTGAGCTACGACTACTTATTTCAGGTAGTACATAGTATAATGAAGATATGGCTTCAACACAAGCAGTGCTAGACCCGTAGATCAGTAAACCCCAGTAGCTTTACCTCTCTCTTGCGGTAAACCTGAGTAAATGCCGCCAAGTCTTAAATCCGGGGATGTCCCTGGCTTAACCCCGCGCATCACATGATCGCGCCAAACTTTTTCTGCCCGAAAGAGTCAACGCTACAAGATCTACTCATTCGCCACATCTCTCCAACATTCTGAGAATCATTCAAAATGGCCGACGACGGACTGAACATCTACGACGAGATCGAGATCGAGGATATGACCTTCGACCCGAATATCCAGATCTATACATACCCTTGCCCATGTGGCGACCGATTCGAGATCGCAATCGACGATCTGCGCGACGGAGAAGAGATCGCCGTGTGTCCGAGTTGCAGTCTGATGATCCGGGTTATCTTCGACTTGGTATGTTTCCCTATCGTCCAACCAGACGTATGTCGCTTTATTTGTTCAGTTGGCTAATTATACGACCTGCGGGGTATTTACAGGCCGATCTTCCTAAAGCCGATGCGCAGAGTACGAGTGGCGTGGCTGTTCAGGCTTGAGCGCGAGATAAAAAGAGACCATGCAAAACACCCTTGAAGGATTCGAGTCAATCCCAGCCCGAGGAGAAGGACTATGCTGCTGATGTCTGGAAGTTGGCTCGCAGTCATTCTCATTATCTTGGTGGATGTGGTTTGAATGATTGGATATCTTGCCATTCCACTGCCAGATGCGACTGCTCGCCTTGAACTGAATAATGCGCCTCGCCGAGTCAGGCGGCTTTGATCCACCAGACATCGCTTGAAACACTGGATCGCGCGACCATGTTCCATGCTCTGCTGCGAATGTTGTCTATGTATATGCATTTTGCCATATTGCCAAGTCACTCGGTGTCTCCGGGGGATATTGGTCTTGGAGCGACTCCCACAGGGCTACCTGCCGTACCTCTCAACATATTCAATGTCGAATCGGGCTCCGTCGACTTTGTCTTGGGTAGGTTTTGCTTCGGACAATATCACTTAGCCAGGCAAAAGACCACTTCACTTATCGGGTTGAAACTGTATTTTGGCTATGTACATGCCGTGTTCATTCAAAAAGAAAGAACAACATTTTGATACACCTGTTCAATTGGCGATGCGATGTTTCCCTTCCTAAGCATTGCTTTCTGGCTACACACAATTACTCTATACCCACCTAGTGAATTTACCTCGAATGATACCCACAAATATGTTCCCAATAATTCGTCCATGTCTCTTCATCTAGTAAATTTATGAGAAGGAACAGCACGCGAAAGATTTCAATGCAACCGCATCATAAAATAGAACAGTATGTAACAACATCCCAAATAAAAACTGGAACGACAAGAATCCTCTTCTTTCTAGGTAATCGATAGCCCAGAAAGACGGTTTAATCACTCAACGATTTCGCTGTAGATATCCTTGGGCAAACGCAAGGTCAACTCGGAGTTCAACAACTCGGTCAGGTTAGACCCATCGCGCAGGTAGATCCACTGCCCACTGACAAAAGGTCGCGAATCCTGCTTCTCATGCATATAATCGCCCTCGACAATCCAGTCGTACCGCTTCGGCCCGGAGATGGGCGAGCTGAGCCAGATCTGCTTGTTGGGTGGTTGCTTGTTGAGCACAAAGGTACCAAGTGCGGGAACGGAGATGTTCAGAACACCAGCCTGGAGAAAAAAATGGCGTTAGTAACTTTTTATGTTCTATATGCCATGCGAACAGAATGTCGTTCGTTGTGTAGGCTGAGAAAGATAGAAAGAAAGAAGATGAAGAACACCGGGCAAAGTATAATATGTAGAAAAGACATAGGAGAAACCTACACTGTACTCAGCCTCAACGTCTGATCCCTCCTCCTGTGCCTTCTCCAGCTCGTTTTGCAGCACGTTGAAATAATGCTCCGCGTACTCATAGTACTCCTCCGGCGACAACGGCGAGGGTTCAGTGATGTGAGTAGCAGCTCCGGCAACAGAACCCGACTGCGGGTTCGGAGCTGGGGGGTCCGCTGACTCTGGGTGAATGCCTTTGCGGATTGCTGGGGAGGACTGGAAAGAGCGGGTGAACTGTGAGGCGGAGCTTGGGCGGATGGCGCAAGCCCGGGGAAGCAGAGTTGATGTGGTGGCTGTTGCGCGGATGGATGGGCGCATGGAGGCGAGCAGAGCTCGAGGGGCTGTGCGAGATAGCATTGTTGTATCAGGTGTTTAAATTGGGGTTCTGGAAGATAGTAATTGAAGGTTGGGGGAGCTGTTCTGATGATGAATGCGGAGAGATGGGATAATTTACATCATCGTTGTTCACCGCCTGCTTCATTTGGTGTGATTACGGGCAGTATTTGTGATTGGATGGAGGTATAGATGAGAGTTGCTCGATGTGGTATTTTATTTATAAAAGTGGACTATATATGTATACTGTCTTGTATAAATATTATGATTTAGTTTGTCGAATACTTGGATTGATATATTGGCATTTGGTTGGTCAGGTTGACGATACACTTGTGCAATAGGCCTGTCACCACCACTGAGACTATAGCATCTAGGAAATTCAAAAAACCAGGAATTGTAGGATATGTTCGAATTTATTTCCCCAATGGCAAAGTAAGTCAACTTTACTTTGGAAGAAATGTGATATTGCAAATAAATTTCATCAAATCTCAGTCCAAGGCTAACCGTGACCACTTCGGCTTCTGCTGATGATCTTGGGCTGATGATTCCCCCATAATTCCAGGATTTCTGCAGTTGGAATTTATATTCTAATTTCTTCATCGTTTGGTAATTGTAGGCTATTGATGAAGCCGCAGTAAAGACCTCCGTGCCGTATGCCGTAAATGCTTACAAAGTACCTACATTTTCGAGTACCTGTGTAGCGACAAGACGAAGGCGACAGGCTGGGGTGAAGCAATGAAAGATTTGGTGGATACTGTCGATGACACGATTGCCTACAGCAACACCGATAGGCAATGCAATGCGCCCAGGCAGCTATAGAGGCAGCTGTCGCTGTAGACACCGGAATGGCCATAACAATGGGCCTGATGCCCATAGGAAGGATACCGGTGAATGATGAAACTGGCAATGCAAAAGATGCCACCGAATATGCATAATTGTCCGAAATCAACAGAGATGATGTGTCAAGAGTGATGCTAGCATAAGACCGATAGCGATATGTCCGGGGCCATTGATGATGAGATCAAGGAGACTTGCGTCCCGCCCTTGCCTCCGTATTTGAGAAACCGAAGGCATGGTGATAGTGGATATCCTATGGTGAATATGCCATAGACTTGTCATATCGATGACAAGCATGCATATCGACAACAAGCATGCATTCCTTGATCCAATGAATGTCATTTATTTGAAGACCTCTTCGTATCAGCAACCATAGCCACCTAACCATGCCATAGACAAACCAGTGTCTCCTGCCCAGTGCGATGAGTGCCTGGCGGCCAAAACCACGCGTTAAAATCTAAAAATGGCCCTGGATAGTTAGGCTGCGCGATCGTTGATTTCGGAGACTAGTCGAAACAGGTAGGAATCCTTGGACGGCAGTTTGAGCAAGAGAATGAATATTGGGCCCCAAGGCCGAGATTAGTAAGTAAGTAGCAATGAACGTCCCGTATATTTTCTATTCATTTCTGGGATTCTGAAATGTGTACGGAGTACAAAGCCAGCATGTCTCCAGCCCTGGAGGTCTGCGCAGTAGGATGACGTGGGCAGAGTGTCGGAACTTTGGAAAGTGGGACCGGGGCCAGAAGCGAGTCTATTGAGGCAAGCCACATTACTTGCCAACGCGGCCAGAACAACCTGAGAATAGTGATATTTTCTTTTTCTTTTCGCGGAGAAAATTATTATTGATAATAATAGTCCGGGAATTAATAGTCCGAGAAAGTGTGTAGCCTTGAATGGTAGCAAATTTAGAGTATTGGTTCACGTTAGTGGGATCACAAAGAGATCGGTAGAATTTAGTTTGTTTCAGATGAGAAGAACCGTAGTCTTGGTCATTTGAATGCTTCGGAACTATGCCCGGGACCTTACTGCAGAGGCGGGAGGTGACTGAAGTCTGATTTCATAGCGACCTTGTGATTCTTGCTAGTGGCAAACTATTAGTCCGGGGGGAGTACAATGAAATCAAAAAAAAGTCAGTACAATGTATAATTGAAAAAAATTCAGAATCTGCTTGGCATGTAAACCTTGTGACATCCACATTCTGCAGGGTTTACTTGTGTACCGACTACGTCCTGACAGCCTATAGGAAAACTAGGAATAAGAGCATTGATCCCCAGTCATTACCCCAAGGGAGACAACTACAACTCAAAAATCACTCAGAGGTGGCACAAAGTACAGAGTAACCAGAACCAAAAATGACAAAATTAGGATACACCTTTGCTGGAGAACAACGGGAGAAGAAAATGGAATGGGGCTCCAATCCAAATACGATGAACCGGAAGAAACACCGGCGTGTAGTCCGGCAAGGCTTGTCATGGCCGTTTTTCGGCAACAGATCGGCAGGGGGGACTGAAGAGGGGTTGGTTTCAGACCGCGCCCCCTCTTTCTTCTAGCCCTAGAACAACGCCCCCAGTCGATCCAGAAGTAAGGAACATACCGGGATACCGGTGAAAGGGAGAGACGGTCTGGATCTTATGTTGCATGTGAAACATGGTGTCGATCGGGGTTTGGTGTCACTATGAGTGGCCGATTCGATCCATAGTACTGTTTTGATGTGGTGGCGCTTTCATAGTCGGTGTGTCATATTACTCAGTTTCAGTTGGCGCCTGCGATTGTGATTGATGTATGAATCGATGCGTGGTATTATTTTCTTGAATCTGAATTATTGAATCTTGCAGTGTTACATCTCACAATCAGACTTTGGAACTAATTTAAATTGATGTAGTGCATTGTTTGGTGTTTTCATTGTGTTCCTAGGGTTCTGTTCAATAACACAGTGATATGATAGGTCATCCAAAGACCCAGAAGACAGTGTATCTACGGTGCGCCTATCAGAGCGGCTGCCCTGACCGGGAGCCAGGGAACCGCGCGGTCGACAGCATGACGAACCATAGGATGATGCAACAAAATCCGTGGTACGTTATTGTCCCCACTATACTCCAATTTATGTCAGTTTTTGTCATTGGGCTTTAAATCCCCCCAAGGTTGTTTCTCGTTGCATGCCTTTGTATCCTGCCAGGGGTAAGCCAATTATTGTTAAGTGAAATTTACAGGCACCAGGAGCAGAGTTCAAGGCATGTATTCCCCCGTTACTTCAAGTCAATGTCAAAATTCGATGTAACGAACCCCATTATGGTCCAGGCTATAGTGGAGTGGTCTAGCTATCTTGGCTGTGGAGTTAGACCAGATGCGAACGTTTTTGATACCGAAGAACTGAAAGAATTAGTGTCAATTAGCGCCTTGGAGAGTAATTCTCATTGTTAAATGTAAGAAATGTAAGAAAAGACGCTCGGTTCAAGCCAATCACCATGGTTCCAATTCCTGTCAACGGCCCATGGAGTCCATTCAGATCCATCCCTGGTCTCCCCCGCGCCAATGATATTCTGCATACGTTTGATCTGGCCAGAGAGGCATGGGTATGAGGTAGAACCCGCCTCCTCGGCCGTCGGACATCCAATAGCCACTTCCTATCTGCACTCCACCGTGAAGAAATGGAACATCTTCCAGCCAGCGAGTTAGGCTGGTAGGTTTGGCACACTGATGCCCTGGGGGATTTAAAACCTTCCGTCTCCCTCGATCTTTGTTCCTCTTTTCTCTCTCCAACCACCCAACTTTCCTTCATTTATTTTCTGGTCTTCTAGTCCTGTGCCGTGCACGGTCTGAGCCTCACTTTCCTTCAAGTCTACATTCCTTTCCACAAGGTCGAGAACAGGTTTCTCTCTTTCCCTCCTTTTTTTTTTACAAGTCCACTCCTTTGTGACTTATCTTTCAACTATTCAAAATGGTCTCTTTCACCAAGCTTTTCACTGCCGGCCTCGTCGCCACCTCGGCTATGGCCGCCCCCATGCAGGCCAAGCGCACTACCTCTGGTAAGCGCGGTGCTGCCTACAACGATATCACCACCGTGTCTGCTCTGACCAGTGGTGGCACCGTCTCGTGGGCCTACAACTGGGCCGGCTCCCTCTCTGGTTCTCTCCCCTCAGACATCGAATTCGTTCCCATGCTCTGGGGCACCAATTTCTTTGGTGCCTGGGTGACCGCCATCGAGACCGCTTTGTCCAGCGGCAGTAGCTACATTCTGGGATTCAACGAGCCCGACATGGCTTCCCAGGCTAACATGAGCCCCGCGGATGCTGCCAGCTACTACCAGACCTACATCACCCCGTATTCCGGCCAGGCGAAGCTGATTTCCCCCGCCGTAACCTCCTCCACCGAGACCGGACTCGGTCTCGACTGGTTCGAGTCTTTCATCGGTAGCTGCAGCAGCTGTGGTATCTCCGGCCTCGCCGTTCACTGGTACGGTGACAATGCCGACGATTTCAAGACCTTCGTCACCAAGGCCGTCAACACTGCTTCCCAGTACAGTCTGTCCGAGGTCTGGATCACCGAGTTTGCTCTCAACGCTGATGTCAACGGCTCTGCGGACCCCGCTACTACTGCTGCTTTCCTTGACGAGGTTCTCCCTTGGTTGGATGCGCAGACTGGTGTCACTCGCTACTCTTACTTCATGTGCGCTGAGAACTACTTGCTCTCTGGCAGCACTCTCAACGCGGCTGGCCAAGCTTACGTCTCTGCGTAAGACTGTGCTTGACATGTTAAACAACAAATTAAACAATGAATCACCAAAATAAGAGGAGGAGGGGGTTTACAAGCAATTTACATTTATTCTATGGGTTCTGCTGGCGATTGGTCGCCTTGTCATTTAAGAATTTTCTGTTTATATTTTCTAGGAGTTAACGCAAATATCCACCATGCCATTTTTTTTTATCCATTTGAACCCATTCTTTGTGTAAGAGAAAATGGTCTGTAATATAAATTCTAGAATATTGATTAAGTTTAATACATGATCAAATCTCGCCATGTACGTTAGAATGAGGTGGCGGGTTGGCGATGGCCACAATGGCATTCATGGCCCGCCACAATACCTGACTGCCAGACAGATCCAACAATGCGACAATATTCAGTCTAAAGGTCTCATTATTTATCTAATAACAAAGTTGAAACTCGAAATCTCGCTTTGATACAGTCCATTATTGGATTCTAATTTCGTGTCTACCACCGTATCCTGTTCTTTGTTCCTTTGTGTCTCTTTTAAGTATCAACAATGGGCATTGAAATATCGAGAGTCAAGGCCACAATGTGTAATAGTTCATCTTCAGTCACAAAGAGCCTTTCGAGTATTAATGGAGGACAGGTTCCTCTCATGACCTTCGATTTTCTAACCATTCAAGCACTCAAGCATCCAAGCATTCAAAACATACGAAGTATCATTTCTCAAAGCAAACATGTCTGTGCCACAGCCACCCCCGATCAAGAATTGGCCGCACACCTTCGACAATAAATATGTGTTCAAGCGTCTTGGCATAGCAGAACGCCCCGACGACCAACAGGCTGTCCAAGATTTAGCACAAGAGGTCTTTGATGTTGCGGCGATTGAGGCTGATAAAGACGGCAGACCCGTCGACAGGCTTTTCCGATCAATTAATTCACGCAATAAAATTCTATACGAGTGGCGCAGGCGACTACCGAGGCTACCAGCTGCTGTTAGCAATCACGTCACGGATAGCGAGCTTCTCACTGGGGCACTGTATAAATACTTAAATTGTGTCCAAGATGATTTGGTAAAGGATTTTGACAGACGGCAGAATCAACCATCACAGCCGCAACTAGCATACAAAACGGTACAGGAACCAGCACAGCAGAAAAAAGCACAGCAGGAAACACCCGAAACCACAAAGCACGCAGAGGAACCAGAAAGGTCAGTACAAAACCAACCAGAACAACAGAAGAAATTTGACTATACTCGGCCCTACATAGTGCCCAATGGCGACGTCCAGATTATCCGAGCAGATCACCCAGATATGCCAATTGCAATCAGGATGAGTGACTTTTTAAATGATCAAGAAAACCCGCAGAATATATGCCCGAATGGGGATTGGGTCAACATCGCTAACATTAGATTCGAGATGTTCAGAGAAAACCTCGCCCAAGAAGGCTTTCTGCAAGGTGGGGACACAATCTGGCTGCACCATCTCTCTTTAGACCAAATCAATACCGCGCTTATTGCTAACCCACAGGCTGGCGAGGTACGACTAGCCTCCTTCAATCTTGCATCTACACTTTTGCGAACTATCCGTGAGCATTGGCCTAGACTTCGAAATCCCTCCCCTGATCCCTTTGTAGGTGACAAACGCTCACCATTACCCAGACCAAATATGACTATTATCATCCGGTCCAAGGTTGTAAGAGGTAAGATCTCCTTATTGATCTAATTTGATTGCTGAAAGACAGAATACTAACATTCCTCTTCTTATACAGGTGGCGCCCTCCCTGCTAACCAGCCAGGAATAGCTCGTCCCACCGAAAAGATGGGTGGCAACAAGATCACTCCTAACCGCCATGTTGAACAGGTGGCCAGATATGCGGCCGTGAGACACTCCAAGACCAAGCGAAAGAGGGCAGAGGCGGAAGCTGCATCGGGAGCCGAAGGAGAACCCGAGGCTGCGCCAGCGGCTCAGAGAAGAAGGCTAGAAGCAGCACCTGGAACTGCCACTGTTCCCGCTGCTGGCATTGCCCCTGGTCCTGGTACTGTTCCCGCTATACGACAACCCCAGGAAGTGACTGCCGATGATACTGCTATGAGAGCGCTTTTAGGTCCTGAAGTCTTTGAAGAATTGAGAAGTGCGCGCGAAGAGAATGCCGAGCAACAACCCCAGGGAGGGGATGACGATGATTCTGGCTTTCTTGGGCTTTTGGATGTTGCAAGCTTTAACGAATCGGGAGTTGTGGGTGACGATAGCGCCGCCTTACAAGCCTTCTTTGAGGGTAACGAATGGGTCGGAGAACCGATGGAGGAGGATTGAAAGAAGGAATGAGGACAAGAGGTAAGAATAGTAAATGAGGTAATACCGACAGACCTTAGTAATATTGTGTTTCTCTAATGTTATGCTATGCGAATATTGTATTCAGTTATGTCTAAAGTGCCATTTTCTGACGCTGCCCAGCAACAAAACTCAAGAAGGTACTTCTTCCCCCTTGTAAGAGCTAATAACCCAAAAATCCCTGGACCGCATTATAACTTAACTCCAAATCCATCTCAAAGTCTTGCACTATAGACTATGGTCCTGTAGATGGTGAACTGTATCTCAAAAGTCACATTTTCTTTTCATGATTGCTTCTAAATCGAGCCCGCTTCCAATGACTTTAGAGTCGTATTCTATTTTCATTTTCGTTCTAAATATAGTAGATCCTGGGACTGAAAGAAAATAAAACAGAAAGATATTGCAGGAGTTGTACTGAAGCGAACGACAGTGATGGTTCTTTGCGGAGTCGAATTTTTATATAAGCAGAAGCGCAGAGCTGAGTCCCTTGAGAGACTATAGTTACTGGGAAGGCAGAAAGACAATCACACGTTTCTGCGATAATTCAAGCGCAGGTGAATGGCTTACTTACTGACCCCGACTCAAATTTGTTAACCTATGAAGCATCGAGTCAGCAATCTTCCCGGAAGCATAAGAGGAAAAAGGGCTTACCAGTTCGGCGATGCTAGCATAGGTGCCGCATCCGAAAATAATCATGCCCACTAGGAATACCACACCATTCAAAATCGCAGGCTTCAAATTGTGCTTTTCATACCATGCCCCCTCTTTTAGAAGCATATACCACATGATTGGTGGGATATAGAAAGACAGTCCAGAGACGAACAGGGAAGAAATGATAGAGAGCAATTCGGAAAAGATGGGAATGGCCTCAGCGATGATCCAAGCTAGGATGGTAACAACAAACACAAGACTAAGCCATGTGCTCCAACCCCTAGCAGAGTTGACGAAGCGAACGACCGAGTCCCGGTATATCTTTCCGTGGATGTATCGACAAACAACTGTTGTATTGATAGACCCCGAAATGAAGATGACTGGAAGCGCTATGCCGAAGACAACCCTTGAGATGACCGGGCCCGCGGACAGCAATGCAGGTGATTGAACGTCCTGCCCGACAAAGGCATAGATGATTGACCCTGTCAGGGTGTAGATAACAATTTGGATCCCTCCTAGCCACCAAAGCGTTTTGACATAATCCTCGGGGGTATGCATATCTTCCATGAACGAAGGCAGACATCCAGCAAAGGAATACGCAAAAACAATATTATTGGTGGCTACGATAGCCGCGGAGAAAGTAAGACCAGGCTTCGGCCAAGCAGACCACGGTGAGTGACCGACAGAAAAGTCACCCGAACCATTCGAGCTCTGAATTCCAGTCGCGATCATCGTTACCCCAATGGCTATGACGATCGACGCGAAGTCAATGTAGCCCAGTATCGCAATCTCAGCAAATGACGGAGGAATAGCAAGCAACATCAGGATTGCAGCAGATGCAACGCTAAAGATGATCGAGCATGAGCTGCTTTGAGTGATATTCTGGAATGCAATCGCACCAGTCAAGCAGTGCGACCCAATCACGAAGACAAGAAGAGCAACAAAGCTGCCCACGAAGAGTTTTGATCCCAAATTCCCCAGCAGCAGTCGGCCGACATCTGCATAATGACCAACTTGTGGATACCGCAGTTTGACTTCGCCGATGTTATAGCCCGCGTAGATTGCAACGAAGCCAAGTCCAACAGTTAGGATCACGCCTGCGACCATGCCGAGGGCGGCGAATGCGGATGGCAGGCCTAGACTTCCCAGGGCAATCGCCTCGACTATCGAAATGACAGTGAGTCGTTTCCAGCCTAAACGGCGGAATCGGGCATTTCCTTCTAAGATCGCTTGTAACTCAGGGTCCTGATCCTTAGGGAGAGCTTCGCTGGCCATTGTGTGGAGATTTTGTGGGAAGTTTATCGATGAATTGGCGAGCTGTATACCAGACTGGTATAGATGTAAGTGCAGCTTGGCAAACGCAAGTTTAACGAAGAAAAGGAAAAATCAAAACCAAGAAGAAAGGCGGATCAGATAAGATCAAAAGAGTTAAAATCGACCGATGGTCGGACCTACGGAGTGGAGTAACCCCTCAGCAACATGACACTCTGCGGAATAATCCGTACCCTGATGGCCTTATGAAGACTGTCTAGATGTGGAGCACAGTGGAGTCAGTCAGCATGATGTGTATCAATCATATGGATTGAGATATAGGAGAGACTGCTGATTCGCAAGATTCCTGGCGCTAGGTTCGGTTAAACTATATTCTGCAGGAAGAAAAGTAGGCCGTGTCGGGGCAAGCCGCAAGAACAATGAGACACTGGCATCCGCTAGGCTTATACAGGATAAGCACCTGAACTTCCAAGACTGCTAATGAAAATTTCAAGGTCCCAACTCCCGAAGGGTGTACGTAATCGTTTCAGCTCGTGAAGAAGGTCGTTTATAGGTTAGATGATTTTTTCTTCAGGTTATATTGGGTTCTACCACCCTCAAGCCTGATGCCCGTTTGTTAAGCTTTCTTCTTGTCTCCAGCTTGTGTGTTCATGGAGCCATCTTCTCGAGATGGGCGATCGGAGACAGAACCATGTTGTCCTCCGATTCGGCATAGTGAAAGACTAACACTTGATCCAAAGTCGGTATATCGGCAATAATGGATACCAAATCCGATAATTGGAAGCACGGGGAATCGAGGGGCACATAGTACATATAAACGAAGCCTTGGAGGCCTGCTTTAAGTTCTAAGATTCCAAGATTTCCGACCTCGGGAGGGTCCAAGGGTCAGAAATTGGGCTAGCCTAGATAGGCATAGTGGGTTGTCACTGGCGGCGTGAGGCCAGGACTATGAGCAAATAAGGGAAATCACCGTTACAGGAACCCATTCTAAGCATTCAATTTCACCAGATAGGAAATGATCCCGTGGTGTATACAATCACTTGAATCTCGAACACACTAGAGAAACTTGTGCAGTCAGGGGTTCTCAGAACAAAAAGATTCACTACGGTAGTACTTCGCCAAGATCTTGTTTAGAGATGTATGTTCAAGGATTCTGAGCAACCAAAGACATTACCGGAGAGATTTCTCCTAATTTCATAAAATGATGTGGTTTGAAGGAATATTGGTTGTTTTTGTTTGCTTCTGTAGACCGGAGGGTTTATATGTAAGATGAACTTCAGATTCATCGAAAATCAATCTGAATTCTATACGGAATGTGGTTCATGAATGAAACTCTATAGTTTACTTGGTCGAGTCTCAATTTACAACGATATACATTCTTAGACAATGGTAGTAGATACAAAAGATTCAAAAGGCCAACCAGATCACCCGCCCGAAGTGGTCTTGAACAAAACCTCTGAGAGTGGCTGTCTCCAATCGAGCTCGAGGTACCTAAAGATCCACTGGATCAAAGAGGAAACCCAAGGGCCAACTCAGACCGCCTGACCGAAATGCTCTTGAGCAAAATCTCTGAGAGAAGCTGTCTTCAAGTGAGCTTGAGGCACCCAAAGACCCGCCGGGTCAAAAAGGAAACCCTTACCCCCAGCAAAAACACTACGACAGATGGTCCCCACAGATAGCTCCGCCTGCAAATCATCCTGAGCTTCCTTTTGAGTGAAGAGCTTTCGCGTGAACTTCTGTCCAGTAACCTCCTCCATCGCGTTCGCCACATCGCGATAGGAAACGATGTCTCCAGCAACATAGACTGCCCCATTCACAAAGACAGCATCTCGCTCTGGACCGAGGACAATCTCCGCCGTGAACTTCCCAATATCCTTTGTTATGGTTACAACAAATTGATTATCCCAGTTTCCACTGCCATAGACAACCTTGTTTTCCACATCTACCAAACCTGAAACCGGAGGAAAGATGACGCTGGTGAAGAATCCCGTCGCAAGTGTCAGCCACCGGGTGGTGCTCTGGGACCGAAGCAATTCTTTCCCATCCAACTGCTCGTCGAACATACCCGACTCCCGTCCGATAGCCTCGTAGTCCATGCCGAACTGCCATGGAATGTAGTACGGCACTTGCGCAGCAATAATGGCCTTGGAGATCTTGATTTGAAGGCCGCTTTGTGCCATGTATCCGGTGCAACAGATGACGACTTCGAATCCCTTGAAGATCGAGGCGAGTTTCTCCTCAGAGTCAACAGCAAGGTCGCTAGGGGTAAACGTGATTCCCAGTTTGCGGAAGCCCTCAATGCGTTCCGCTTTGCTCGCCTCTTGAGAGTTGATGGAGCTCTCCCGAAGTAGGACTGAGATGGTTGTATCGGGTTGTCTGCGAGGGTGGTGGGCGAGGGCTTGCAGAATAAACGTGCCCAGCTCGCCAGCTCCGATGACGAGGATGCTGCCAGGGGTTCTCATGTTGGAACAATGGAGAAGTATTGAAAGGTGCAATGTAATAACGTATTCCACTACCGAGTGGGCCACCACTACCGAGTGGGCCACCTATCCAAAACGCGTCAATTAATTTAACCCCTTCTTCTTCAACCACCCACCATACCACCAATTCGCTCTCAACGCTCTAGAAATTTAATAGAGCAAGAGGGTAGGATCTTACTAGCTATCCAGGCTTTTAAGAATCAAGAAATCTCTTCAATTCGTGAAGTGGCGCGCCGTTTCGAAGTCCCCCGCTCTACCTTACAACGCCGCCTCGCTGGTGATACCTTTCGTCCTAAAACACGCGCCAATAGTCATATATTAATAGAACTCGAGGAGAAATCTCTTCAAAAATAGATACTCTCTATAGATTCTCGTAGAGGGGCCCCCCGGCACTCTATAGTACGAGAAATGGCGGATCTTCTTCTTCAAAAGCGTGGAACTACCCTGGTTCCTTCGGTCGGCGAAAACTAGGTTACAAAATTCGTATAATATTATCCTCTCCTCTCCTCCTGATTCTTAAAACGGTATAACTACAAGCGTGCGAAATGTAAGGACCTAAAAATCATTTAAGGGTAGTTTAATCTAGTTTAAAAGATAATCTTTTAATTTAGAATCGATCCTGATAATATCTATAACTTTGATAAGACTGGTTTCGCTATAGGAGTGATTTTAACTATAAAGGTTATTATAAGAAGTGATTTACCTAGTTAAAGAGGAGTTTTATAACCTAGAAATTATAAATAGGTGATTATAATTAAGTATACGAATACTTTAGGTTAGGCCCTCCTTCTATATATGATTTTTAAAGGTAAAGTCTTTCTTAAATTATAGTTTAAAGGCCTTCTGGAGAACTAATATTTCGAAGTAAGCCCTAACAGCTAGACCTCTGATAAAATTAGACTCTGTTAGCTAGAAAAGCTCTTTATTCCTAGTACTTCTTCGCGTATAAAGGGGGGGTATCGGCTTCTAGTACTTAACAGCCACAGAAGTCATTTAACACTTAAATTTGATAAAATTTATAAGTAAAATAAGGTAATACTAATCTATATACTAGTATATTTATCTTATCTTTTATAACCTCTGGATATTAGCTGTTTTGCGGTATTAAAACGATTATATAGTCGGATAGTTGAAACTAAAATGCGGAATAGGATTAACTATATCGACAAGCTTGACTTCCTCGAAGTATACCCCCTCGTACGAATTGAAGCCTTTAAATCGGAGACTATTAAAAATAGCTTCAGAGCAGCCGGTTTAGTCCCCTTTTTACCGGAGAGAGTGATTTTAAAGCTTAATATTCGGCTTCGAACTCTAACCCCCCTAGCTAGCCGGGGTAGTGAATTAAGCCGGAATTTTACACCAAAAACCCCTTTTACAGAGAAAGATCTATGTCGTCAGGCTTCATCAATCAAAGCTTTACTTCGTACAAGATCTCGAAGCCTGCCTAGCCCGTCAGATCGTACATTAAACCAGCTTGTGAAAGGCTTCCGTCTTACAATACAAGGTGCTATCTTACTCGCCAAAGAAAACAAGGAATTACGCGCCGCTAACGAGAAGCAGAAGTAAAAGCGTACTCGATCTCGAAGGTAGATACCCGCCGAAGAAGGCCTTTCAGTTCAAGAAGCCTCTACATTAATTATACAGTAACAGGAAGCAACTAAAGCACCTCTCCCCGGCCCCGGCATACCTAGAGAATTGGCTATTCAGCCACGTACGCGCCCCCCCCGGGGGTGTGGAATATGTAGATTGCCAGGGCATAGAAGAGAAACATATCCAGATAGACCACTTAGTTAGTTCAATTAATTTAATGGCGTAATGGTTGAGATAAATGTATTTAAAATTGGTAGGTTAGATGGGGTGGCCCACTCGGTAGTGGTGGCCCACTCGGTAGTGGAATACGTTAATGAGAGAGGTTATAGCTTAGTTCTTCTATTGGGTTATGCGGTGGTTTTATACTGATGTTGATTGTCAATCAACCTCCTTTAGTTTGTTAATCAACCTAGAGATTGTCAATCAGCCTGTATAGTCTCAATGCCAAGACCTCGGGAGGTGACACGGATAGATTTCTCCCCGACTCGGAGACATAATTTTGTGTCTCAAATGCTCTTTAAGTTGCCGCTAAAACAACCTTGATAGTCTACGCCAATGGTGTCGAATCAAGTTAAACCAATTAATGAATACTTTTCTTATTTTCTATTACAACATACATAATTACCAGAGGTGAATAATTATGCCATGTACTTGACTCAGTTATGTACGTCAGAATAACTGGAACATAGGTATCAGCACTAAACCTTACGATATTTTAAACATTTCAATAAAAATAATAAAAATACGAAGATAAGGAATTCTTTACTAATAAAGCTAGAAAATTGCTGGCACCTGTGGACACATAGTGTAGTGGATGCTATTTAGCTACTCTCGTACTTGAATATTAATATTTATGCAGTAGAGAACGTGCATTACACCTCTCTCGTTGGCTGGAAGTATAAATTTGGCAATAGAGTACATTAACAGACAGGATGTAATCTACCTTCTAAGTTGGTGTTCATACTAGGGAACTATATACACATACCTACTTTAGTGGTTAGAGATAAAACATCCTTACTCAATAGATATATCTCCCTGACGTGTGCCGTGATGAATTTATGCTCCAAAGATAAGTTGAACCATTTTCATAAAAATGTGCATAAAGCAAAGAAGTATTCTTATGCTAACAGAGTAAAATAAGACACGTAGGTATAACACCTACGGAGTCGCACAGTTGGTCTTCTCACACCTGACTTCTAATCCCGGAGCAACTCTTCATATGTCGGAAGTTTCCAGTCCTTGACAGGATTCGCAGAAAATTTGCTGAGCAGATCCAATCTCAAAAAGGAAGCAATTCCCATAAGATGGTTCATGAGAGCAACACCGAACGCCGTGGCCGAAATCCTATCCCAAAGCCCCCCGTCATCGGAAACACCTTCCTGAACCTGGCTGATAAAAGGGCGAAACTTCTGTTCATACGCCTGAAGCGCAGTCATAAGAGCGTCTGGGGTATCATTCCCTTCCACGAAATGCTTCTCAGAAGGTCCACCACAGTGCCGCCCAATCTCCCCAGCCAGAACATAGGCACCAACAATCCCAGAAGTGGTACCCATTCCTGTCATTGCTGACGGACAATAAGCAGCATCCCCGGCGAGCGTGACCCGACCGCGAGACCAACAATCTAACTTGACCAGACCTAAACGCTCACAGTAGAAGTTGTCGGCATCTTCGAGAGATTTCAATATCTCATCCGTTTTCCACCCCGCTCCTTGAAGCATCTCCTTCAATGCCTCCTTTTGCTCTGCAACATCACCCTGCAAACGCTTCTTGAGCTGCTCTGAATTCGTCTGGCCGCCGATATATGCTTGGATCTCGTGCACATTGTGCCTTCGGGTCATAATAACGCGCCTTCCGGGTGCCGTGTATGTTGTAGCGACATATCCTTCCCCGTCCTTGATTGGTTGTGGGAGGGTGAAATATCCGACATAGAGACCGTTGAGTGGATGGAATGCATCGGGGGCCTCGCTCCCGAGCATAATCTTTCGAGTACGCGACCCTTGGCCATCGGCACCAATCACGAGGTCGAAACGGTCTTCGGTGGCATTTGTGAATCGAACGTTGATCGCTTTTTCCTTCTCGTTTTCCTCGAAGCTCTCAATTGATGTGCCGAAGATGTAGTTGGCCCGACTTTTGGTCACATCATAGATGATTTGACACAGATCGCCTCTCATAATCTCGAAGTTGGTACTAAAACCCAAATTGACACTTGAATCATTTGATGGGAAAAAGGCCACCCGTCTACCCGCTTGATTCACCATTTGCATGCCCTGCTCTGGGATTGAATGTGCCTTAAAGGCCTGTTCGAGGCCCATGCGCTTCATGACTTCGACTCCGTGGCTGCGTAGATCAATCTGGAGCCCTGAAGTTCGAAGGAAAGGAGAACGCTCGATGATTGTGACATTGTGACCTAGCTTCGAGAGCCAAAAGGCCAGGGAATTGCCGGTGATGCCAGCGCCGCTGATGAGGATCTTCATTGGTGCCATGGTATTTCAATATATGGGTGGTCGGTTTATATGAAACGGAAAGGCAAGTTGGTTTCGGAAAAGGGGATTGATGTTGGCTCCGAGGAGTTTAAATAGTGAGCTCGGATATTATACGAGTGTATAAAATTTGAGACCGATTATCTCCGCCCCGTGTTAAGACCGCTGCTTCAGCCGATGGAAGTTAGAAAACTTCAGTAATAGCTCAGAGAAGTCTATTTACCTGTGAAGCACAGCGGTAATACTAGTATAATTGTGACCAGGTACTTATTTAGTAGGTTCTTTCTCAATGCTACTGAGTTCAGATCATAGGGCAAAACCAACAAAGTTATATATATTACAGTTATATATATTACAAGGCCTTTTAGACGAACTATATACATAAATCAAACCCCAAAATGAGTCTTGTGCGAAAGTATCAAGGAAACCCAGCATCTGGCAAGAGAAAGTCCCAGTCCAAGTCCAACTCATATCCCAAATCAGGACCTTCGGACCCATCATCAAGACTTGACCCAGACGTAATTCCAGCATTGTTGGGTAGTCCCAAAGACGAAGAGTTTGCCCGAGCTAATAAAAGCCCATGGCAGAATTCGAGGCTGTCTTTCGCACTCTGTGCGATGGCTAATTCGCAATCGGTACCCGTTTGCACCGCTCCGACCTTTGCCAAGATCATGCTAAGGAACATATGACCCTTGATATTTGTCTCTCCGTGGCGAATCCTCTCAGAAGAGAGACTAATCATGTCATTGACAGACCGCTTGAGAAACATAATATAACCGGAGTTACGGTGCAACGTTCCGTTAATGTATTGGGCTTCGAGCTGGGCTAAGAGCTCAATGGCAATGACAGTCATCGCGCACCATATACCCTCTCTGAATAGCCCTCCACCATTGACCATTAGCTCGAAGAAGCCTTCATCTAGTTCAGGTGACATGATAGTCATGGCCGTTTCTAGGCTGACCTTCAACGAGAAGGCAAATAATGGGTTTGTGCGGGCCTTGTTTGTAAAGTGACAATGCAGAGGTATCATGAATCGACGCACAAGGTAGTCAAGTAAGTTTCGGTGAAATGGCGTGATCTTGGAACTTTGGTTCTCCTTCATGAAACTGTGGTATGCGCGAGACGCATTGTTGAGTTCTGAACTTAAGGCAAGGACATCCAGATAAGAAATTTTTGTGTTTAAACTGGTAAGGAGATGAAGTATACGAAGGCGGACTGGCAATGAGTCAAGTAGTAAGACTTGGAATGAGGTATCGGTGTGAGTGCCTTTGGGATGAGGCTGGACTACCGTGGTAGTTTCATCAATCTCATCGTCGTTGATGTTCGAAGGGGCCTCCGTGTCAGACTCGGGGATGCTGGCTGGCATGGCCGAATCCAAAGACGACTGCGCCGTCATTTCAATAATTGTAGCCCATAGCCTCCTTCGAATTTCGGCCTGCAGCACAGATATCCCAGAGAGATGCTTGGGATCTCGGTGTAGGTTTATTTGCATGGCTTTGTGAACGAGAGATCCCATGGAGGTCCACACAAGATCAGCGCCGATCGAGAAAAGTTGCCGAGCTAGGATTGTGAGGCAGTCGATTTGCAGCGCGGAAACACTCAGTCGGTCTTTTTCTAGTGGCCCAGAAAGCCATGCTTGAGCAGCATATACCCACCGATGGACCATTGTTCGGAAACCGATATCTAAATTTTCCTGTTTGTGCAGGCTTGAACCTATCCCGATCACGAGAAGAACTTTAAGGCGTAGCTCATTGGGCGCATTATGCGGATCGTTCCAATATCTCTGATACTCACCCCAAAAGGAAGGTATATGAAGTATGCGGTGTGTTGACTCGAAGGATTGCAGATACAAGGTTACCATCATATCTGATAGCTCGCGAGATGGAGGTTTAGGGCCAAGCTGGGGATTCGATATTGATCTGCTGGGCCGCCAGGTCTTGATGCCTCTCGCTGTGTGTTTGCATTTTTGAAGAAGATCATCGACTTGAAGAAGTAGGGCTTTGGTTTCAGTGCCTTTGAATGTTTCTCCTTTACCTTTTCCAGTAGCCTCAGTATAAAATGTCAGAAAAGGCTCAAACTTGCGATATAATTAGTGGAATGATTTAAGGTGTAGGTTAATGCAGACCCTACCTCTTTAGCTGTGCCCATCCATAAACTCCATCGCATGACCCTAGTCTTTGTGAAAATCCACTGAAGATCTTCTGGTTGGGACGGGCGGCCAAATATTTCCCGACCGGTGTCGGATAGGCCATGCACAGACTTTTGTGCCGAAGACTGTTCTAGGCTCTGGACCCTTCGTAAAAGATCTTCAATAGTTGATTCTGAGTTTTGTGCTCGCCTTGGCTGTTCATTATCCATTTGATTTGGGAAAATTGAACCATAATGTGGCATTTCTGTTGGTGTTGGTGTCCCTGTCGCAATGGTGTCTAGTGGTTGGCCATGATCTCTAGATGATGGGAGGTCATCTCTGGATGGTTGAACATGTGACGATGGTGAAGGTGCGAGAGTACCCAGTGTTGAGTGTCTTGAGGTACTTTCTCGAGACTGCAGGGGGGACCCAGGTTGATCGCCGTAAAGCTTGTAGGTACATCGTGTCTGAACGGCGACACAACGCGTGCAAGGGTCATTTCGGTCGCAACGAATTTTGCGACGGCGGCACTCAATGCAAGAGCGAGCTGGCCTTCGGCGTCGACGGGGTTGAGACTCCATGGGGAACTTGTTTGGAAGTGTTTTGATAGAAAGAATGTCCGTGAGATCGGAGAATTCGGTAATTGAAAATGCCGCGTTACGGCCGCTTATCCCCGTCGACCGTCGACCGTCGACCATCGACCATCGACCATCGACCATCGAGAACAACATTGGAATAATTGACCAATGAGCTGTACTTGAATTCTGTTGTCTTTTATTGTTATCAAAAGTCTTGCGGGGTTAATGATCTGCAGGTCCTTTGGTCCTTGTGCATCGATGCTGCATATCGGTCTCTCGTCTCCGACGGTGTTGCTTGTACTCCGTCGGACGGATAGTGAACATGTGAAATGTTGAGCACAACTGGTTTCATTTAAAAGAGAGAAAAATAATGCAATGATCTATAGTTCATCAATTTATTCAACTTTGATTGATTTATTAAATGGCTCTTCTATCCCTTTTGCTCTCGCCATGGGCTATGGCCGCGGCCATCCCCGTATGGTTCGCGCTCTACTACATATACCCCTATTTAGTTTCATACGAGCACTTAAGTCAAGTCCCGGGTCCTTTTGTCGCCAAATTCAGCAACATATGGGTCGGATTAAGTGCCAAACATGGCCAGAAATATGCGGCAGTCGACGCGGCCCATCGAAAACACGGTAAAGTCGTCCGTATTGGATTCAACCACGTGTCTATCGCCGATGAACGGGCATTGAATATTGTTTATGGGCATGGAAATGGGTTTCTCAAGGAGTAAGTCATCTTTCTAAGCTGTATCAATATTTACTAGTGTTAACGAAAGGTGTCTAGTCACTATTATGAAGCATTTGTGGCGCGAACCCCGGGGATGTTCAATGTTCGCGACCGCGCCGAACATACACGCAAGCGGAAAATTATATCCCATGCCTTCTCTCCCAGGTCAGTCGCTGAGTTTGAGCCGTTTATGGCGGAAAACCTACAGCGATGGATAACCCAGCTGGACCGGATCGCGGCTTCTCAGCCACAACATAATGGGAAGGAATTTGCTCGATACAACGCAATGCCCTGGTTCAGCTACCTTGCTTTTGACATAATCGGAGATCTGGCATTTGGATCACCGTTTGGGATGGTAAATAAGGGCAAAGACGAGACTGAGACGCAGCTCGTAACTGGAGGACCCATTTCATACACCCCGGCAGTCGACGTGTTGAATAGAAGAGGCGAGGTCTCTTCAACATTGGGCCTTCTCCCAGCACTGCGTCCTTGGGCTCGGTACCTTCCCGACCCATTTTTCACTAAGGGAGTAGCGGCTGTGGAGAACCTGACAGGAATTGCTGTCGCCGCTGTCGCGTCACGACTGGATGCTGCAGAGAAGGGAATGGTCGACTCGCGTAACGATATTCTTTCGCGCTTGCTACAGGCTAAAGATGCCAATGGAAGGCCGATGGAGCGAGATGAGCTCATAGCAGAGGCTCTGACGCAGCTTATCGCTGGCTCTGACACAATATCCAACACGGCCTGCGGGATCTTTTACTGGATACTGCATGGAGAACGCAGTGCGCCAGGCACAATAATTCCCCGACTCCAAGAGGAGTTGGACCAAGTAATTGACCCGGAATCGAAGATTGCATCTTATTCTGAAATCAAAGATCTCCCATTCCTTCGACGATGCATCGATGAAGCAATGCGATTGCATTCTACCTCTGCTATTGGTCTGCCACGTTTGGTCGCCGATAATAGCCTCGGTGTCGATTTTGATGGCTTCCACTTCCCCCCTGGAACAGTACTTTCAGTTCCCTCGTATACTATTCATCATATGAAGGATATTTGGGGAGACGATGTCGAAGAATTCAAGCCTGACCGCTGGTTGAACCTGACTACCCGACAGAAAACTGCTTTCAACCCATTCTCATATGGGCCTCGGGCATGTGTCGGACAGAACGTCGCCATTATGGAGCTGCAGCTGATTATTGGAACTTTGTTCCATCGATATGAGTTCGCCTTGTACCAGCCAATCATGGAGTCACACGAAGGGTTCTCGAAGAAGCCTAAGGAGTGCCAAGCAGGTCTTAGACTGAGAGAGTGCAATTGATGTCCCGGATTTTTAAATTTGTATATGGAACTGATAGGAGTAAATGGATTATATTCACAATGGGAGGGAGCATGTCAATAATTGTCAACTCAATTTAAATCACATTACCAAAGAACATATCTTCAAGCGATGGAAACTCCTGCTCGATACCCCATTCGTTACAAACCCAGGGATCAGTAGCATTGTGAACTGGCTGCGGTATATAAATCCCTGTGCTATTCTCTCCCATCGAAGCCACACAATCTTCTTGCTCGATCCTATCTGCAACATGTTGCTTCACGATGTTCAGAGACCACCGGCTCACAGGCTCTGCTTTGCCTCCACATTGAATATGTGAGACGGCTTGTTCCATGAGAATGATTATACTGCCCACATCATCTAAATGGGCCACAAACTCGGCTAGTGTCACCATTGCGAAGGAACACAGCACGTTTTCGTAAGCAGGATGGATATAAGTAGTCAAATCTGACATCGAGACAAATAAATTCAAGAGCCGATGCGACTGGCTAATTGCAAATTGAATGAGCGGGAGAGTTGATTCCTCTGGTGTAGTTCTGGGGTTGTTTATTTCCTCGGGTTGAGTTTCCCTCATATGTTGGAGTGTGCGACGTGCCAGAATTAAATAGGCGCAGGAGTATGCAAACCGCAGTGGCTCAGAGGAATCAAGCTCTATGATGAATATAATTAGTGCTTATCTAAGTGCTGCCATTAGAAGTTTCTTACTGTAAATGCTTTCCTGGGACTTTCGTAGGTCGTCGATTTCGGACCAAACAGCACTTCCATTTTGTATCACGTTAGAGCTTATGATTTCCCAAAGGAGTCGGTATAACCTGACTCCAGCCAACACGAGTTCATCGCGTGCATTATATGAAGGAAAATCGAGGACTTTGATGCATTCGTCAAAGTACTGGCTGGATATGATCGGTGGACGACCAGAGCCTACAGAGAACCTGAGATCAGTGTTAGATTTTCTTGATATAGATATTGGAAGCATTGAGAGTTTTCTATTGTAACGCACTGTAGCTGACAGAGGCAAATCAAATTCCACGTGCGCATTATTTCTTGTGCTTTGGCTCGTTCGCGTTCATCGGCGTCGCTTGTGTTTGGAAGCTGCCCAAACGGAGTAGTCATAATCACCCGCATGGCCGCCGTGCCACTGAGAAGCCAGGATGTACCATGATCAGGACCCAAAGTTGGCCGTAGGTCCCACATGGAGAAAATCAACATAGACTGTATTGTGTCGAGCGAGGCAGTGGAAGAAAGATGTGCATGACCCAGCAGTCCGTGAACATGGCGATACAAAGCTTGATGTGTTGATGACCCGTGTAAGGAGGGGGTGATGTGGAGACCTGCCAAAATACAAGTACCAAAGAGGAGCGGCGATTTCGTGCGTAGCTGGACGGGGTCTGTACTCATGAATAACCAGCGGTTGGATAATTTCGAGAATCTGGAAAATCAACATCGGAACAGATTCCAGAAGAACATCAATGGAAGTGTGCTCACCCTTTAAGAAGCACTATGGCAAGTTCTTCGGAAACTATACCGTTGATTATAATGTCTTCAGTGTTATCATCGCTGGTCGAGGGTTGTTCATGTAAAGTGATGTTCTGTCGGATCTCTTGGATAAGATTCATGGGTGCATCGCGTGTAGTTCGTTCAATATTTGAGGTTACCTAGAGTATCCAATCAATTGTATTGCCAATATGGCCCGTAGATATTCGAGATTTACCCCTGATTTAGTCCGGCAGTCGCTATTACTGCGCACGGACAGTGATGCTTGAAGTTGAGTCAAGGTAGTTTCCACTACACAAAGCCTATTCTCCATCAGTATATCAATCGAATCTCAAAAAATCGAGCATGGGAGGATATACCGTGTATGGTAGTCATCCCCGCTTGTCATAGAATCCACGTCCGCCTCTAGCAGCGGGTCGGGATGACTGCGGGAAATGGCTTGGAAAGAGCACTTAATTCTAAAATTGGTCAGATATAAAAGCCCAATAACCCAATTTCATAATGTGGGTTGCTACCGGAGAACATCGCAACGATGACATCGGTCAGAGTTGCCTGTTTCGCATCGCGTTTTCAAGCGCCGACAAGCCTCGCAGGATCGCGCTTTGCTCACTTTTGGTTTGCCTGAAGCGTTTCTATTTCGTCTTCGTTTCTTTATACACGACTCGGGCAAAGGCATAATTAGTTGACAAAATGAAGTTTAGTTAGGTGACATGGAGTAAAGAGGAAGGAAGATGATGTGTATCCCACTCTTGGAGAAGATGAAACTGTGCGGGCACATGCACCTTGTTTGTCAGGCGGTTACGAGCTGATCGACTATATATAACTACGTAATTATCCTCCTATGTGTGTAACATCCATTAAACCCACATGCTCGTTTATGTGCGTCCAATGTTGTCATGTGGATAGCTAAATCGCTAGCTTGAATCTCCATACCAATAACTCATCTTTCCTCTCTATATGTCCCCACATTACAAGTCCCCTGCCCTTGAAATCATATTATTGGCGACTAAAATGCCAATAAAACTATATCTATTGACAAAACAAAATAGATAATCCTCCAACCCGCGAACTTCAGCGAAAACAACCGACCCCCACCCTTGACTTGCTATCACACTGATAACCTCCACTACTCCGCTCGAAGTCTACAATTCCATTTGAGTTCTGTATCCAATTCAATTTACTGCGCTGTTATAATGGGCTTAACAGAAAGACAAAAGACCAAAGTATGTGGGGGAGCTGAACTTTATTTCCACTGTTAGATCACTCAAATCATAAGACTGAGTAATACAAGACTTTAAGGGCTCCCGAGGTTGATTACAACATCCGAAAAGTGAGATTTGGTACATAATTTCGATTTATTTACTTCTAACATAAAATATACCAAAAGCACCACTGCATAAAATGCGCCAATGGCTATAAAGACCAGCTTCGCCAACATCAATATTCAATAAGATAAATCTAAACTCCAAGCCGTTTGAAACCTTGCCTGACATAAAGAAAAGAAGACACCCGGCTTATAGCGTGTTCCCAGCTAAATCACCGAGAAAGTAATCTGTGAAGATTTTGAAGGCTTCCGATACCGACTTCTTGTTGTTTAATTCGTAAAGATGAGAAGAGCGAATCATGAGGGATTTTGATTTCTCGTCAAAATAGGACTCCAGTAAACGCGCACGCCTTCCCGCCAATGAGATGAGCAAAACCTGTAGAATACTCCGTTAGCAATCCCAAAAGATACAATGTAATAGGAGAAAGGGAAAATCGAGAATTACCGGTGCTATTTTATGGTGAACCAACCGCGCCTTACTCAATTGGCCCAACATCAGGCGAAGGCTGATTAAGAGTTCTCTGCGGAAACAAGTGTTACTGTCCGCCTCTTAAGTTATTGTATATGACTGCTTTGAAATGAGGAAATTCTCTTCCAGCACTATCCATCATCTCAAAAGCGCTAAACGAGGGAATGCCAAGTGCGGGACCGCCATACTGATATATGTCTTTGTAAGGGGTGTATTCGCCAGTCTATCGAATAGCGTTAGGCACAATGAACCAATATAGTGACGTAGCTCCAAGTAGCGGCGGACTTACTCCTTCGAACGCCACGGCCCGCAATCATCGAGCCGTACCTGATGGAAGGCATAAGAGCTCCAATTGGCGTGGATAACGCATGCATTTATTGTCATTAAGAGTGTATTGTGTGTTGTGCGTTTTCTGTTTCAGGTCCTTCTATTTTAGTTTCATGTCTGTTCATCTATACATCTCCGGGCGTATTCAATAATCAATACATACCTTTTACTTTCGTTGACTTGGGAGCTACCTTGTATGTTACCTCGTAAAGATTTAATTTTTATATATACGCGAAAGCGAACTGTATCGGCAGCGTTAATGTGTACCGTTTGCGTGAAACAACCTCAATTCCTTGGAAATGAATCAGAAAGAAGTGCGGCTCTCAGCGTCATATATCTATTGTTTATATTCTTATTCATTGAAAATGTATAACTCCACAAATGTAAGAAAGGGATCAAGGCGAATATACCTCGCGAAGCTGAAGCTCCGGACACTTCAAGTTTGGATCAAGTCCCTTCTCCGACAGGTCAATTGATTGTCCGCGCTGAAGAAGCCGAGCAATTCTGACAGGACCCAAAGCACTTCGCGAGAGAGTGAAGATCTGATCCATTTCCTCGAGACTGCGCCCGGCAGTTTCGGGAAACAGATAATAGATAACAGGTATCATCATTGCATTGCACCCCGCGAAGATGACGAAGTATGTCTGTCCCATGCTATTGAATGCAATGGGTGTGACAGCGGCGAGTATGATGCTGACCGCCCATGATATGCTGATGCTAAAGCTGTTAATAGTCGTGCGTAGGTGCAAAGGCGCAATCTCCGCGGCGTAGAGATATGGTATTGCGCCAAATCCGATGATGTAGCTGAAATGAAATAGGAAAATGAAGAAAACAGCACCGCGCATTGCAAGTGGGTTGTCAGCTTGAGTTCCAAGGCCAGCTACTAAAGCCAGACAGACGACATTTCCGATTGCACTGCCTAGAAGCAATACACGGCGACCAAGTCTGTCGATCTTGAAAACACAGAAGGTCCCGCCAATGGGACCGACTAGTTGGTAGACTGCTGCTAGGACTGTGGATGTTGAATTACCCAGAGAAAGGTTATTTTCAAAGATTGCGGTTGCTAAAAGTGCACAGAATATGTCAATACATGGTGTATATTGGGGATAGAAGATTCGGGGCACGTACTGTAGAACGTAATGACCGTAGAGCCGGTGAGTTGCAAGAATAACATTGCCAAAGCGGCAATCATAGCTCGGTGGAAAGTTCTTTGGGGGCCCATGTGGAATATTTGCCCAAGAGACTTTTTCTCGAACAAGTCCAGTGAGATTTGGACATCCTTGATTTTTGCTTCCACAGCTTGATCATCGACACATGTATCTTCAAGAGCTGCCAGGACTTCCCTAGCCTCAGAGAGTCGGCCTTGTCGGATTAGCCACCGGGGGGACTCTGGTAACAGGTAGATGAACACCAAAACAGACATAGAAAGCAGCATCACAAAAGCGAAAGGAAATCTCCAGGCGACGCTGCCTTGGGTAAATGACATTCCAAAGTCGAGAAAAAGAGCCATGGCACACCCCAAGCCGCTGAATATTCCCTTCATACCGACATGAGCACCGCGCTTGTTGGCAGGTGATATCTCCGACTGCCAAAGAGGGATTGTGGCTAGTAAAACACCAGTGCCTAAACCGATGATGACTCGAGATGTAGTGAGTTGAGTGAGAGAGCCTGAGCTGGCCATCAAAACAGCTCCAACAACTTGGACGACTGATCCTGCCATTATTGTGCGTCGGCGGCCATATCTGTCACCTAACCATATACAGGAGAGAGTCCCGAAGAACCCTCCTATTGTGTAAGCGGCCACAACAAGGCCTTGGATTGTTGATGCATGTGATTTATCATCGGCAGCGGCAATGTCCATCTCTGGGAATTGTTCTTCGAAGTTGCTCAGCGTCAAGACACCCCCCAGAAGTGATGCGTTGTAGCCTACTGTGAGGATTCCAGGCATGAGAACCCCCAGAATGGCTGCGACATTGAGGCTATTGCCCCGAAGGCCGAGGAAGCGTGGCATGTGTAGGCTGGGTGAGGGTCAGTGGGTAATATAATTATGATGGATCGGCAGGATTGAGATCGACACTGATCAACGGATCGACGAAGTTTCCTGTGCAAATCAGACTTATCAGACGCTGTCAACTTGATGAAATCCCCGAGATTTAAAGGAACTGAGAATAGTTGAGGCCCGGTTATTTCGGCTCGTTGGTATCACGCTCTAGGCATTCCATTGTTTTGTGCATTATCTTCTCATTGCCACCGAGCCCAAGTAGGATGGTTCAAGCCACATGATCCAGCGGAGAACATGCAAGGCTATTGGACTCATTCTTTCGGCTCGCTCTAGAACCAAGGGCTTCCAGTGGTCAGGCCGAGAATATTTGGAGGGAAACAGAAAGACAGATCAGGAAAAGCCCTTGTGACAGGGCCCAAGAATGCCCAGAAAGGGAGAGTAGCAGGAGAGGGAAATGAGAAAATGGTAAATAGCTTGTTAGAATTGTTGAAGAAAACACCAAAGTCTGGAGTAAATGGCACCTAAGAGCCGACGCAAGGGGAATGCTCCCACATGAGGGCCTAGGCATGTTCAACTCACCACAGTGAATTTTAAATGTGTTACAACGTATGTAGTACATGGTTATTTGGTAAATAAATCTTGGAGCTATAATAAAAGTGAAAAGCAAGGCGTTGCACATTGTAAATTATACATGAAGCACCTCTTATTAGGTCATTAGGGTAGTTAAAGAAACAAGATACGACCCAACAACAAGTGTACCCCTCGATCACAACAATATTCCGATAGAAGTCCAGTCGGGCCGACCCTAAAGGACTCCAATTATCTGAGTTCGTATGAAATAGAGCACAAAAGCCCGAAACTTAATCCCAAATGCCAAGGGATTAGGAATTCTATATGGAATGATACTGTACAATTGGGTTACAGTTCTTATGTGGTATCTTAATCTCTCATTTGCTTTTACAAATCGAAACTACGCCTTTTGTTACAACTCCTTTGGGAGGCAAGGAGATTTGAAATGATCTTGGTAGCCAAGATCGAAGATACCCTCTCACCCGCATTTAGCATTAACAAGGTTTAATTAACCCTAGGAAGTAACAACGTTATTATGTCGAGGTCTGCATAAGTATAAATATTGCATAAAAACTAAAAACTAACTAGTACTTAGAAACCTGAGATAAGGTTAATTGACAAGATATCCACTAGGATAGGCGAACTCCCCATGCTTAATTGCTTTACTCGACCATGGCACATCCTCATCCTTCCATTGCGAGTAAACAGTTTCCTCACCAGCAACCAATTGGTGGATATTACGCCTGGTACTGTATACCATATTCCAGGCCAGCTCTTCGTGAAATTCAGCCGCGTTGTTGCTCTCGATATCTGAATCCCGGGAGGCTGAGCCGGCCTTTCGATATGTACCAATCAAATTGGGAAATGGGGCCCAGCATTCAATCTTGTGACGTCCATTCGCACCCGCGCACAACTCACTCAGGGCATCATCTACCGGCTTATCCAAATGATCGATGGAAAGCGCGGAAACAATTTTCCTAGCACCCTTGGTCGTGACTGCATACCCGAACATGCAGCAGCCCATGTCAGCCCGATAGATAAACCGTGTCGAGTCCTCAGCCAATTCTGGATATTGTTGCTTCCACTTGTCGGTGGGTCCGCCCCAGGTGGCTCGGTGGTGGACCTTAGGAACTGTGGGGTCCATGGGGATAGCGTAGAAGCTTGTTTCGTTGGCATTGGGGCCCGAGGCACATCCGCCGATCCAGAGGAGATCCCAGTCTACTCCGTAAGGCGCTTCCTTGGATACAAACTTGGTTCCTTGCAAAGCGTGTAGCCCGCGCGCAAATTCCCCCAGCTGGGATTTAAGACTCACGTCCCAGTCTGCGTCGTCTTCCAAAATCAAAGCTGTCGAATAGCTATTACTTATCACACTGATGTTTTCGATGTCCAAGTGTCAGCATAGCCTTTGGGCAATGAGAATGAAATGTGACTGTACTTGACCAATGCATTCATGTGCGCACGCCAACATGCCACAACAGTGGGCTTCACCCGTGAGAGGTCCAGTCCCTAAAAAAGCGTGAGAATGTGATTAGGAGACTATTGATCTGGAAAGCGTACATCCGGCATGGCTTTGAGGGCTAGTTCATCCGGTCGCACTCCATCGAGCCATTCCACCTTGAACCCCGACACCGAGGCTGCTAGTGTCAGGAAATCGCGCTTGTCGGTCCGCTCTTTCATACTGATCGCATATATATGCTCAAACTAAAGATTGATATCCATCAGCAATCAGGTTTATAAGACAGTAGGCAAGGTCTAACCCCAAGAGTGTTGTTCTGGATATGTTCAAAGACACTATCGGCCATGTAATTCCGAGAGAGATCGAGATCGGGAAGCGAGATGGACCATGTTTTATCTCCGAAGCTTTTGAAAAGCACCATGCAGAAGATATAAGCAGTAAGAGCCGCCGCAGCGGCCATATGAAGGACCTTTCTCCTGGCGATCATGGTGAGCAGCGTTGTCAACAATCAAGATTGATGAGAATCAGGTCATTCACACCACCTCGGAATGGTTGAAGTCCAAGGAAACTGTGCCACATGAAAAATCATTGCAGCAACTTTCTTTTTCTCTCTTTACATTCTTCGCCGGGAACAGCTTGCTGTGAATGCATCGCGATCGAGCTTGTCCAAATGCGGATCTGACATACACGTGATAGTGTGGGTCCGGAGGTGTTCGTTGCCTTATTTTCAAGGCCGCATGGATTTCAATGGCAGCTTATTTACTTCAACCACAATCAATTAATTAATTACCCTTAATCTCTTCGTGTATTCAAGACACATACCTTGAACGTAGATTCTATTTACCTATATGAGTCACAGCCAAGGATTGCTTAAACATCTCCAAAGTATTTTTGACGAATCCGGTCCATTGCTAGCTCCTCGGGCATTGGTTGTAGAAATTTGTCAATTTCATCGATCCAAAAAGAGTTTTGTGGGTTAACTTAATAGGCAGAAGTATATTCCCAATATGACGGGTACCAACCAGCAGTTTCCCAGTCAATGATACCAACGACATCATCCCCGCGAACAAGAATATTGAGGCTGCTGAGGTCGCCGTGAGTAAATATCAAAGGCCAAGACTTGCTGTGTTGTTTTATAAGCTCTTGAGCCTCAGAGACAAGCCTTGAGTCGAATTATATGCCCATACGTAAATGCCGATGGAAGTCCTGGATGGTATTAAAAGGACCGAAGCGTAAGGAAGGACCCGGAACACGACAGTCAAAAAGCGATCCGCCATCAACAGAAGCAACATTAATACCTTCTAGAAGCTGAAGATTCCGCATCTCACGGACCCTTGCTGCTAATTGAGAAAGCAGTCTCATCTTTAAATCCTCGCTTCGTGTTACCCAGCCCCTACCAATCATATCTCCCTTAATCCTTTCCATTACGATGTATGTCCGCCCAGAACGAGTAAATGAACACAAAACCTTTGGTTCAGGGATGCATGTATGTTGCGATATGAACTGCATTGTTGATGCTTCGGATAAATGAATATGGCGCCCGTACTTGACGCATAGTCGGTCTGTCAACATGAGAACGGTCCCTTGTCGAGGTCGGATGCGCCTAAGAATTTTGATCGCTAGAAGTGTCGAGTATATAATAGATTCCCATTGATTGATTTGGATGCGCTCAATGAAGCAGTGGATGACGAGGAAAGAGGCCCTGTTTGGCTCGACCGCATTGTAATTGTGCCGGATAGAGAAGAGTATTTCGGGGAAATTTCAGTTCTTATCGGCAAAAGAGACTCAGTATTAGATAGCAAGGATTGAAAAACAGAGAAGATTTGAACAGAAAGTCTTCTATAGGGAGTGGTAGTGATGTGGAGCTCAGGATTCCTGGGTTGGACGTGTCCTGGCCCCTTGCACGTGATATCACCTAGACTCTATGTTGCACATCGTATTCTTAGGCCGGGCCTTCTATCATATCTGCTTACATAGCTTTGACTCCCAGCCCACTTTCCACCAAGGGACTTTGCATAACACTAGGCCAATTATGTATCTTTACAGTGGTTTGCTCACTCAAGCGAACTTCCTCGCCTGTCCGCATGACCATCTCCTCCTCGTACGCCTGTATAGCCGCGGATCGTTCCTCGATGGTGAAGTCACCCTGGTTCCAGAATGACTCAATTGCCTTACATGCCGTGTAAGCATCCTTCATAGCGTTATTGAGTCCCTGGCCACGCTGGAAAGTCATCGGATGAGCAGCATCACCTGCAAGAGTTACCCGGCCCTGTCGATTATCCCACCGATGCTCCGGCAGACTTGGGTCCCAGTTTCGAAGCTTGGAATACCAGCCATCGTTATCAGGGGACATCCAATCAAAGACACTGCGCCAGGGGTCAACAAATCGACGGGCCAACTCCTTCTGGTGTGCAACATGTTCCCGCATGGTTCGTTTATTGACATGATCGCGCGGTTCTGGGAAGGAGATATAATGGCCGAAAGTCCAATTTTCCGGGTGGTCGATATCGTCTCCGTCATGGAGGGTCAGCCAGGCACAATAACCCTCGGGATGAGGGCCCACTTGGTACAACGGATGGTGGGGATGGGCACGCAGGAAAAGGGCGTGCTCACGCGTATGCTGGGTAAAACATATGGTCGTGGCGAAATCAATCGGCGTGACTTTGGCGGCTTTCTCCCCAACTAGCAGTGCGCGTGTGGTCGAATGTGGACCATCGGTGGCAATTAGAAGACTGCCAATGACTTCTGTGCCGTCTGTAAACTTTGCAGTGACCCTTTCGCCGTCAGGGGAGTGAATAATATCATAAAGAGACTTCCCCCAATGCACATCGAGACCTTGAAGCAACATTGCCCGGAATTTGTCTCGGCGCAAGCGGTACACTTTGGACGACTTGAGCTCGGTGATCAGAGCTCCAGTCTCACCGTTGATCATGGGTAGTGGATTATTTTCTGCGATAGGGACATGCCGGTCAACCTGTGCCTCCTTGAGTCCAGCCATAATGTCTGCGGGCACAAGGTATTGCAACGGTTCATAGCCCCAGTGCAGTCCCATACTCCAGCTTCGTTTACCAGTCGGTTCTTCTTCTTCTTTTTCGAAAATCACAAAAGGTATCCCGGCCTAAAGTGTTGCGGTCCTGTTAATGGGGCAGATTTGACATGACTGCGATCCTCCAACCTTTTTCAATCCATGGGCCAGCGCGAGACCTGTCGAGCCTAGGAAGATGCCAATTATTAGCCAGGAAGTTCCGACTTTGAAATACAGGTCGGGAAAAGGAAGAAGGCTTACCAGCGCCGATGATGAGCACCTTTACATGGTTGCTGATAGAAGATTGAGATATGTCCAGAGGAGCATGGGTCATGCTGTCCTCTGTTCCCTCGTGTTTAGTTCGTTCCTCAGTTCCATTCATGGTGATGATATTCGCACTGCTACCAAGGAAGGTAAGATTTCCAAAGTTGAACTGTAGTTATATATTAATTCCTATTGCTATCAATTCCTATTGCGATGGAAAGTCCGCGGAGTTCCCGGTGCGGTACTTTCTACACTCGACCTAAAGCGGGGGTATTCCGAGCACTACATCCTTGTGTGCGAGCCTTTTGATATCGTAAACAAACGCAATCTTTAGATTTGCCCCCTCATTTCCCTGCCGTGCTAACTTAACGCTAAATCCATCATGATTAAAGATGAATATCGAATAAAAAACGAAATAACAAGTCTATCTATCTATCTATCATCCCTCTGTAAGAGAAACCCGAAAAACAAGTCGTAAAACGTCGTTAGATGGCAACTGGGCCGGCACCCAATCTGTCTTTAGGTCCGATCCCTTTGTGCCGAACCGCAAACAAACCGATTATCAACCCTAGCCCGGCTAGACCGACAGAGCACCAAAGACCAGTGGCGTATTGCTCTGCGAGACTGTGTCTTTGCTGGATGTCGACAGCATTGGTAACAGCCGCTGAGATAGCCAATGCAACACCAGAGCCGATTTGGAAAGCAGTGTTGAGCTAGTTTAGGATGTTAGCATATAAAGATTGGAATACAGGAAAAGGAAGCTCACCATTCCTCCAGCAAGACTCTTGACTTCGACTGGTACACTTGTAAGTACCACAGTGCTCGTCGTGACAAAGATAAAAGACACGGATGAGATACTGATGAGAGATGTGGGGAGGACATTGAGCCAACTGTGAGAGTTAGTATAGTCTTATTCAAAGGAAAATGGCGATACATACAAGCCTGCTTCAGGATTGGAAGTCAAAGCACTTGAGATGGGGGCGACCACAGCTAGAACTAGTCCGGCAATGAGGAGATGCTTTCCATTCATAAATTCGAGCAGTTTCCCTGTTCCAAGAGAAACAATGAAGCCAATCGCTCCCATAGGCAAGAAGCGAAGCGCGGTATCACCAGCCGAAAGCTTGTCCACTTCCTGTGCCATAAGGACGATATAGTAGATAACGTTTTGGTAGGTGCCATAGCCAGCTATATATAATTAGCATTACTCAAAGAACAATCGGGAAATAGCCAACTCACTGAAACCAATAACCCAGAGACCGGCGAAATTGCGAATCTTCCACAAAGAAAGGGGCATGATAGGGTTGCTGACGTATTTCTCGAAGATTGTGAACCCAACGAGAAGACAAACCGCCAAGATCAGTAGAACAATGATGAACGGCTGGTCCCAGCCGTAGGTTCCACCACTGGACAGGACGAATTGGAGCAGGATCAGACCTGCTGTAGACATCACTGCACCAATGTAGTCCATTCTTTCGTGCTTCTTTTCGGAGGGAACATCGCTTGGGAGAACGATAAAGCCTAGGATCCCCAAGGACCCAGTGATGATGACAATCAGATAGAAGATGTATCTCCAGCCCAACGAAGAGGTCAAGAAACCGCCAAAGATGAGGCCAGTACAGAATCCGAGAGTTCCCGAGGCTCCATAGATTGACAGTGCACGGGTGCGATCGACACCACTGAAGTAGGAACTGATGATTCCAATAGCAGATGGCACAGTCATCGCAGCTCCAATTCCTTGAATGCCACGGAACACCGTGAGTTGAATAAACGACTGCCCGAATCCAATGGCTAGAGTCCACACAGAAAGCCAGGCAAGACCTAGACACAAAATTTTCTTTCTTCCATACCTGTGGAGGTTAATATTGTGTCAAGTCTTAAGACAATGGGAGAAGGAGTCATACCGATCAGACAAAGCACCGGCTAACAAAAGGAAGCCACCGAATGACAAAGTGTATGCAGATATCATCCATTGCAAATCAGTACTAGACACGTCAAAATCCTGTTGAATAGAGGACAGGGCTATGTTGGCGCTTGTCATGAAGACATTGTCTAGAAACTGAGAGCCGGAGGTGACAAGCAAAATCAAAGATCCTTTCCAAGAACCCAGGCGGCCGAACTGATGCGGGATCTTCTCGAAAATAAGAGTATCCTCACTGCCAGCTGGCGAAGGGAGCATGTGCGCAGGCGTCACAGCGCCCGAAAAGTCAGGACTAGAAATTATATTAGGCTCAATCACTTTCGGGGGTTCCATGGTAGGTGTTTCATCACCACCATGTGCCTGATGGCCACGCGGGCGACTGAAATAGTCAACAATGCCCATTATGATTGTGGAAATAGAATGCAGATGAAAACGGATGGTCAGGGTAGCACTGGCTCCTACTTTCATACTAATATAGGATTTACTATCAAACTAAAAATCAAAATCTTCAATCGATCCAGTTTAAAAAGTGGAGTGAAGCCTTTCGGATTACTCTTTCGAGCAAGATCTTGGACTGGAGCATGTTCTCTCGGGTTACCTATTTGAGATAGAAGACCCAGGATGAACCCACAAGGAGTGGAGAGGGGCAATCACTGGCCCTGTCATTCGCACATGCGAGATAGCGTAGGATTCTTATGATTAAAATATGGCACTGATAACGCAATACACATGCTGCGTGGCCTTGCTGCGCACCGCTTGTAGAGACAACGCATCAATGTCGTCTTGAAAATGGCTATCAACTCGAAATCAACTCGAAATCTACAATTTTTCAAAAAAAGAAATTTAGCGGCAAACGTTATCGGGCCGAGCGCTAAGACCCACGGGATCCCGGTAGGGCTTGTGGGCGAACTTCATGTTTCTAGGGCTACAAGGTATTTTCTAAAGTTATATGGGCTCGGATAAACGAGGTATACAAAATTCGGCTATGAATTTGTCTTTGCTTTATAAAAATTATGTTCTCTCTATATTTTTGGTATCTGGTCAAAATTTGACATTTGCCACGCCGATTCTGATTTTTACTCTCCCGCCCCGACAGCTCATCCCACGTATATCACCCACAGGCCATCTTCTAGACCTCTACTTTTTCCCCGAGTGGGAGTGGGTCGAAATTTCCAAAATTTCCCCGATTTTGCTTTTAGTACTTTGCATATTCTGCACTTCGTACGGAGTGCCGCTCTCTAATGAAGGAGAAACCACTGTCCCTAGGCGTTATACATATATATATCATGGCAGTTGAAAAAAAATTCCTTGTTTTATTTTTTAACTAGAATTGTCAAATTGATTAATACTAGATAAACTACTGACTGTACTTATGTAAAATTACCCTTCCAACCCTAGGATCGCCGTTGCCGCGCCAAACGTGAGCAATGAGAAGATTCTCTCCTGCATTGCCAAGCTGATCGCCAGTCAAGCAAAAGCTCTGACCACTTGGGCAGCCATTGATGATTCGTAATAATCAACTGTTATATCTAGACTTGGAAAGCCTTTATGGCACACGAATACAATTTTAAAAAATTCGCGGCCTGGCACTTGACATGTAACTCTTATTGCTTGTGCTTCAGAAACACATATATTTCACCTTTTTGATACATAAATCGCGGGCCCTAGGTTGCAGTATTATTTAGTGCTTTTGCATAGCCGCAAGGACTCGGCGTCGTATAAACTCCTCACTCTACTTTCTTGTTCGTAGCGATTATAAAATGTCTCGCAGTGAAGCTAAATAGGGACAATGTATTCTTCACCGATATTTCAAACCCAAGTGTGAAGACCCCTCTATGAAGGGTCTATAATGTATCAATCAGAGTGAAAGGAGTCATATTATACTACACAGCACTACTGCGAAGGCATTGGCACTAGTACTGCTTATATTTAAACTGAACTCTGAGCCCTCTAAGCTTGCTCCGAGTTCTACTACTTCTGCGTCGGCGCAATTAGGCGAGACTCGGAGCATTGCACGAAGGTTCTTCAAAATAGCGGGTTTGATCAAGTCAATAATATGGTATTAATCCCTTATAAATCAGCATTGCCCCATCTTCTTTCAATTTGATTGTGCATTTCTGTGGGATGAAGCGTTTCGACATGCGAAGCTAGGGAAATGTCGCTCATTAATAAATTTCCTGGCTTTTTTGGCCTTCGCCGTTATATCATACTACTTTCACTCATTGCAGTGTTGATCATCCTATCCTCTCACTTTTTTTACCCGGATGCCAGCCTATTTTCTTTGTCAAAAATTTCAGCTCCTAAAAAGAGCCTGCTTTTCTCTAGCAGTCATATAAGAAGAGACGACTCGTACAGCTGCTCAGCATCTAACCCCTGCAGTAATGGTGCTTGCTGTGGTGCCAGTGGCTATTGTGGCTACGGTATGTTGTGACTTTACTTCATTCTCATAGGAATAACGTGCTCTTCGCCACGGCCCTTAGTGGGGTTCTCCCTACAGGAAAGAAAATGGCCTCTTCTATAATCAACCAAGCTGACTTCCTGAAATACGCCAGGGACGCAGTTTCGGACCTTGCCAAGGCAGGAAAGATTTCCAGCGGCGATTCTTCCATCATGAATGATCGTCTTTTCAATGCAATTGTATCCACCACAAATCGTCTCGGCTTGATCCGTACAGCTACTAATGTGAATCTGTACAAGGGTCGGGTTTTTGATTTTTTGGATGATTCTAACTTCGAGTTCACTGGCTCAATTGAAAGTGTTATCGAGTTGAAGAAGTGGCAGAAGATTCTGAACACCGCGGTAAAGTATGGCACGTCAGAAGACCAGCTTCTCGATCCGATCCGTATGCCTATCGCGGTGTGGGTGTACCTCAACAATGCGCAAGTCCTTGCACGACTCAATCAAGTTCGTCAAAACATCTATACTGAGACGAAGAATGTCGCAACCTATGTGCCGGGTATGACCAGTATGCCATCGATTATGAAAGAATTCGATAAAGCCTACTTCGAGCATGCAGCGGCCGAGTCATTAAAATGGGCAGAAGCACGCATCGCAGTGGTTTCTTCTGCATACACGAATACTCTGATTGTCCCTGGGAACTCGGAGATTGTGAAGTCCACCCTCGACCTTCTTTACAACAACTTGAATGAGATCAAAACTCCTGATTTAGATGCTTTAGATTAGACTGGTTAAGTTCTTTGCCCTGGAGCATGGAGGTAGATTTATAATTTACAGTTTCCAATGCCCATCCTCTTCGTCAGGGAACACTCTAGGTGGACGCGCATAGGCTTTGTACCATGATTCTCGTTGATCTCCATGCTGTGAGAGATCCTGGTACAAACTTGCGATTGACCCAATCTCCGCCCACATCCATCCCAAGACAGGAACTCTAAATCCATCAACCTCATCGAAGAGAATATAATCTTCATCCTTCGGGTAGTATCGGTCCTCTGGATCTTCAGATTCGGCATTATGCTCCTCTGCATTCAGCTTGTGGGTCACACCATCGGTGTATTCCGCTCTATGCCAACCTCTGTACATCTCAACATCCCATTTTCTAGTTAGAACGACAATAGGCGCAGTCTCCCTGTTTTCCTCGTCATGTTGGAGCTCATTGAATTTCTTTAAACAGTCGTCATTCACGACAAGACAGGCAGATTCCTGGGCGCCACTGCTAAAGCCTGTGTCCGATCGAACTGGCGTACCTCGGGGATCGCGGGAGTCCACGACCCATTGGGTGAATTTTTCACGGATCGTGTCATGAGAAGAACCTTGGAGAGAGGGATCTGAGAAGACAGGGCAAAAGAAGTAGGGAAACAGATATTCTTGATTAGCCTGCCGCAAACTTTCGCGCGCTTCCCCGTAAAGAGTCTGCATATATGCATTCCAGAGCCCATCATCGCCATAGCTCAGACGGAAAATGGGTAGACCCCAAAAAGGTCTACTTTTGATGCTATCGGCAATAGAAGGATAATATTCTCGTCTGCTGGACAGCTCTTCTGGGGTGAATGCCGGGAAGTTTGAAGGCGGTTGAGTCGGGATAGATAATTGATTCATTTTAACATTCAAACATTCGGAGACACCGAATGACCTTCTTGGTAGAAATGGTGACGATAACCGCGAGCAGGGGTAAGTGAAAGTTGACTTCCTCAGCAAATGAATATGCCGTGGAGCACGCATTGTTCGGGGTGCTAGACCCGAAGACGAGGGCTGGAAGTTGGAACAAAACCGAACAAATAAGTTGGTTACCTAGTTCCTAATATACCTCTGATCCCTGGAGTAGGTCCGGAATATTTGTCGGAGAAATGGAGCGGTACATTACCGCTAAGACACGAGGGTTACAGATTGACCCACATTTGTATTGTAACTTATCTTCAAGGTAACTTGGCCTGCGTAACTCCAAGTACCGTAAGCACTCAGGGGTATTTCAACCTTCCCGAGAGTACATCTTATTTCACTTTCAATCAACCATCTTATTTATCAGAGGCTGGTTCCGCTTGATCCCATGGACTGGTATGCATACTAGCTCATACAGTATCCGCCCCCTTTAACAATATTGGACTAACTTAGAGTCTCTTGTATGCAGGTGTATTCTTGTACGTTCTGTAACGCTCATGGGAATAGAGCGAGCTACGCGATCTCCGGGAACCAGGTGGGGCGGATATCAGGAACAGAGACGTTCTATCCGGTGTGTACTGGAGGCTGAATGGTGGCTTTAAGGGAAACTTTTGAAACAAAGAGAGCACTGAATTCTTGAAAAAATGGATAATCTGGCAAAACAGGGATCCAGGGGATACTAGGTACAGCTTCAGGTGGCGTTGAAGCGCGTATAAAGATGTGAGAAAGTAACGAGAAAATCAAATCTAAATGGTAAAATCAAATCAATGTCACATTGAATATAATTGCGCGTATTTTTATGTGTACTAAGGGGCTTGAGTATATTCTGACGACCTTTAAAGAACATGAAGCTACACATACTGTTACTAAAATGCACAATTTCCCCAAGGTCTGAGGCTATATTATTAACTTGAATGTGTAGATAAATCTTCTTTTATTCTGTTTGCAAGTTGAATTGGGATGAAATTAAGCCTCCAATTACATGATATTCTTTTTCTCCCCTTGAAATACCCATTGCCGGCGTCCAGTCTGGTTATACAGCGAAATTTACTACGCCCTTGAAAGGAGCGATGCACAATATAGTGGACAAGAGCCATTCAATTGACCATGGTCAAGTTGGGTGCCCCATATATGGATAGTCAGACAATGTGTGGAATCAAGTAGATAGTCCGGGGGTATCGTGTCGATCATGTCGTGGCAGAAGGGGGTGTTTGCGCTTGAGGGCAACGAAGAGGAAATGCATAGATCGTGTCATAATATCAATTCAGTCAAATCTATAGCCGTCCGAGGCATCTCGGGACTGACTATCACGTTGGCTACGATTGCGGCCAGAACCAGCAGACCTACAATATGTTAGTACTGTCGAAAAACAGAGTGCACTCAGGTTGAAAATTCCAATGAAAAACTTACATCCTGATTCGGCGGGCAACAGTAGCCAGCCCTGTGTCGTTAGCAGCCTCCTGCGCGGCAAAACAGATCTCATGAAAATCATTTAGATATCCGAGGCTCCCCTTAACTCGTTACTCGGCTATTGGAAGTCAAATGACGTCAGGATATAGGGCCATTGCCAAGCATCCAGGGTCACCCCCCCCAGTGGACACCGGTGGCCATCGCTTCTTTTTCGCCAATCACAGTGTCTTGGAGAATACTTCCTCTTTGGAAGTAGATCGAAGGGGAACCCACAATGACGTACTGTATTATATATCGTCATGTTCTTCACTCTTTACACTTGCGAAATATCATATAAGCTAGCACATATCGATTTACATATTGACCTATAGTCGCAAAACAATTTTCAAAATCTCGGGAAGATCGATGATCACGGTTCAGCCTCATCTGCCATGCGCGCCACCCGAACCTTTTGCGGGTAACACATAATTGAGCAGAGTTTCGATCAGCGCCTCTCTTCTGTTGATATTAGAAGAAGCCCGCTTCCGCGCGAAGAAATACATGACGTTCACTTTCAATCAGAATGTCTCGGCACAACAGCTGGCCGACATCCTACCGAACGGCGTCGCCATCCTCACCCATCGATATGAACTGGTCTCCGTGAATCGCCGATTCCGGGAACTCATCCCATGCCCTAGCGTCAACTTCTCCGAGTGTTGGTTACGCTCAGTCCATCCAGACGACTATGACCGGGTGTCTACTGGGTATCGCGAGGTAGCAACCTCCAAACAACCGCTACGTCTCGAATACCACACGCGCGACCCGGACTCGATATGGTGCGTGATGACTTTGGATCGACTGGATGATAAGGATGTACAATGTTTTGGACTAGGCGACGGCGGCGTATTTATCTGTACAATCGCAGATATCACCCCGGAGAAAAAGGCAGAACTCCTACAGAGGCAGGCTGCGGAAGAGGCCCAGGAACGCAAGAAGCAACAAGAGCGATTCATCGATATGATCAGCCACGAAATTCGCAATCCTCTATCTGCGATAGTTCATTGTACAGAGGATATTCAAGAGGCAATCTATAACAAGAAGCCGGATGAAATCTCAGTCACGAACATCACCGAGGCAGCCGAGACAATCAGTCTCTGCATCAGACATCAAAAGAAAATCGTCAATGATGTTCTCACCTTTTCAAAACTTGACGCGTCAATGCTGCCGCTGTCACCACGAAAGGTCCAGCCACAACGGCATCTCACCATTCCGATGGCGATATTCCGACCTGAACTCCGAAAGCACAAGATAAATTTTGAATACAAGGCCGATGTTTCCTATTCTAAATGTGACATTGATTGGGTAATGGCAGATTTAGATCGAATGGGCCAGGTTCTCGTCAACATACTCTCCAATGCTATCAAATTCACCGCCCAATCGGATGGTCAGCGATCGATCCGAGTCTCAGTTGGTGCTTCGGTCGAACGTCCAAGCTCGTATCCGCCAAATATAGTCTTCTTCGATTCAGGAAAATCCGCGCTCCGTCAAGACGCGACTAACAAATCCGAATGGGGAAGTGGCGAAGTGGCATATATCATGGTCGCTGTCAAGGACTCGGGTATTGGGGTCACTGAGGATGCCCAGAAACGGCTCTTTGAGCGTTTCAACCAAGCAACTCCCAAAACCGAGAGCATCTACGGTGGCTCTGGCCTTGGTCTCAATGTGTGTAGGAAGCTCTGCCACCTTCATGGGGGTGAGATTGGTGTGAGCTCCAAGAAATCCCACGGGAGTACCTTTGGGTTCTTTTTCAAAGTGCGCAGAACAACCGGCGAAGGTGTTGAAGTGGATGAAAGCTTTGGTGTATCTGTGATCGATAAACTCTGTGTTGACATCCAGACACTGGGAAATAAAATGAGTGGTGTCAATCAATCCACGGAAGAGCCCCAGATACCGGAAACCCCCGCCGAAGATAGCGTCTTTGAGGCACATCCAGGTGGCCCGAAAGACAAAAACACAATTCGCACCCACAGTATAGCCCGCCAGGTCGAGAACGAACAGATCAAACGGGCAAATCAAAATCCTTTGTCTCATCGTGATCACGAAAAGCTAACCGGCGACGGTCAGCGTATTCTCTTGGTTGAGGATAACGTTCTCAACAGGCGAATAATCTCGCGCAAATTGAGTACACTGGGATTTGATATATCGGAAGCGAGCAACGGAAAAGAGGCAGTAGATGCAAATAAGAATGACACATTCGACTGCATTCTCATGGACCAGCAGATGCCTGTGATGGACGGCAACTGTGCCACGAAAGCAATTCGCGACATTGAAAAAGAAACTGGAGGACATGTACCCATACTGGGACTCACCGCGAATATCAGAGAAGAACAACAACAGGAAATGATTGGTGCTGGAATGGATGATATCATCCATAAGCCTTATGGGACTTCTGAGCTTGTTGAAAAGATCAATTGCATGGTTTCGAAGGAAGGGAGCACATGACAGTAAGTCCAGGATTGTGAAGTATGTGCACAATTTTGAAGCATGGCACATATGTATTTGTACAATAAATTGAGAGAGATAAATATACCACGATAAGCCCGCCTGTACAGGTCGGAACTCCAAGCACTGCCTTCACAAGGGATATTATATCACTGCGAAAGATTATAGGATGTAGAAACAAATTATATCCCGATAAATACCAATCAACACTTACAGCACCTCTATGAACGCTCCGTAAACACCAACGGGCACCCATCCTGTATCAAAAATCAGTATAAGGCACGAGCGGAATAACATTAGAAAATTGGTTAATAGCGGTACTAACCATTGGAAACAGTGTAGCAAAAACTCGAATCTCCTCTGATCTTTCCGTAGCATGATGTTTCCAGTCAAGTTCCAGCGCCGCTTTCCCAATCATACCAGCCATAGACAACGGCACGTATTTTCTCGCGAGGCAATCGTGCGCTCCGGCACCGAATACTAGCCAATTCTTAGTCTTGGACTCGGCATCTCCGGAGATCCAACGCTCGGGATCAAAGTTATCGGGATTAGGGTAAACATTCGGATCATGCAAAGCCGGATAACATGATGGGATGATCATGGCGCCCTTGGGGACAGTATAGCTTGGCGTGACAGGGAAGTTCTTTGTCGCAAGATATGGAACCATAATAACAGGTGGACGGTGACGCAGGAGCTCCTTGATAACTGCGTTTGTGTAGGTGAGTGACTCAAGCATGGGAAGATCGAAGGACTTGTTTTTATCCCCACCACGAGCGGCCAGATTTTCTTGACGCAATTTATCGAGCACGTCGGGCCGCTGGGCGAGGATTTGAAATAGCCAAGTCGTGGCACTGCTCGACGCATCCTGAGAAGCAAACAAGAAAGTGAACAAGGTTTCTCCGATTTCTTCATTCGTGAACTCGCGGATCATGTTCGTTGGCTTCTCGGCGTCTGTCTCGCCTGCGGCAACTCTTTCGCGGTAGCGCTTGGATTCCATCATGTGCCGCACCCAATGGTCAACGATACACGTTGGTGTCGCGCCGGTCGCCATATTTGCTTTGCACGCAGCTGCGCATTTTGCAAACTCGGCATGGACGGCGTCAGCTGTCCGCTTCCCAAGCCAGGTCTTGGTGAACGGAATGTATATTGACAGAGGCACGTTGACTAGCTCAAGGGCAGCTGTAGCAAGGTAAAAGTCGTCTGCAATCTTCTTGACCGCGGTCTGGGAGATATAATCGCCGAAGAATGTGCGGCATGAAATTGCACAGTTGATCTCCCGGAACATGGTCATGAATTCCTTTGGCTGTCCCCGATTCGCCTTGCTGGCGGCGACAAATTTGCCAAAATAATCGGCTAGCACCTTCTCCTGCACCGGCAGGTAAGTAGCCATGGCCTTGTTGGTAAATAAGGGGGTTAATCCTCTGCGGTAATCGGTGTGATCTCTACCCTGGAGAAAGACCCATGCTTTGTGACCTAGGATATCCTTTGCGATGGGTACTATACATGGCTCGGCATATGTGGGAGATTTGAACACCTTATGGGCGATGTCTCTGTCGGAAGCAAGCACAACAAATCTATATTGAGTTGTGTTAGTTTTAATAGTTTCATGGGTTCGATAGAGTCCGATCAGACGACAACAGAGGTGGGTGCTTACTTGTGGAAGACAGATACACAGCTGAGTGGTCCACTCGCCCACTGCGCAAGATAACCTTCAAACTTCGGGTGCAGGGCTTGTATAAATGGACCCATGAGCGGAATCTTGAGCGGAGGTCCAGCTATAGAGCCTTTGCGTTTTATATACATCACTAGAGAGGGCATCAGCAGATTCTTACGATCATGAAAGCTCTGCTTACCTTGATCATAGACTAATATGGCAATTATAAAAGTCACTGCGTACTGCCAAAATGACAGGCTCATGAAGTAGGCCACTAAGTAGCTTCCAAACTGGGGATGGTTGGAAGGCCATATCTGCGGCAGCTCATTCTGAGCGATTGAGATGTTGGCGATCTCAAAAGCCATATTGGAGTCCATGATGGTAGATGACAGGGGGAAGTTGCTAAACTGGCTCTTCTTTAAAATAGACAGACAATACGGTGGGCAGGTTTTCTTAGTAATGGCATGATATGGCTGGATACTGCGCCCATATCCACTGATTATACAATTTACCCGATTAGGACTAGACTCCGATGCCAAGCAGGGGTAAGGCGGGGTCTAGTCCTCTTTTGATTTGGACTCGGGACATTAACCTGAGGTCCACATATAACGGAATAATCGCTTGGGAAGTTCAACATTGAACTGACTTTCTGTCCAGACTTACGTTTGTGTCATTTCCAACTCTTTGGCTTGCATCTTAATCACAAAAGCGGTGTGGGGTTCCAGCTTGAGCTATTCCTAAAGCTAACACATTCCCCCCTTTGGATGCCGACCAATATCCTCGCAAGATGCGCCAATCTCTCCGCCGGTCCTGTGCTGCATGTGCCAAATCAAAGACTAGCTGTGATCTCCGCACACCGCGCTGTTCCCGCTGCATCAAGCGGAAAGTTGAGTGCGCTTACGCGAACGAACCCTCGGCTGGGCCGGCAACTCCCGGATGGCAGAATGGAGCATCAACAAACCCGCTAGATGGACCCGGCACTTTAACTAACTACAGATTTGGGTCACTCGATCCTTTTGATTCGTATCCACAGACTAGACTTCCTCGGGAACACGTTCAACGTCTGATCTACAGCTGTATGTAGGCCTCTAAGGAAGCATTGCCAATGAATGCTTGGCTTACCCATCTAGTCCTCCACAAGATCGCCTTCCAATACTACCCTCTTGACCTTAATGCGACTTCAAATCCTTTTTTGATCTCTTGGTGGCCACTGGCCCTGGGGGATCCTGTACTATTCCATGTCTCTCTACAGACGGCATGTCTTGACGAAGAATTGTTGGCTCAGAAAGGCTTTCAGACGTCCGAACTTCTCATGGCAGACTCTGTGGCTTTACTACGACGCAAAGTTGAATCCATGTCACTAGCTGTTCAAGATGGGACTATGAACTCAGTCATCACATTGGCAACTATCGAGGTGAGATAATACCATCAGCACCCTCTTTCCCCACTGTTTATAATTCGAACCTATCCTGATTCTAAATGGCTCCTAGTTCGGCAAAGGCAATACAAAGGTTGGCGAAATGCACGTTAACGGATTGAAAAGGCTGGTCGATATGAGAGGTGGCATCAACGCAGTGAGGCAGACAAGCCCACTTACCGCGAGGATGGTCAGCTGGTAAGCCAACCCCTTAGCCACTCAGAGGACCAATGCTCACTAGTTCCAAAGGGTATCGATGCTCATCATGGGTCATCCTCAATTTGAGACCCAGGATGACTTCGGCATTGGAGATGGCATCCCTCCCACGTCGGAATGGCAATTTGACTCGACCGCGCTTGACGATCAGCTATTTGATCTCAGCACCATTGAAGTAGAATATGCCGTTAAGAATGTCTTCAATCGTCTGCGCAACATTTTCCAGCGAGCGCGCAATATAACTTTCCCGGCCACACAACTTCACGACCTTACCTGTTTTGTCATACACCGACTCCTACTCTCCGCTCCAGCTACGACAATACCCCCGACCTCGCCAATGACGGAATCCATTCGCTATGGTATCATACTCTACATGTTCATCACCCAGGGACCGACATATTACTCGCATGCAGTAATACTAAATAAGATTATGATTCGATTTATGGAGAACCTCGAGCATCTTGCGTCAACGTCTCGTGTCTATGATTCACTTGATGTCTGGTTTGGGGCGGTCGGAATGGTGGCTTCAGCTGGCACAGCTCATCACCGGTGGTTTATCAATAGGGCACGGAATATAGCTGCTGCTCTACAACTGGAAAATTTTAGTGACACCCTCGTCCATATCAAAACTGTGCTGTGGTTGGAGAAACCGCAGAGTGAAGATCTCTTTCGGTCACATTGGGATACTGTCTTCAACCTTGCGGATCAATCGGTACTATCAGACCTCTCGATATCAGTGTCGCCATATAGCAGTAGCCTGGAATTTATATGAAATGCAATCTGTTTCAACGATTTCTACAGGCAGAACACGACTTGTGTCAAAAGGCCTCGAACACCGAAGAAGTTGGTCATACGCGACACTATCATGATGGGCACCACGACCCGAAAGACGATGGCTACCTGTGATACAATCTCTGCCAGGCGGGTGTTCACACAGCCCTCGACCAGTCAGTCTTTTATCAGGGTTATGTTTCCTCCCATGTTGGGTCGATATGACTCAGGGCCAGAAGTGTAAGGTGTAACCTGTTTCCTTGGGCTACAATTTTAAGGCGTGCCACAACTACACCACCGTCTGAGGACCGGTCTTGGACCGAGTCAATCGCGCCCTTGTTGGCGAGCACACTGCTACACTATGAGGAATATAATTCGCTCGGGCAGTCTATGTGACATGACAAGGCGTGGTTTCCTCATACCATCAAACTTCCATGTTTATCATCTATCAAAAAAAATGACCAAGATGTCAAGATATAACTATGCGGCCATGTGTCAGGGTCAACAACACAACCCAAATTCAAATCCAAAAGTGCGTGCACAAAACAACCAACTGTGCGTGTGCGACAAATCCAGCCCCCGCAATCAGGCCATTTCAGCGCGGGCCTTAAGATCCCTGTGGAAGATATCGAAATGGGCACGCATCTTCTTTCCAAGCAGAGAAGGGCTCATAATAAACGCAAGGAGACCCTTGAGATCCTCCGACTGGGTGAAAACAGTTGAAGCACCATCATTGGCGGGTTCGATATGGAATTTATGCAAACCAGCAATGGTAAACACGGGCGGGCCTTGCCAAGAAAACAAGCTCTCGGTGTTCTCCTTCGGTGTTGATAATCTTCAGCTTACTTTTCTTTGTTTTTTTTTTTATGATCGGGGAAAAGCGTTATTCTCACCTTGACTTCAGCGACGAACTTGAAGTTCTCAATGTTGACTTCGATTTTGTCTCCTGAGGAAAGTGTTTGCGGGGTCTTGGTGCTGTCCTTGAGCTCGATCCCCTTCAGCCATTCCGTATGCCATTCCGGGTATGCTGCGAAGTTGAGAAACTAGGGGCGCGATAACTGGTCAGCTTGTTTCGCGGAGAATTCGAGCCTCGAAGGTGGTACATACGATCTCGCGCACTTTGGCAGGCGGCGCGGCTATTTCAATTGTGCTTGTAATCATTTTGACGGTGATGTGGTTAGGGGGGGTTGGATGCGCGAGGAAGGGGGATAAACAGTGTTAAAATAAGGGAAGTGCGTGGATGTAGAATGGTGCATATCCTTGCTGCATTCATCATATGTCCCCACCCGAGCTGCAGTACGCTCCAGGCTTCTTTCGTTGATCATTGGTCGATCATATCTTCTCTTAAATACGGGACGAAATCTAGATCCAAAAATATGAATGTTGAAATAAAATGGTATATTTTTTGAGTCTAGCTCGTCTAATCAACCTGAAACGAGATATGGAACAAACTCCAACCCCGGGATTATATAGCAGTCATGAGGTGGTCAATAACAAGGTCATCAAGGGGTCCTCCGTCTATCCATGACGAGTCATATATACATAACAAACATGAAAACAAATCTATGTGCATAATCTCATGTACTTCTAATAATGAACCAGCATGTCCAGATCAAGACACTCAATACTGAGGCTCCATACTGATTCGACTGACACGCCGACCATTGTTCTGCTCTCTGTCGGCAGCAAGTGTAGAAGCGAACTTACTCTTCGCGCGAAGTTGCGGTCCCTTCCAGTAGAAAACATAGATGGGAGTCACAACCAGACAAGAGAGACAAGCCAGAATCGTGGTTGCATACTCAACATGCCACTTATCGCCGATATTTGTGTACATGGGCGTCGCGTACATGGCCGAGATACCAGCGAGAAGATCACGCGCGAAAGCATTACCACCCGTCGCAGAAGCCGAGTAGACACCATAAGAAGCGACCATGTAATCGACAGAAGATAGGTAGATGGCGAAGTTGGCGATACCGACACAGCCGGAGAAAATCATAGATCCGATCCAGTGGACGTTTTTCGAGTCACCGAAGGATGTCCAGGCGAAACCGAATAGACCGATGGGTTCAAGCGGCGCGAGGAAGAGCAGCCACTTGAGACGGCGCTCAGGTGGGATGGCGGCATCGCCATGTCTGAGTCGGAGCTTTTGATCACGCATAAACCACGGGAAGTAGCTGAAGTAGGCGATGAAGTAGGCGGCGTTGATGGGAATAATTGCCCACGCTTGTGCGAGGGTACCAAAGCCCCATCCTTGCTTGTAGACGATGGCGAAACTTTCGAGGAAGGTGAAAATCAGAGCATCGGAGAAACCGGACAGAAGAGACAAGCAGAGGACGATGGGCTCGCGCAGAAGCATGTAGAATGGACGCGCCCAGATCCTGCCGGCTTCCTTGAGGGAAATGCGGGGGGTCTTCATCTCGTTGGGTCCGTATATATTCGGATCTTCTCCGGTCTTGCGGCGGCGCTTGGCTTCCCTGTCCATGATAATGGTCGAACGACTTTCTGGCATGAAGAATATGATCATCTGAGTGACTCCTCCGAAGATGAGTTGGATCCAGAAGAACCATTGCCAATCAAGGACTGAATATTAAAATATAAATGTTAGCAAGAGGTCGCAAACCAGTGCAAGTAAAAGAGAGTGGTTTGCTTACATCGTGCAATGGGGCCTCCAATCACACCACCAATACTGGTACCGAGACAAGAAGACAAAACAATGAATGCGAGAGGGAATTGTTGCGTCTCGGGCTCGTAGATATCGGCAATAAGACCGAGAGTGACACTACCACCAGCAGTAGAGAGACCACCCTATATTATGTTAATATATCAACTTATCAAGACGATAGCTTGCCGAGGGAGAAACCAACCAATGCACGAGCGACAACAAGACTGCCCCAGTTGGGGGCAAGGGCAGCAGGGAGTTGCCAAATGTTGATCAAGAACATAGAGAGCTGGAGGATAGGCCAGCGACCGAACTCCTCGGACCAAGGAGCCCAAAGCTCACAACCAATAGAATAAGTAACTAGGTAGGCCATTTGACCTGTGCGAGCGTGTTGTTCGCTGATATTGAAAGCCTCAGAAAGGTTTTTGACAGCAGCAGGATAGACCGAGGTGTTGAAGTTCATGGAAACCTGAACGAACGCGACCGCGACCAGATAGGTCCATTTCTTCCATCGTGGCCAGCAGTATCCTAGAATCTCATAGCAATCTGCTTCCTTCAGCTCGCGCTTTCCGTCAGCGCGTTCGCTTTCTTTTTTTTCAAGGGCGGCGGAGATATCGACAGGCGTGCTAGAGTCACTGTCATTGACAGATGAGGGTCTACCCTCGCTATGAACAGCTTCGGTATCTTGGTCTGGGGGAGACATCCTTGCGTGCGGGGGATGGATGGAGCAAAGGGCGTGAGAGGAAGAAGTTTTGTGGACCTTCTCCAGGTGTTATATGTCGGAGTATGTACGGAGTATGTACGGCGTACATATGCGCAGACTTTTTTTTACCTCGGACTCCATCGACTGAAACCGGATTTATAGTGGATCTACACTGTAGAGTGGTGGCGGCCGTGGCGTATATCGCAGTACAGATTAGATATTGAGATGATAATTGCTATAATTGAAGGTATAGAATGCTTGAAGCTTTATATATTATTGTACATTTAAATAGTGACTATTTCTATTTTACAATCTTCCCAAACTTGGAATATCCTATGTGTGAATATCTACGAAAAAGAACAAGAAAATGAAAATGAACAAAACCCTATGAGTTTGGTGATCTGCGGTATCCCGAGGTCCCTTCCTTTCTTGGCATTCCCCACATACCCTGACGTCAGAGCTTCTGTTTTCTGCGTGAGAATTTGGTTATGGAATATTCTAACGTTCGGTGGCTATGTGTAATGTACCAGACCCAAGCAAATCATATCTCTGGGTAGTCTTGGCTGGTGTGCAGATATATTGGTAATGTTGTTTTTGACCCTTGGAAATTGAAGTATGTTGTACAATATATGAAATAGCTACACAATACGGGGTATACACATGATAGCTATGCAAATATGAGGGGAAGTGGGAGGCTGAGACTAAGACCTGGGGAAATTGATACGGGAGCAACATATGAAGTCATTTTTGCTGGTTCCTAGGGTGGAATACTAGTAACATGAAGTTCGGAACCACGGGGATCCTAAATAGCCAATCAAGGGAATATCTATTCCAACCGGGAGATCTTCGGGCATAAACTGAATTCGTTCATAATTGAGGCACAGATCTCCACAAGCTCACCTGGACAGATGATGAATCGGGAATCTTTAGTGATTATCACTTCTTAGTCTATGCGAGATACATATAAGCCTAGGTCATTGACTAAATATTGTGCTAGAGGTAGCTGAGGGCCAAAATGACATCATGAATCTCTTTCTTCGGTATCTACTTCTTTGTCGCCTGGATTGCTAATCTGGAATATCCAAACATCTATCGATGCTAACAATTGTTAGGCACAGATGGCTACTCTGTAGATTCACAGTTCTTTAATCACTATGAGAATACTTGTCCAGCTTTCAAAAACAACGGTGATTCGAGGTTTATTTATTTATTGGGCTTCAATAGTTAGGACATATTTGTTTTTTTTTAATATATTTTTTAGATTTCCCCATTGGTTCTGATATAGCATTAAGCGATAAGAGAGCACGCTCTAGCGCATGAGGCCACGCCGTTTTGGGATGTATGTTGTATTGCCCTTGTTAGTCAAGCTGGTCACTGCACCCACCAGGTCATGTGATAAAGATATGTACTTTCTGAACACGGCGTGGACTTCACTTCTTCAACAAAATGTAAGCACGCGGGGCTTATGGGATCCTCTAACCTAAGTTTTATCCACGCCCTTGCAAATTTAAATTCGTTTCATCATGCATTCCAAAAATTGTTGATATATTCAGGTCTCGATGTTGGACCTTGCGCCAGACGCACACCTTTTTGACAGTTCCGCCTCGGTCGCATGCAACCCCTGCTTTACAAGGAACCTCCATTTTAGACTGTGATGAGGATAGGCTTTATTGCTACACATCGGGAATATGGCTTTGGAATAAAGAGGATCAGCTTTCTCGCCGCTATGTCAAGTTCAATCTGGCCGAACTCATCAGGATCGCGACCCGGGCGACAGAGTCTATGCCCTGCGTCGAAGTACAGAAGCTTCCAGAGGGGAAATTTAACAAGGTCTTTCTTCTTACTATGGACGACGGAAAAGAAGTGATTGCAAAACTCCCAAACCCTAATTCTGGACCTCAATACTTTACCACAGCTAGTGAAGTGGCGACGATGGACTATGTGAGGGTTGCGTGGCTTCATTTCGCTATGTGCTATGTGATCTAATCCCAGTTTTTAGGTTCGGAATGTGCTCGATATTCCAGCCCCAATGGTGTACGCTTGGAGCCCCTCCACCGACGAGATTGGAGCCGAGTATATTATAATGAAGAAGAGCCAGGGAGTGGAACTTGGCAAGCTGTGGGATGATATACCGGGTCCTGACAAGCTTCGGATTGTTCAGCAACTTGTTGTATTTGAGAAAGCACTCACATCCACTCGGTTTCCTATGTATGGAAGCCTATATTATGCAGATAACCTGCCCAATATCCATTCGAATCAGATGATTGAGTTTGAGGGTAAAAAGAATACAGTCAGTGTGAATTTTGCGGTTGGTCCGACTACAAATCGAACTTTCTTCGATGATGGCAGAAATGCGGTTGATGTCGATAGAGGGCCATGTAAGCGTATTCCTCGGCTCTTTGGAAAACCGTTCTAATATGTGTTCTCTACTAGGGGCATCTATTGATGATTACGTTTTTGCTCGTGCCCACCGTGAACTTGCTTGTTTACAGACCTGTAAACATTTCCCACGCCAGCAAGGACTCTTTTACGGGCCTGGCCAATACCAGCCCACCGTTCAGCGCAAGCAAGAAACACTATCGAATTACCTTAAGGTTGCTAATTTTTATCACCGAAAGACAAAGAAATATCCAAGCCTGTGTTATGGAACCCCGACTTGCACGGGGATAACATCTTCGTGAATCCAGATCAGCCGACAGAGATTCTCTCCATTATTGATTGGCAGGCCGTGAACCTATCACCCCTGTTTCTTCAAGCCCGTCATCCAGCCCTAATCGAATTTGATGGACCCATCCTTGAGGGACTGCAATAAATCAGTCTACCCCAGAATTTCGATCAGCTAAGTGCGGAAGAGCAGCTCGAGGCGAAGAAGCTTCGTGCTGCCCAGTCTCTCTACAAACTTTATGATATCCATATGATCCAGGATTGCCCTGAGAGTGCAGCCGCATTGCATTTCAGAAATTCACTTCCTGGCCAAATCACGGGCCTTTCGGGGTCTCTATCTAGTGATGGTGAACCAATTGTTCAAGGCCTGCTCATGAGACTACAGGAGAAATGGCAGACTTATGTGGGACCCTCTGTCTCGTGCCCACTTTCCTTTACCGGAGAAGACAAAGAAAAGCAAAAGGAGGACGAGAAAAAGTGGGCGAATGGTGTTGTGCTAATGGAGGAGTTCCTTGATCAAGTCGGTGTATACCGAGGATGGGACGGCTGGGTGAACCATGATAGCTACGAGCACTATAAAGTGCGCTTTGAACAATGCCGGCAGAAGTTCCTAGGTTCTCAATGCACAACAAGAGAAGGGAGAAGCCAGTGGGAAACAGTATGGCCATTCATGGGCAAATGAGAAGTTCACATGGCCTCTGTTTGTTTGCTCTCACTCGTCTAATCGTGGATTTTTTATATAATTTCTTCTTTCCCAAAGCAACATCTTCAGCACATCACGTCCTCTATTGTTGCCCCATTGCCCCACCAAATACTGTGATCTCTTAATACTTTCATTACTTCGCCACACACAGCTGTGCTTCGTCAAATCATCGGAGCAGAGATGGAATCCCGGGTGAACAATCAATCTGATTCTTTTGACCCTGATGCAACCTCCTATGAGGGTCCCAGCTTTGGTACAGGCAGCATGGATCGGAGTGATCCTGCAGTTCTCTCCACGCCCATTGATGGTTCCATTCCGGACATGATATCTCCAGCAGAGGTTCGTCGAGACGCCGCGGCGAGGTCAGACAAAATTTCCATCACCTATCAAACTTTGTACGAAATCCTACAGCGTCACGAGGCCTTGATTCGCAAGCGATGGTACAAAAAGGGCCGCCAACAGAGGCTAAAAATTCTGCTAAGTGCCTGGCCGAATATGCCGGCAAGGCATCGCCCGGATTTCGAAGCTTTCACTGGCCAAAAAAAAGGTCCCAAATATCGGGATGCTTACATGTGGCCTTACATAAATCAGGAGGATTTGCTAAACACCAAGACTCTGCCCTTGCTCTTGAACGCACGAGGTCGCCATCACCCTTCCAACTTTGCTTCCGTCGACTTCGATGCCACGAATATGGGCAGGGTCAGCTATGAAGTTAAGCTCATCCTTTTGGACAACCATACTATGATTATCAACGGTCTAGTTGAAAATATAGAGAACTACGGAAAGCTGGTCGCTTGGAGTGAACGTCCCAATGCCTCGGAATGGACGACGAAAAAAAAGCAGTGCATTCCTGGAGAGGGCCTGCTGATACTGGAAGTGCAAGAGCGACTTTTGACATTTCTTGTCCAATGCTGCACGGAGCTTCTCCACGACATCCCCGAGTCCACCTTGACCAGTGACTCCTTCCTGATTTTACCAGAACCCCCTTTCAAGCCCGAAACTGACGTGAGTGGTTTCAAGTCTTTGGGGGTGATGGCTGCAGAAGCCCCATATCGTGTTCCAGCACAGCTCGATCTCAGTCTTGTTGAGTCGCTGCTTACGGCAAAGGGGTGTGTCGCAGAAGATCACCTGTGGGCTTTACGGGAGGATCCCGAGTTTTTTTCCACGACACTTCATGAGGCCAAGGACCATCATCAGGAGACCTTGAAGGACCTTAATGGCAATAACAATCCACTTCTGAGCCGTGATCGGTCGCAACTTCTCTGGGCAGACATTATTGGCTCTGTTGTGTCCAAGGCGTACCTCGACCTAGAGGTGTTCTCCGAACTCAGTAGCCAAGCTAAGAAGTTGGTCTCCTTGCAAAGGCAGTATGCTGACGATATCTCGCCCTCAAGAGATTTACCGGAGGACTATCTGGACGCATTGCTCCAGTTGCGGTATTACCTCAACCATGCAGCCGCAGAATCATTATCCAGTCTCAAATGTGCAGTTGTGGCCTCGCCTCCTTTGCGAAAATACTTTGCTCGCCTACCACCACCTGATGCCCATTCGACAAATATCTCGGTGGTGTTAAAGTCCGGGTTTAAAATGGGCAAGATGGAGGAGCGATTGATTTGGTTGCTTGGCACCCTGTCTGAAAATGGCCCTTTCTTGTATGTGGCTGGTATGTCTCTGATCATGGACGAGCTAGAGCGATTGCTTGAGTCAGATACAAAAGCGCGGGACCTACTTTCTCCATATGTTACCAAGGTAGTTGGTGACATCTCTATCATTTCCCAGTGTTTGCACCAGTTGAATATTTATTATCCATGGGCACGGGAATTTGACGTTGAATTTCATCAGCGTGAGGAGAAAATTGACCAGGACTGCATGGAACGGACTAGGTCATTCGCCCAGTTCCTCGACAGGCTCCATGATACAAGCCTCTTGAATCGAACTGCACATCTCGGGGATCCTTCAAGTGGAAAATTTACCTATCCCATTGAAAAGCGTCGGACCAAGGAAAGTGTCCAGGCGCTACTTAGCGCCGAAGCTCACCTAGATGCTTTCTGGGCCGAGATTGACCGGAATTTGATCACTAAACCTGGCCATTCGAGTGACACTGCTGTGGGGAATCTCCTCTCCCAGCCGCGCATCTCAAAGCGCACTGGAGAGTGGATTGAGCCGACAAAAGCTTCACCTGTGAGAACTACAAATGTCAAAAGCAAAGGCGACGTCACTACCTACTTCTCACAAAATCCTACCCCCGAAGACTCCGAGATTCCAGCAAAATCACTCGATGTTGCAGAGTCCAGAACGAAAGTCAAGACCCGTGGAATACCTCAGATTACTATAGCCATCACAGAAGCGGAAGACCTCACCCGACCCAATACTGCTAGTCGTGAGCCCACCCTTTTCGTTGATACCCGCGCGCTTAAGGTATTCCGGACTATCTTTTTTAACCCTACTGTTACATCTACCCCGGGGGAAGTCCCCTGGAAGGACTTTCTGCACGCAATGGTCTCTGTGGGCTTCACAGCGATGAAACTCTACGGTTCGGTGTGGCAATTCCAGCCGACGAGGCTGAATGCTCAGCGAAGTATCCAGTTTCATGAGCCTCATCCGCGTGGCAAGCTGACTTTCAGAGTTGCTCGTCTATATGGCCGTATGCTCAACAGAGCATATGGCTGGGTTGGAGAGATGTTTTCCTTGGCTCAGAAGTGAGAGTGATCTGAGAAGTGAGAGTGATCTGAGAAGTGAGAGTGATCTGAGAAGAAAGATAGTAAAATATTCAATGAAGGATGCTCAATGTCGAGCTTAATCTTTTCTTCAGCGGCGGGATGTATGATATAAAAAATAAAATTTACGTTGACATGAACTAAGGGTAACAAGTAGATGACCGGAAGTGTCAATAATAGATACGAGAATCTAGTTAGACTTGCTGATCACAGGATATGTAAAAAGAGAAGAAATGAAGCGCGCAGTAGCCTTAGACTAGAGCCCTGGAGCCGCTCCGTGCTTACTCCCTGCAAGGGAAAAGAGGGGAAGATACATAGCCAACGACGTCTTTAGCAAGAACTTTTAGTACATTACTATCTTTTCTTCACGAAATCCCTTGTTTTGATTAGTTTCCCTTACAATTATATATTCGATTTCCAATATTTGCCATGTCACGCGAGAAGTTCACCATTACTGAGCATCTTGTCCCAGGTAGCCACATTAGAGAATACCCAGGGAGCACCGTGAGGCAGGAAGATATATTAATGCTTCATGTCAAACAATATACCCCAAGATATGAAGGTCCCGTTCCAGCCGATGCGATTAGTTTAATTGCCGCTCATGGACTCGGCCTACCAAAGGTGAGCCTATCTTTAACCCCACATCCTCTCTGGTATGCTTAACATTTGGACACAGGAACTGTATGAACCACTGTGGGACGAGCTCCTGGAACAAGCTGCCGGCTTCCATATTCGTGGTATCTGGGTGGCCGACGTCGCCAGTATGAACCAAAGTGGGATCCATAACGAGGATAAGCTTAGTATGGATTGTATGTGCTTCACATTTTACTCTTTAACATCTTCTCTAAAAATGTAAAAATTTCTTAGGTTCTTGGTTGGATCACTCGCGGGACCTCTTCTTGATGATCAACCATTTTCGTGAGCAGATACCACGCCCTCTCGTAGGAATTGGCCACAGCTTTGGTGGAAATATCATGTTTGTGATAAATTAGCGCTTCTCTGCGTTGCGCGACAAAAGTAAAGTGTACTGATCACTTTTCCAGCACGAATCTTGCCTATATGCATCCGCGCCTGTTCACAACCCTCCTCCTTATCGATCCTGTGACCCAGCTAAGTCTTCCCCCCATGGGCTTCGGCACCGATCCTCCAGGCCCGATGAATTACACACTATGGCGCAACGACATATGGCCCAGCCGCGAGGCAGCCATATGCGCCAACCGTGGCCTCATCCACGGTTGGGATCCTCGGTGTGTGGATCGCATGGCGAAGTACTACTTTCGCGAGCTACCCACTCCACTTTATCCGGATATCGAGGCCATTAAGGAGCGCTTTGACATTGCAGCCGATACCGCAGCTATTCCGGTCACCCTCACAACCCCCAAATACCAGGAGGTTGTCGCTCAGACCCGGCAAAACTTCAACGCCCGGTCCCCGACTACGGGCCGAATGGAAATTCCACGAAGCACGCATGCCGATGTGGATCCATTGGTAGCCCATATTCCCTTATATCGCCCAGAGCTGCGAAGTACCTTCCGCCGTTTAGAGACACTCCGACCGTCGTGTGTGTGGGTTGTGGGCGGGGCGACGTTTTTGAAGATGGATGAAATTCGGGAAGGTATCAGGATATGCGGGTCAGGCATCGGTGGGAGTGGAGGTTTGTCCGAGGGAAGAGTCAGGGAGGTTGTCTTATCTGGGTTGGGACATTTGATGCCATTTCAGGAAGTTAAGACTGTTGCTGAGCCATGTGTGGCCTGGTTGCAGCAAGAGATGGATCGATTTCGGCGAATGGAGAGAGAGTGGGAAGAAGAAAGGAGAGGTAAGAGTCATCTAGTACTAGAGGATAACTGGTACAAGGTCCTGAGACCAATGCCTAGTGGACATTACAAGAGCGAGAGAAAAGAAAAGCTCTGAATTGTTTACTTTTCCAACTTTACCAAGGTATTCTCTATAGTATATTTTGGCCGCGGCGGGATTCAAGGTGATGAACATATATTCGTGTTTAGGGGTGGCCGAGAATTGAAATAAGTTTTAGGTAACAGAATTGATCTAAATGTCACCTACTGTCATAGGTTAGTAAAAAAAATACAAATCAGGTTTGAGAATAATAGTCCAAGCCCGAATCAGCCCCAAATCTAGACCCACGATTTTAGCGCGTTGAAAATTCTGGTTCTATGGGGCCGTAGGGGCCGAAAGATTGCGGACGGCCCCGCACAACTGGCCCGCACATTCCGATTCCCGGCCCGATATTGTCTTGAATTTAGATTTTTACTGTTCCTGGAGACAGTAGGGACGTATTTGGGTGGTTTGTGATAGGCTTTACACCCTGTCTATATTAGGCTTTGGCCTAGCATTAGACGAATAGTAGGGAGGAACAATATAACATTACAACCATTAGTGCTGAGGCTGGCAAGGCTTGTCTTGACATCCTCCTCTTGCGTTACGTTCACATCTACACCGACAATCCATAAACACCCCTGGTCTCTCATTGATTGGGCAGGTCGTAAACCCCTGCTAGTATGTTAGAGGTCTGGGCCATGCTCATTACGGAGAACTCCGTACTCCGTACCTAGGTATGTGCTCAGACACATAGCAATTGAGACAATACATGGATTAAACGGGTCGTTGTGGGGCGTAGATTATCAAATGAAAGATCCTTCGTCAAGTGTGTCACTGTCGGAGCCTGGTTAAAAGGACTGCCCTCCCCTGCCCCTCTGACTTTCTTTGGGAATCATCCCCCCGTTCCCAATACATATAGGTTTTTTTATTTTTTATTTTTTCATTTATTTTTTTGGTTTACTCGCATTATGGCTGAGATTCAGGATTATACCAAGGCTCTAGAGGTTCTTAAGGAGTATCCTTCTGCAGATGGTCTCCACGTTGATACTCTCCTCGACTCGGATAGTCATGGAGCCTTGACCTACAATGACTTCCTGATCTTGCCCGGTTCTATCAGTAAGGCAATCAGGCTTATATTTGAAAATCGTCATCTCTAATCTTACGGACAGCCTTTCCGGCATCGGATGTTACTTTGGAAACCAAAGTAACCCGGCGATTCACCATCAAGGCCCCTCTGTTGTCTTCTCCCATGGACACCGTGACCGAACACAACATGGCGATCCATATGGCTCTTCTGGGAGGTCTCGGTGTTATTCACAATAACTGCCCACCGGACGAGCAGGCCGAGATGGTGAGGAAGGTGAAACGCTATGAAAATGGCTTCATCCAGGACCCCATTGTTCTGTCTCCGGAGACCACAGTTGCAGAGGCAAAGGAACTGAAGATGAAATGGGGATTTGGCGGGTTTCCCGTGACTGGTTAGTTGGATTTATCCTTCATTGTACATTTTCATTTTGGTCGGTTTAGTTTTACTTACCTTGTTCCATCCGCAGAGAAGGGAACCCTCCACTCGAAACTTCTCGGCATCGTCACCAGCAGAGACATCCAGTTCCACAGAAACCCCGAAGATCCAGTCACGGCTGTTATGGCTACAGACCTTGTCACCGCACCGGCAGGCACTACCCTTGCGGAAGCTAATGAAGTCCTGCGGAGTTCGAAGAAGGGCAAGCTGCCAATCGTGGACAACCATGGATCCCTGATTTCCCTGCTCTCCCGGAGTGACTTGATGAAGAACATCCACTACCCTCTTGCATCAAAGCTTCCATCTAAGCAGCTGCTCTGTGCCGCGGCCATCAGCACCCACGACGCGGATAAGGTCCGTCTCCAGAAGCTAGTCGACGCCGGTCTCGACATTGTCGTCGTCGACAGTAGCCAGGGTCACAGCAAGTTCCAGATTGCCATGATCAAATACATCAAGCAAACCTTCCCTGATATTGACGTTATCGCGGGTAACATCGTTACCCGGGAGCAAGCTGCAGCCTTGATTGCTGCCGGTGCAGACGGTCTACGAATCGGTATGGGTAGTGGCTCTGCGTGCATCACGCAAGAAGTCATGGCCGCTGGTCGCCCTCAGGCTGCAGCCGTGCGCAGTGTTTCTGCCTTTGCCTCGCGGTTTGGTGTTCCTACCATTGCCGACGGTGGTGTCCAGAACCTGGGCCATATTGTCAAGGGACTTGCGCTAGGTGCCTCAGCAGTTATGATGGGAAGCCTGCTTGCTGGAACCACCGAGTCCCCTGGCGAGTACTTCATGAGCAGTGAAGGTCAATTGGTCAAGGCCTTCCGTGGTATGGGCAGTATCGCGGTCATGGAGGATAAGAGCAAGAGTGCTGGCGGCAATAATGCTGGTGCTTCCCGGTACTTCTCTGAGAATGATAAGGTCAAGGTTGCGCAGGGTGTTGCTGGCTCTGTCATTGATCGTGGCTCTATCACTCAGTTTGTCCCTTACCTCGTTGCTGGTGTGCAGCATTCTCTTCAGGATATTGGTGTCCAGAATCTTGATGCCCTGCGTGACGGGGTGAACAAGGGCACGGTCCGCTTTGAGATGAGAAGCGCAAGTGCGCAGACTGAGGGTAATGTCCATGGATTGCACACCCACGAGAAGAAATTGTATTCTTCTTGAATACAGTATCTCCATTTTTGTCGCATGGTGCCTTAAGTTCCTCCATGTCATACAGCAGACCAAAAGTTAGTCAATATTCCTACACTTCTCTGTTTAAAAAGTTTAGCATCCCCAGAATAGCTTTTTAAAAAAGATTTATGGAATTAAGGAAGTGTATGTCCATAATTGTAGTACCTATTGTTATGAATTGTGGTCCAACTTCCCTTGCTTCCCATATTGAGCAAGAAATTATTTCTTTGAAGCTTTTGCTAAGCTTCATCATATTTCTGTCCAATCGTCTTTGCCGGAATGGTTTGTCGACATGAGTACAATTAAATACCGGCGATTTCCGAATCTCGTTGGCCCCAAATAAGGTCAGCGTCCAGGTCAACAACTAACTCGATCACTTTCCTCTACTCTCTGTCCTGTCTAGTATATCGTATCCTAAACATATCCTACAGTAGTGAGATAGTAGAGGGGTAAAGGCTAGAGCTTAGGGCCGCGTTAGTCCTAATTGGACAGCTCCTATTCCTTTTATATTATTACTATTCCGTTGCCTAGTCTTTCCTCTAGCTCCCTACCATGACTCAAGATTCCACAGCGAATCTCTATCCGATGGAAACGAGCTAACATTTATCTCACGTGCATTCAGCGGCAGTTCGTGACTATCACAACCACGCGAAACAGTAACCAACTTGCCGAGGATGACGTACTCAAGCTTCAGTTTTATGCTGTACGTAAGGGACTTGAACATCACTTGCACGGTATAGTAACCCACAAATTGGGTAAAAATAACGGTGATATCCAGGAGCACAATTATGATGTTAATAAAAAGCAACTGGTTCAAAATTCCCTTCGGACGACCCTCTGGCCGCAGTCGGAGCAGCTTGACGGTTTCCCAGGCGTAGATGCTCGAGATGATCAGTTCTTGCAGGCAGAAGCAAACTAGTTCGATCCGTTCCATGACGTTGTACCCATGTGCCCAGACGCTTGTCGGGTAGGCAACAGTTCCGTATAATAGGACGCTCGCCGGGATATGCAATAACACGGCATCGATGCAGATAACTAATAGCAGACCCCTGAGTAGCTTGGTGTTATACAGCACAAGATGCAGCCGCGACCATAGGACTACTGACTGGCCAGTGACCATGCCAAACCAGCCGAGTAGAACTAGCGTAACGCATAGCCATGGTGTCACACCGGTTGGGAAGAAAAGGAGCATAAAACCCAGACAATTGAGGATGATACAGGCGGAGGCAATGAGCAGACTCCAGAAGTAGGTTCCATTCCAACGCTTGAAGGAGACGAAACAGATAATGATAAGTTCAAGAGCGTTGTACCAGGCTATAGCTAAAAAAGCGGCGAAAATACCTGTGCGGAGTGCGCTGGAGGTGCCGCACTTGTGTGTTGCAATACCGGCAGCGTCGTCGTGAGCCATTAGAGATTGGAGCATAATGCTTGGTTATCACCGGTGATAGAGAGGCGGCAAGAGGGTGATTGAAGGGAATTGAAGTTTGGGTGGAAGATTGGGTTATTAAAAATGAAAAAAAAATAACTTATAATTACATGGGTGGTAATGTACTTCATCGCACTGTCCCTATCGGCGTTCTTAGAATTCTTCACGGCGAGGAGGGGCGCACCCCAGCTCCAGGATCTTGGGACCAGTGCTTGCTTTCCCCTAATAATTCCGGCAAATTGCCACTACCGGCTGTGAATTTAGCGACCAGAAACTGTAAACTCACGCGCTAACGCCACCATATTTGACTTTTTATTTTTCAGGCTTTCGTGGCTTCAAATTCCTTGATTACGTGTAATTCAACGTCTTTTTACCAAAGCAGACAGATTGGGAGAGAAGAAAAATGATTGAATGGCATCAAAAATGCCTATACGGTGGGGAGCACTAACACGCTCGAAGGTAGCATGATGGATATTAAGCTCACCCAAAAGCTTGAGCGCAACGGAAAAATCCATTTAGATTCTTACCGTACAATGATTGCATCCAGAATGTGACATACAGAAAGAACACTATATTCATAGGTTTGCTAAGTCTATGGCCAGAGTGTTATGCGGTATTTCACAAATGTCTTTACGTAGTATATCACGGGAGCCATTCATAACTTACGCATCACCCAATTGCCGCTACGTCAGGATTTGTATTGTTATAGATGCAGATAAGATTGTGCCTCATCAAAACATCACCAAAGGCAGGTTACAAAGAATCTAAATTCACGGTATCTGGATCCAAATAGACACCACCTTTGACTGATAAAACCTGGTACCGCAGCAGGTCCGACCAATTTTTCTGGAAGTGCTGGCGCATAAGTGCTTCTGCTGCTTCGTTTCCAATGGAGGCGTATTCGAAGTTGCGGTTACGAGCTAGCCCAGAGACGACATTTTATAGCTGCTTAGGGTTGACTCCACAAATTGTTTGTCCATCGGGTCTAGTAACCAGCAAAGATAACTACCAATTTTCTTTAGTAGAAAATGGACTAATACGTTCCTTGGATAAATGATAGAATTGCAGAAATAGCCCCAATGCTCTTTTGACATGTCAAATGGCATGGTCGGCCAAGTTGACATTCACATAAGTATTTTAGCGAGGACATAGGCACTAGTTATTGGTTTTTAAAGTCCCATATCACAAAGAACGTAATGGAATGTCCCTCCACCTGCTTTGGTCTCCCGGTTTTTGTTGTTGATATTATATCACATCTATAAAGAGTTGACTCTTCTTTTAATTTAATTTATTCTTTTATTCTTTCAGTAGTATTTTCACTTGATGATGCAATATGTTGATGATCTACGATCAATTGCCACTTTGGGTCCGCGGCTCCCGCACGCCGCGGCTCGGACACCGTTCTACTTTTCCAGGGGTGACCCGTGGCGGAGGCCGCCCCCTATGAGTGGAGACTTAATGCATATAGTATATTCCGGGGATGTGTCATATTAACCAAGCTGGCTCTGAATAGTTTGTACATTATATTATCCAAAAAGTGACACCAAGAACTACTCATTAGCGTGTTTATTGCCATTATAATATTTAACAAAGCTCCGTTAGCTGGAATGTTGCACCGTCCCGCTCAATAACTGTTGGCTAGACACAAAAATGAATTCATTTCTCAATAACAGAGCATCGTGGTAACTCCATGTTTTCCAGGTTGGCTTCGTTATGGCCGTAATAAATGGAGAGGAAATAGCCATTGTTATGGAAGAAGAAAACATTTTACATACACGGTCAAAGTCCCTTCTCTTTTTTACACTAGATGCAGGGCCTATAGCTTATGCTTGCCCACTTCTGCTTCCCCAGCCCGAAGCTTGGCAGTAACATTCAGCGCCCGCCGTGTCGCCAAGTCTAAAAGGATCTCTTCGCTCCCTCCAGGGACGGTGATGGCCTTGACATCACGCCAGATACGTTCAACGCGCTCTCCCCGACCACCACGAGTCAACCCAATCCCACCCATAATCTGAATTGCCTCCCGTGCAACATGCTCCAAAACAATGCCAGCATGGGCCTTGAGTTGGGCAGTTGTACCAGCTAGGAGGAGCACGGCCTCTTCGGAAGAGAGCTGTGAGAGCTGGTAAATCAAGCTCTTTTTGTATTGTTAGCCTCGTCCGAGATGAGATTAAAATGGGCGACTCGCCTCGATCCACGCCTGTAAGGCTTCTGTCTCTCGACTCATATTGGCAATCTTGAGTCTGATGACGGCTGTCATTCACATTAGCACCCTAAATTCCCTAAACACAAAGGAATGAAGACTCACGATGATCAACAAGCTTCTTTCCGAAAGTTTCTCGGTTCATCGCGTGGCTTGACATACTGTTAGCGGGCACAATTTGAAGGGAACCGAGATACAAACTTTATGGAATCCTCCAGACAAACCCTAGCACATCTCAGAGCCTGCATCCCAATAAAAAGTCTCTGTCTTATATTAATAGAGTTCTTCAAAGACAGAGCAAGTGCACAAACCTCGTGGTTGAAGTTGGACATAATGTACTTGAGTCCCTGCCCACGCTCGCCAACGACCATGTCCATTGGAACTTGAACATTCTCAAAGTCCACAAAAGCTGTACCAGCAGCCGTTGATCCGGAGAGCGTTATATGCGTAGTTGTGACGCCCTCTGTTCGTGGTATGACCAATAGCGTAAACTCCCCTGTTGTTTCCTTAACAAGGGTTACGAAGTAATGCGCATACATGCCCGAAGTTATCCACTGAAATATCGTTAATATTTGACGTTCAATGTATGCGAATTGGTAAAGGGTACTCAGACCTTCTTTTCTCCGTCAACGATAAAGTGTAAACCGTCCTCTGACACCCTTGCTTCTGTCTGCACACCTTGAACATCAGACCCAGCTCCAGGCTCAGTGATGGCTAGGGCTACTCGAAGGCGACCAGAGAGTATGTCTGGTATAACGCTATGTCCTATAGTGTAAGCTAGTATGACTTCATTTTAGAGATAAACTTACACGTCTTTGATCTTCTGCGAACCGTATTTCCGAAGGGCGGGCACGGACAAAACCTGGAGGTGTCGTAAGTCAAAGAATTCACGCCGATTACAGATCATAAATCTTACAGGACCGCCAACCAAACCATTCTCGATACTTCAAAGAGTCAGCGTGATTCAGTATCAAAATATTCAAGGCTATTTTTCACATACCCTATTCCACCAACTCTGCCAAACTCGTCGTGAATAATGAAGTCATGGAATCCATCCCATTCTTCGGGGGTAACGTTGCCGATGATTGGATATTTCCCTCTCCATTCTTGCGGAATTTCTGCCCCAGCCGCCATGGGCATGATCAGACCATCCTTAGCTGCCTTTTCGTAGAGTGAATCCGGGAGCGACGGGGATTGCTCCCATTCCAGAGTATGGGGCAATAGGTTCTGCCAAAGTCAGGGTACAGGTTTCCAGCCAAAGATGGAGCGAGGATTGGGTAGTCACCTCCTCAACCCAGAGTCGCATTGCCGCCCGGAGGCGTCTGTGACTATCGTTATAGTATGGACTAGGACAGCATCTAGCCCATGCGGGTTCTGCAAAAGGCACTGTTGAGCCAAACAGCCATTTGGCTTTGACATCGTTCGAGACTATCGACATGAAGAGGTCTGTAATTTCACTTTTTTGAAGAAAGCGGTATTTGCTGAGGCAAGGTGGCGCGGAATTTTGCTATTTTCTTTCCATATCTAACGAGCGTCGGTGAGCTTTATAGCTTATTTTTACAGCTCCAATGATTTCTCTTCAAATATGCAATTTCATTTCTGGTTACAACAAGCAAACAACAAGCAACTTCACGGTATTGGCCATACCAAAAAATAGACGGTGTTACTACTAAGCACCGAGAACCGAGGCCTGCCCAGCAACACGGGAAATATGGCATACAAGTCGGCAAATGGATGGGTAACTGCCGACTGTTTTAGGATTACGGAATGGGTGGTACATGACATCGAACGGTATCAGCCCCACTGTCATCCATACAAAATCAACATGATAACATAACATGCATAGTGAGAATGAAAGAAGCCCTCGTGGGTGATTAAAGAAGGAAAGGCTAATTGACAGACAAACCCCGTTTACAGAGGGCATACCCACACGAACCCGATACGGCAACCGTACATCAATCAGTATACTAAATTCAGTAGTTTTGAATTGTTTTCTAATTAGAGCAGGCCTAGTATATTGCTTCGGTCGGGGTATAACGGTTTCATGGTTAGAAATGGTGAATAGTCTAATATTATGTTAACTAATAATCCCATAGATCGATAGTCTCACTATAGTGGAGTAGATGGAAGAGGGGACGGGCTATTTTGTCTATCTATATTCCCTCGGGTTATGAAAATCACTCTGGAACTATTCACTCTACCTAGGATGACTACATTAATATCCATGACATGACGACGGATTCCGACTTCCGTCCTTATCAAGCCGCGGAGTCCGCTTAAATCAACAATGGTCCTGAGTGGGAATATATCCATCCATCCTGGAACTTAATTATTTGCTGCCCACCCTACACTCAATTCTCGAGCACGGTCATAAATTACATAGTCACTAACACGTAGTTGCCGTTGGAGCTGGCATACCGTGTCGATTCCCGACAAGCCTGCTCCGATGATAACGATGTCGCCGTACAATATCTTTCGTTCTTGCATATTTAGCCTGTTGTGGGATGTTAAAACCCTGTGAATGAATCCAGGGTGAGTTAGATGGTTTATAGGGATTGCATGAAGATAACTCGAAAGGCCAATCCATTTCTATGGTGTGGTCAGCCGGAAAAGGAAAGAATAAATCAAAAAAAACAATTAAGGTGCGATGAACAATGTACTGCCTAAATAACCGAACCATATATTGGGGCAGCAAGATACACGGGCTAGCAAGTTGTGGAAGTTATCCGTTCATTGTTTCCCTTAAAATCGGCGTGGGTATTTTCCATCTTCTGTTTACTTCCTTTTGCCTAGTCACCTTAATTTCTGCCAAAGGTTTCGGAGAAGAAGACAACGCATGCTACACAAATTCCACGCACGGACTACGCAGGTTGCCAGTTTACTAGGCAGAATAGACAGATTTGAAAGAGCATAACTGTTATGAGCGTGGTTTGCTCGTTGATATTGTGTGATAGGCCCAGGCTCACACTTCTCTCTCTGCTTATTCGCGGTCGCCAATCGCCAAGATGAGAATAAAACGCAAAATAAACAGGAGAACTTAAACCTAAGGTCGCCAACGGAAGCCAGGATGACGCCAGTCCAGGTCCTGAATCTGCATCTGTGAAAGTCCTGCCAAGGCAGCATTAACATCCACTCGATCACGCCGCTTGTTATCCCAGGCCATGTAGACCCACAGACCAGCACCTAGAAGTAGGGTGGTGCTGGAAGTTGCCAAATTAAGCCCGTTCCCGATATGATAGTTAGGGCCGTCGAAGGGGAGGTATGACCAGGTGCTGATAAGTCCACCTATATTGCCAAACATGACCATTGCGCTAATCGCTGATGACCGCGCGGTATCCGAAACAACGTTGGCGGACACATGAGCAGCGCAAAAAGCTCCAAATGCAAACGATCCACTGCTGATAAGGAAAGTCGCTCCATATCGTACCATAGGGTCTTCGGAAGCAAGGAACATGATATAGCCTACTCACTATAGTCAGCATTTGATAAGAGAGTATATCATGGTGAATGTTTACCGATTATCATTAGTGGAGCACATGAAACAAAAAAGATCAGTCGGTGGTCGAAGCGCCAGCTAAGGAACGGGAATAACAAAGTAAAGAATGCCCCGACAACATACGGAGGAACCGTATGTAGCTGTTGGGATATCACCCCGGCATTAGGATAGATAGTTTTGATGATAGTAGGCGCAAACATTCCGAGACCCTGAACGGTGATATTGTTCAGCATATAGATGAATGCCGTGATGATCGTGGTTGGACTAAAGATGCCACGCATCATTTTAGCCGTATCGAATTTATCGAGAAGCTCGGTTGTCGCCACGCGCTCAGACTTAACACGCACAACGGCCAGATCCTTCTCTTCTTGTGAGAGCCATAGCGCTGTCTCCGGTCTGTCGGTTAGGGTGAAGAATGAAATAATACCAATGCAGATAGTAATAATCCCTTCAATCGCGAAGATCATTCGCCAGCTCGAGAGAGAGCCGAAACTATCTAGCTTCAGAATACCAGAAGCTAGAAGACCACCAAATGCACCGGCCAGTGGAGCCATGACAATATACAGTGACAGACGGAAGGCAAGTTCACTCCGTCGATACCATCGCGAAAGATAATAGGCGATTCCAGGCATCAATCCTGCCTCAAACAGACTGGGGAAGAGTCAGCGGTATTCCCACAGTATTCATATGAAACTTCTTATAAGTTTGTGTACCTACCCCAAAAGAAAGCGAACCCCAGACGCCTGATGAATATTATTGACAAATGCTGTCGCGACGGAGCAGATGCCAAACCCGATTTCAATGCCTGGAAGCCACCACCCAGGACCGATCCATTTACACATGAGATTGCTCGGGATCTCAAACACGATATATGAGATAAAGAATATCGATAGCACGATGTTGTAATCAAGTCCTTCGAGTCCGAGGTCCTTCTCGAAGCCAGCTAGCTTGGCATTTCCTATTTTAACAACAGTAATTAGTTAGGGGAGCGAGGTAATAGTGATAGGTAATATACGCACCTATATTTGCCCGATCTATAAAACAAAACAGATACATCAATGACACCGTGGGGATGATGAACAGGTCGATCTTCAAACGCAACCTCGACTCAGCAGCTTTATCGAATTCCGCAAGGGCCTGACCATATTCATCCGTGGCGAGATGACCTCTTCCAGCCGCGATATCCATCACATTTTCTTCATATTCCGCCAGGCCCTTTTCATCGGCTACGGACGGGGTCCGAGAGGAATTCGCCATAGTGAAGGTGCCAGACAAACGCTTATAGTGTAGGGGAAGTGATATAGAGAAGTCAGGTAGGATACTAGCCCTTGAATAAAAGTATCATGGTCACCATGGGGCAGTTATTTATACTGGAATGAGGGAAAGTTAAAATCTCCAGATGATCTAAATGGGGTAAAAACCTGGGGTTTACGCGAAGCTCAACGGATCTGGTTGTATGGAGTCCACTTTACCAAATCAGAGTGGCGAGTTCCATTGCTCCAGACTATTCCCCAGGCTCGATTCACCCTAGACTCTGTCAACTAGAGAGAATTTCAGCGAGAATTATTGCACTATTGATAACATACTCGTCCTCCGATCATTTCTAGTGACAATATGGAGTAGCAGGCCACAAATCACCACTATAAAGCTGCCATCTCTGACATCTGCCAAGTGCGTATATGCCAAGGAAGGGGCCATGCTTTAAGAGTACGTTATCCCTCGGTTATAGGAAGAAGTTGGGGCCCAACATTTGAAAATGCCACGGCTTGCAATCCGAAGTTGATATCATCCGGGTCTCATTCCGGGTGCCCAGTCGGGTTCCGCTCCGGTCGGCTGCGGGGGTGGGGGATATCGGCATATCGCTGAACCTTATTAAACATTGCCATTGTTGGCAGCCGTTCTGAACAACAGGCCTAGGTTTGATTATTTGAGGGATTGGAATAGTGGTTTGGGATTTAGGGCATGGAGAATCGCGCATAACTGTAGAAGCTATAGGTAGAAATTAATAGAGCTCTGCAAGGCCCATAAAGCCTATAGCCCTGCACGACGCTCCATACCACCCCGACGAGGAGCTACCCAGCCACTACGCGAGCCCGCTGCGAGACGGTGATTAACTGCGACTTACAGGATATGACAGTCACAACCACCATCACCACCAGCGAGGTCCCAGACGCAATGGCCTCCCCAGCTGGTATATACGAATACGAGAACAACTCTCGCGATGATCAGGCTGTGTTTGCTGCCCTTGCATCCGACTACGATGAGTGAGATAGGACCGCCGACACCATGACCATAACCATGACCACGACAAACAGTAGCACACCTACGACCACCACTTCAATCTCAAGTCCTAACCCTGACTACCCGAATGAGTCCATGATATTGAGTACTAGGTTCACGCGGTATACTTCGATTTGACCGAGACGCACTCCTACCCTTGGTCCAGTGAATACTACGCCGACAATCAGGATTCGACAACCGAGAACGTTTCCACCAACTCCTACCGTGTCACTGGTCCTATCGACGCGGGCGCTAGTGGTGAATATCCCGCATCACTGGGTACTTTCGATCTCCCTGCACAGTACACGGACTGCAAGTACTCCGGAAATACCGACTCCGTAGGGTCGGTTACATGCGGCTCAAAAAGCCTTCTCGTGGAGCGAGTTCCATGATTATGATGGAACAGCCCCCACGTTTGATTGTGGCAAGACTACTCCGTACAGCCGATGGCGGTAGCACATATATATACCATTAATACTATGAGGCGATCCAGTGTTCCATCACTTACTAAATAATCCCCACGGCGTTGTGATACAAATATAATAGGGGAATAGTACGATTAAAGAACAATTATAACTATTTGCGTTATTAGATGTGGTTTTCAAGGCTCAAACAAGATCTTCCTCAAATATCTCCAAGTGTCAGAAGAAATTAAAATTGGCTTACAGTGTCGAAACTAGAGCTAGAAAGGCTCAGCGGCTATATAAGCCAAATACTCTTGCTTTTCCCTTTGCATTTCGCACGATCGGTCATCGCTCTGAAGTACAGCCGCACTTCGCCCCCACGTCTTAAGAGCCTCTCTTCCCTTGGCTTCCTCTCTTTCTTTCTTTTAGAGCTAAGGTACCTTTGTATCTATACCAATAGTCACATCTTTTGAGATTGGGAAGAATGACAATTCTATAATCCAAAACAAGTTGCAATGATCTTTTTTTAAACAAGGCATCTACAGGCTAAGTGCACATATTTGACATGACCTAGTGGGACATCCGGCGTGCTATGAACTCTGAACAACAATCCGTATCCTAACCATATTATTTATCATCATAATATACTGGAATAGAAAAACAACTATCAATCCTGTCTGGCAGGGTCCTGAGTAGGCTTGTTGAGCAGGTACTCATCGATCTCAGTCATTATTTCAGGAGTCAGCATCGGCAAAAGCTTCAGGCTTTGTACGTTGTCGACGATCTGCTCTGGTCTCGAAGCACCTGTGATCACCGATGAAACATTCTCGTTCTTGAGACACCATGCCAGTGCCAGCTGCGAGAGCTTGACGCCCAGCCTATCCGCTAATTCCTGTTGAGGGTCAGTTTCATTCTTGATTCGAGTGGTTTGATGATGGTACCTTAAGACCAGTAATCTTGCGAATATTCCTGGCCCACTCCTCGTTCTCCCAGTCATTGCGGACACTGCTCGCAAACTTGTCATTGCTCTCGGCAAATCGCGAGCCTACGGGAGGCGCTGATATCGCATCGTTGTACTTGCCGCTCAGCAGACCCATCTTCAACGGAGAGAAAGTGGTGAGACCAATCCCGCACCGCGAGTAAATCCGCTGGAACTGTCCCTCGACCCTATCGCGATCCAACATGTTGTACAGAGGCTGCTCAACAATGGGCGCGATAAGACCCAGGGACTTGGCTATTCCGCAAGCTTCGGTGATCTCATCTGCAGACCATTCTGAAGTTCCCCAGTAGAATGCCCAGCCCTTTTCAATAACGTGGTTGAAGGCGCGGACGGTCTCTTCCATAGGCGTCAGGCGATCCGGGCGATGGGCGTAAATAATGTCAACGTATTCGAGCTGCAATCGCTCCAGAGAAGCCTGAGCACCCTCAACAATGTGTTTCCGTGATAGTCCGTGGTTATTAACCAGGATTTCGCCATTCGCCAGACCCCAGTTTAGCTTGGTAGTAATAACCAGATCGCTGCGCTTCCAGCCGAACTTTTTGATGGCTTGTCCCATGACGACTTCAGATTGACCATCGGCATAACTGCAACTGTGAGCTTATGGGCTTTTAACGAATGTTCTCATCGCTTACCTTTCTGCTGTGTCGAAAAGATTGATACCACAGTCGTAAGCCTGCTTCATGCAGTCAAAAGCAGTCTCTAGAATATCTAGTTAGTAATGAATTGCGTCCTTATACTGAATGCCACTCGTACGATTTTCCACATGGCCTCCGAACCTATACAATTTGCCCACGTTAAAATTTGACTCTTCTTTTTGCGGGTGACATAGAAAAGCTTCTCACGTTAACCATCCTCCCAATCCTAGGGCAGATACATGCAAGCCTGAATTTCCCACACGGCGATATTGCATGTCTTTGTTCTTGTTGGGCCACGCCATGGTTTAAGTGTTCAGTCAGTTGCTAGAAAAACCAAGAGAGAAAAAAAAAAGCTATCACAAACTGTATCTAGAGAAATAGAAATAGAGGGGGATCAAATTAATTTGTACTGCGACTTGGTCTACTTCGCGAATTTGGTTGTGATCCACCCGTGGATTGTCTAAAAGATATCCGGGCACGGGCCAATCATCGTTTGGGTTGTGGAGACGGATCGGAGGCATTCTCGGGATCCAGACGATGTGGGTCTTGTCAGTATGGCGTGCCCTGTCGACGGTATAACGCAATTCTTTATCCCCCCCTTTTTTTGATTGTTCACTTGAATTATGATTTTAGATTAGACTCTCGTATACGGAGTACCTGGGGATGCATAATCTACCCCGCGTATAGCTTCAGCATGTCTGCCAGATCATCGACCAAGACCGCCTGCGATGGCTGTAAGATTCGGAAGGTGAGGATCACGTTAGAATCAGCTCTCACTAGAATGTAGGATGTGGTGTTAATTGAAAACTTGAAGATCCGATGCAGGGATGGCCATCCATGTCTTGGTTGCCGGAATTCTCGCATCAAGTGTACATATCTTCTAGCCCAGCAGCCCCGCGGTCCGCAGCGCCTGCGTTCCACGACCCAGTATCTGATCGATCAAGTCCAACGGGGAGCTGCAGCCCAGCCCAGCCAGGATCCGACTCCCTTGAGGGAGCTGCAGGGGACGGATGTCACAACTCAGCTTCCAGCGGTCGGGCGATCCATTGATCGGCAATCAGGCAGGTGCGTACTCAAAGGCTGACTATGAACATGTTCTTTTCTTATTCTGGCCATTATTCAGCAGTTTATCACCAAGATTTACATGCCGAATCCCAACGAATGTCATTGCCTACCCCCTCTATATCTATCATATGCGCATGTACCCCGTGTGGCCAATCGTCGACGCCAAAAATGTAATATCTATTCTGCAGCAAGTCACCGGGGACATCGATATTGAGACATACGCGCTGGCGACAGCTGTTGCAGCCGCAACAATCGCACAACTGAGACTTCAGCCGAGCCTCTTGCACGGTAAACCGATCACCGCCGATACATTTGCAGCCGAAAGCATGAGAGCCCGAAGGTTCGGTGCATACACGTCCGCAGTGAGTTTGGATAAGGTGCGGACGTCGTTTTTTCTTCATATCTACCATGAAAGCAAGCATGCAGGTGGGAGTGAGTCGCTACTTTTCCTGAGGGAGGCCATATCTCTCGCCCAGATGATGAATTTGCATCGCGAAATAGCATACATTGGACTCCCACAAGATGAGCAGCAGATTCGCCGACGAGTATTGTGGCTGCTATTCATTACGGAGAGGTAAGGATCTTCCCACTTGTTTGTAAAAGAAATTCAGACTCTAATCTTGGAATAGGGGTGTCTGCATTCTTCACAAACTTCCTGTTGTGCTTAAGACTAATATTTCAACACCCGAACTGGACCTCGATGGCGAACCCCAAGTCCTTCCTGCGTTTTTAAAGCTTCTAAATTTGTTCCGCCTCTTCGACCAGTCCAGGATGTTCGATTTCATAGAAGATGACGATCTTGGAATGTATTCAATCTCTGACGAGATGAGGAATCTGGACAAGCGATCTTTCAAAATGTTGCATGATGGGCTACAAGACGGGTCAACTTTAATGGATCACATCTCGGACGTGCAGAAAGCCGACCTGTGTGTCACTAGGCACTGGATGCGCATGATCTTATGGAAGGTCTCAGCAAAACACCACCAATTCTTTCCATCTCAATGGGCTGACTCTCCGTCGTTTCCCATCCTGGTTGCACAAGAACTTCTGGACATCGTATCTAAGCTACCTCAAGCTGCAATCAAAGCCCATGGGCTTGGCATGGTACGTTCCTAGATGGATATCCTTGAATGCATATTTCTGACGAAGTACTGCAGGAGTTGAAGTTGTATGGAATTGCCAATTCACTGGCTGACGCGGTGATAAATATGGCCATGCTACCTATGGCTTCGTTTTGGAATGACGAAAGTCGTCCATACGATATCTTGGCCCGACTTCACTCATTTTTATCCACCTTCGATGGCGGTGAGAATAAGGAACTAGTGGACGTGTTGTATAAGAAAATGACCGAAGCGCAATATAAAGCCGGTCGTGCAATGTGGTCCACAGTACATGCACCGATGAAAAGTAGACATTTGATTGAAACAACATCCGAGAATCAACTAGTCCAGGAAGAGCCTCCACTTCCAGGACCCGACTACATCATTACAATTCCAGATTGGTCCGAGGGCGGGGATCTGAATCCTGCAATCCACCCCACTGGTACGGATTGGTGGATGCCTGGCAATCTTATTTCACCGGAAGAGCAAGCCGATTACCCGATTTGTCTAGACGATATGCTAGCCTGTGGGTTTGCGGAATCGTGTTTCTCTTCAGTGAATAATGGCTATCCTGCATTTAGCTACGATCCACAGTTTACCGGAGGTATGTAGCCCCACTAGCAAGGAATGATACGATGAGGAGCCCCTCGGGGCACCATTCATTGTCACGATCGATGACCCCTCTTCCGTCGAGAATCTGATTGGAAGTTTTATGACCCAGAGTAAGCCCCGCCAGCTCCCATCTGAGATCTTTTTAGCTAATGAGATGGCAACCTAGATCTTTTCTAGAGGATTCAGTTGAAAGTGTTTGATACCAGACTACGCCTTGCATTCGGTCTTGCATATCTGCGTTGCGCTCAAATGTAAATATTCATCCTAAATATATCTTTATCATAATCCAACCGTACAACCGAAGCACCTAGTACGAAAAGCGGAAGTCTAGCCGTTTGTTGCCCTCCTTTTCTCTGGCGACTTGATCGGCTTGGTACAACTCTTGCTCCTCGAGTGACATAGCATTCCACTTCGTCTCCTTTTGGCGGTTCAAATAGCGTAGGAACTCACGCTGGATGATGAAGATAACTAGCGATAACGCACATAACGAAATGAGGATTTTGTTTCCGGTATGATAGTATGGAGAGTCGTTTTTACGGTAGATTTCTGTAGGTAAATTAGCAATGGATCGGGGTAAAATCAAATTGGGGTAATTGGGCCCAAAGACTCACGGGACGAGATCACAGATCCAATCTGCACGATAACATTATACGTCGCTGCGGTGAGGGCTCTCTTCTTGACATCGAATGTGTTCTCGGAGATCCATGCCGACACGATCGGGTGGAAATACGGGTATCCTGAGATCAGGGTGGTGATCGTGAAGCGTGGCCAGTTGTAGCCGCCGTTTGGCAGGGCGATCAATGCTGCCAGCAGAGGCAGAGACCACAGCTCGCCGAAGAGGCAGTGGAAGGTACGCTCTTGGAAAATCTCGCTGCTCTTACAGAGGGCAAGCATGAGGATGATCTGCAGCGCGGCCGAGGGGATCGAAAGCATGTTTGAATCAAAGGTTGAGAATCCAAGGCGTTTGAGGGTCAGAGAGAGGTAGGCTTGGACTGGGCCCTGCGGGATGTATGCAACGAGGCCGACCAAGTAGAGGCCCCACATCGATTTGTCACTCCAGGCATCGAGAAGGTCTTTGAAAGTGGCACTTTCTTGAATATTAGTGAGACCCTTCGAGGGGTCGTCGCGGAGGAGACGCTGTAGGGAGTTAGATGATTCAAGAGCCTTTTTGGACGGTGAAAGATACGTACGTTAACCATGATAACCTCCTGGCGTTCCGTGTACCAGGGTGTGCGGACGAGAACGCTTTTGGTGTTTGTTGAAGATTTGGGCAGATAGAGCAAGGCCTGCAAAATGTCAGAATACATATTTCCAGTGAGGGTATAGAGTTAAATCGCACCACAACGCCGATCAGGAAGGTGAGCAGTCCTTCGATCAGGAACAACCAGAACCAGCCAGTGTGTCCATGGACTCCTCGCATCTTGAGAATACCTGCCGCGAGAAGGGAAGAGATAATGCGGGCAACCTATGGTTAAAGCAAATAATGGTTAGTTCGGTGGATCTGCAACTGCTACATGAATGCAGAGATGGGAGCATACGTTGAGTGTCGACCAAAAGAATGCCAGGCGCACGGAGAGTTCGCGTGTTTTATAGAAATAAGTCGCAAACAAAATCGTTCCTGGAATGAAACCACCTTCAAAGGCGCCGATCAAAGCGCGGGTGATGTAAAACGTAGCACGATTTGTGATCCAGGCTTGCGTCCATGACACCAAGCTCCAGCCGATCATCATGAAAGGAAGGATTCGATTGAAGCCATAGCGCTTGATGAGGATCTGCACCGGAATTTCCATCGATAAGAAAGCGAGCAATTGGATAGTCGTACCCTATAGAATGAAAGATTAGTATGTGTCGTGCCGCTTTGTTTTGAACATCCTCACATTGTTGTAATCGTTGCTTGTCATTCCCAAATCAACGAGGAAGTTGTCCGTGACGGCATTCGATAGATTTCCACGGTCTAGTTGGAGACCAAAGAACTGTTTCTGCTTAGCATTGACCTTTGTCAAACCGGAGAAAAGGAAGCATACCATAAGACAAATGAATGACAACAGCATCAAGTCCGTCTTGAACACAACATCTTTCTCCTCTTTAGCGGTCCAAGTAGCGGACGGGTCAAACCGATGGTATCCCTCATAGGACTCATGGGGAGCAGTGACGCTGGCAAGGCCTCCCTGTGTGATTTCTACTGGCACTTTGGAGTTGTAGTTTTCCTCATCGCTGGCTTTGGTTTTGCCTATCGGGCCCTGACCAATCTCGGCCATGATTGCTCTTGCAGGACTAGATTTTATACAATTTGGAGAGACTGTAGAAAAGCAAAAAAAAGAGGATGGGAATAGCTCTGGCGAAAATTTTATATAGCACGGGGATTTCTATGGTTATATAGTTATGGGTTATCTATTCCTTGCCAGTGTTGGATGATGGCTGTCAACCGCATTTTTTTTATACGCTTAATCCTACTAAGCGTGAATACTTTAAATCTAGAAGGGATTGCAGAAGAAAGAGTGTAAAGCACATCATCGACTAAGAAGTCTGGGACAAATAATAACGGTTATTTCCAGCCAATGGCGGTTTCTATTCCTTAGCGTCAACCAAGAACAAAAACATTGTTCCTGAAAATTATCTATATTTCTCCCCTGAGCCAGTCAACTATAATACTGTCCTTCCTATAATCCAACCTTCAACATTCGAATAAATTTCTCCAGGCGCTATATCAATATTAAAAGAGATTGTTGAGGTTTGTTTAAAGGTATTTCATCAAATTGGCATTTAGCACGCCATAGGCGCAGCTCCGAAATTGTCGCCGACGCCCCACCGAAGATAGCGCCATTTAACTTTTGCCAAGCGGGAGACATCTGATATATGTAATGCCTCGGCTTTAAAGCTTCATAAAATTCGCTATTTTGTCATCGCTCGAATTTATCCGATTGTTGAATTAAACAGGGGTAACATGCCAGCTATCGCCGCCAACGCTAACGCCATGTCCACAATTAAGGGAGGCCACGAGCAGTCACAAACTCGCAACTCGCAACCCCTTGAATATTCAGGCAGCTTGGACTCATATTCCCATAATGATCTAACTCCTGTCATTGGCACAGAATACAAAGGACTACAAGTGGCAGATATTCTAAAATCGGAGCAATGTGACCAACTCATTAAGGATCTTGCCGTCACCAGTACGTTACAAGTACATATTCTTATAGCATGTTTCTAACAGTAAAACAGTATCGAGACGAGGCGTGGTCTTCCTACGTGATCAAGATTTGACGCCACAGCAGATGCAGGCATTCGGGGAGAAATTAAGTGTGATAGCAGGATGCGTGAGTTCCTTCCACGGCCAAGACATTTTTCTTTCCTTGTCAATTACTAGACTGACCTGATGATAGCCAGAATCATCGGGCTTACACGTTCATCCCTTGACTGAAAGTGGAAGCGAGCTGGGTGACCAAATCAGTGTCATTAGCAGCGAGAAGCAGAAGAAGGGCGGTGGTCTCACCCATCAACTCAGTGACACAAGCCGCTTTGCTTCAGCGGGATGGCATTCCGATATTAGCTTTGAACGTGTGCCCTCTGACTACGCAATGCTCAAGATTCACACTCTCCCAGAGACGGGAGGAGACACATTATGGGCGTCAGGGTACGAAGTGTACGACCGTCTCTCGCCGGAGATGGCAAGATTCTTAGAGGGCTTGACAGCCACACACGATGCAAAATTCTTTCACGAAGAGGCACGGCGGTTGGGAAATCCGTTGCGAGATGGAATTCGTGGCTCGCCTCTCAATCAGGGCGACGAGCTCGAGGCAACACATCCCGTCATCAGAACTAACCGTATGTGGCTCCGCATCCCTCTTCTCGTTTATATTACTGACAATAAGAAATAGCGGTGACGGGCTGGAAATCTGTTTATGTGAACAAAGGATTCACTAAGCGTATTCAAGGTGTGACCAAAGATGAATCGGATATATTGCTGGCGTATCTGTTCAATGTAAGTTGGGCAACATTATTCTATGGCTCCACTACCTAGGTATTCAGGATGGCTAACAGCAAGCAGTTGGTGACTCAAAACCACGACGCCCAGGTTCGCTTCAAGTGGAGTGAGAATGATTTAGCGATCTGGGATAACCGTTCTACGTGGCATTGCGCCACATATGACTATGTAGAGGCTCGAGCTGGTGACCGAGTCTGCAGTCTGGGAGAGGCACCTTATCTGGACCCTCAGTCGAAGTCTAGGAGATCCGATCTGGTAAAAGCTTGAGCGAGCGTTGGGAGACAAGGAATTTACATGTATTAATGAGAACGAAAGACAGGAAATATGCTCAACGGCAAATTGCCTGGTTGTACGCGGAAACTAGGAATGAAAACGCGTCATTGAATCCACGAATGCCACATATTCGAGCGTAGCTTCATCTTATAGTAGTAATCCCCCTCATTGAGCCATTCACAAAGTATTCGCGATTTTATGATAGATGGACGATGTTATTGGGCTCGCTATTGCATTCAAGATTCCTCCCGCGGAGGGTAGCATTCAAATGCCTGGCTTCGGCCTTAAAAGACCATAATTCTTCAGCCACAAGTATCCTCCGTCCATTCCAGACTTCCCCAAGATAAGGATATTTGTCGAAGTAGTACAGATTACACCAAATAACACCATTTTCAAAATACCATTGGTTCATATTCTTCCCTTCTCGGTGGTGGTATATCGCCAACCCTTGCTTGCAGTTATAGTGAATCTGATTGGGTCTTTTGGATGCTGGCTCAGAATGCGTCCAGCAATTACGGGCAGAAAAAGGATAAATAAGACGGGCAGAAACGAAACGAATCAATCAGTTATCAACAATCACAAACTTCTTTCTGAATTCATCACCGATTCTGCAGCAAATGCGAACCATTATGTCTCTTGACGAGGACGGAGACTCAACCGATTTGGACAGAGGGAAGGATAACCCTGGACTCAGTTCGGCAAAATCATCCAAAAGACTTAATCAAATTGACTGTGTTCGAGCCAACGGGGTTGGCGATCATATCGCGCTCCCCCAGCTAGCAGTGTGTGGTGATCAGTCGGCGGGAAAAAGCTCTGTTCTCGAAGGTATCACCGGATACCCTTTTCCTCGCAAGGACGGACTTTGTACACAGTTTCCTACCGAGATAGTACTGCGCCATGACACTCAAGTCAGTTCGATGACTGCAAGCCTTCTGCCGAGTCAATCTCGTTCTCCTGAGGAGAAAACAAAGTTCGCGGGGTTTCAACGAGAATTTCAAGATTTCAACGAATTACCGACGATAATCCGCGAAGCTTCCAATTATATGGGGGTTCGAGGATTCAGCGAGCTTGCCGATGCACCTGGCTTCGCTGCGGATGTTCTTAGACTCGAATTAGTCGGCAATACGGGGCTTCATCTGACTTTGGTTGATCTACCGGGATTGATAGAGGTCTCGGAAAACGAGGAAGACGTTGGGATCGTGCGACGTTTGGTTGATTCATATCTGGAGAGCTCTCGTACAATAATACTTGCTATTATTCCGGCCAGCAGCGATGCAGAGACCCAACGCATTATTCAACGAGCGCGTCATTTTGACAAGGAGGGTGTTAGGACTGTGGGGATCATCACGAAACCCGACCTCATCAACAGTAACACAGAAGAAAGAGTGGCTCGCTTGGCAAAAAACCTGGATCGCACGAAGTTGAATCTTGGCTTCTTTCTCGTCAAAAATCCCTCCCCGGATGAATTATTGGACGGAATCGGTTTTCGGCAGCGCAATCAGGTAGAAATGGAGTTCTTCTCCAGTCTACGTTGGAAGGCCCAGGGACTTGATTCTACGAGAATTGGGATGAACAATTTACGTTCATTTTTGGAGGAACTGCTGGATAGCCATATCGAGCGAGAGCTACCGAAGGTTCAGCAGGAGGTTCGACGTCTACTGCAGCGTGTGGATGACGAAATGATTAACCTTGGGATTGAGAGATCAAACGCAACGCAAGTTCGAGTATTTCTCACTCAGATCAGTACTGAATTCTATGGAATTGTCAAGAATGGTCTTGAGGGAAACTATGATAGCTGGGACGGCGATTTTTTTGCAACTGGTCCAGAAAGTTGCCGTCTACGTGCTGCGATCCATAGGAAAAATGAGCACTTTGCCCAATACATGAGGATCCATGGCCAACGGAGAAAGGTCGTCGCGTCTGATTGCGATGATATACTCGAAGAGGAAATCAAAGAAGAAAGCAAAGAGGAAAGCAAAGAGGAAATCGAGGAAGACAAAAATAAAGAGCTTTCTGTTACAGAGAAAGAGATGTTTTCTTGGATTAAAGAGGTAAGCCAAAATCTCAAGCGGAAAGGTCATCGCTTACGATAACAGATGTATCGGCAAACAAGAGGTCGCGAGCTCCCAGGAAATTACAACCACTCTCTCCTTCAACGTTTGTTTCATATCCAATCATGTCGCTGGAAAGAGATCTCTCGAGCCCACATTGAGTCTATCGTGAGTTTAGTGACTCGGTTTGTGCGCCAGGCCTTGAAGTTCGTGGTAAAGGATGCCGGAGTCTACGACAAATTGCAGAAGCACATCATGGCTACGTTCAATGAGAATACCGACAATGCTCATGAGGAACTCTCCAAGCTCATACAAGATGAAAGAGGTCACCCAATCACCTACAATCACTACTATACCGACAACATTCAGAAAGCGAGACATGACGAAGCGAAGGAAAGCATTCGAAATTCCGTCAAGAAAGCAGCTGAATCGGATTTGGGTGGCAATGTTCACTTCAACAACACTCCTGATGAAATGAATCGAATGATTTTAGCTCTACAGAAGCGCGTGGAGGTTAATATGGTTGACAGAGCCTGCTCCGAGGCATTGACCGACCTGAATGCATATTACAAGGTGAGTAATCTGCATGTCCCACTGGTCGATCCGGTTATAACGTGGTGATTTAGGTTGCCATGAAAACATTTGTCGACAATGTGTGCCGACAGGTGATTGAAAGGCAAATTCTGTCCAAATTGGGAAGGGCATTTCACCCAACAGTTGTGAGTAAGTTTTCAGACGAGGATCTCATGCGTCTTGCAGGCGAGTCACAAAAAACTAGCCGTCAACGTGTTGAGATGGCGCAATTGAAACAGAAGTTGGAGGCAAGTCTACGAGAATTATCTACTTAGTCATACTTTTGTGATCTTCTGGGCCTCTTTGGGTGGGGTTTTTCTCCACAACTGCATCCCGATCCCAGTCCCTTCTAGTTCGCGATCTGATAATTACATTATCTTCCTCAATTACCACTTTTTTCTTACTGCATATGCTTTGAGCACAACAATGAGCGCTGAAGAATTTCTGGCCAATGTTGAAAGCGGCATTGTGCCTGTGACCTGCCATGAGGATGTCTTACGGATCGCATTCATCTATCTGGATGAGGGGCTGTGGACTGACAATGGGGTGTTTGATGTGGTGGAGAAGCTGCACGCGCATGGCTGGTCCTTTGGCGAGGGCGAGTTACGCATTAACCGGTAATTTGTCTCCTACTGTGGTAATCTCTGATAGCACTGCATAATTAAACAAATAACAGTACCCTGGATGTATTCTATCTCGCACAGCTAGCAGCAGCTATCTACCGCTATTCCTCCCAACTGGAGGGGGACTTCCCTTCCTTCTCTGATTTCCCTGCCTTCTACACAGCTCACCACGCCCTCCTACATTCCTCCGCCTGGCGCTCCTACTACTCCACCCACTTCCTCGCCCAACGTACTACAGCGCGCTTGTACCGCCTGCCCGACCTCCAGGACCTCCCCGACTCCTCCTCCCCGCTATGCCAGCCGCGCCGCAGTACAGTATTTGCACACGTCTTGAAACTCCCCCGCTGGGCCTATACTGTGTCTTGTACACGACGCAGGCAGCCCTTTCTACCATTTGTGACTCTTACTGAAGTAGCCCTTAGCACGCTGGAGGCAACTATGACACGCCTGCACACGGCCTACGCCAGTGCACCACCCTATTCCGAATCACATGCGCGCTTCTGGCTTGACTATTTTACTCCTGGTCTATCTCCATCGCGGCTGATTAAGATAACTTTCCGGGAAGCATGGGGGCCTAATAGCTTTGGGATATTGACTGCGCAGGGAAAGTATGATATATACGGGCTAGAAGCAGAGTACCTCGCACAGGTATCGGGGGGAGAGGTTGCCGAGGTAAATAGCGAGTCGGAGCAGGTGGAGTGGTGTGGGTTGCCCGATGGAGGGATTGGAGAGCAGGCGTGGTGGAGGGGTTGGGAGGGAGAGATCGGAAGTGAGGAGGAGGTGGAGTTCCTAGCCGCTGTTGCAGTGGAGGAGACAGTTGGACTAGGACTAGAAGGAATGGAAATGGATGAGTTGGACTTGTCAATCCGGTCACATATACTATTAGCGGTCATGCAGGCTGCTGTGAAAGACAGGCAGGAGAGGGAATGTTTCCTAGTGGAGCTGGAGAGGCGGATAGTGCAGAAGGGGATAATTGACGAGGAGAGGGTAGGGAGGTGGACCAAGGAGGCCTTAGGGATTATGGAGCCGTATGTACGCATATGGCAGGGCGTTTGGCCTGGTGGGGGAGATGCTGCGGCAGATCTTGGTGGAGAATGCGCAGCACTTTGCACGCTGGAGGGTGTCACCTCTTTCGAAGCAGTTCGCTTTTGAGCTGGGGCCGAGGGAGTAAGGGATTCAGACTACTATTGATACCAATCTTTACAGCCTATACTAGGTTTTCTAAGGCCCTAGTCACTAGGTCTAGGTTAGGTCTATGTTTTAAGCTTTCGACCTAGACCTAGACTAGATTGGGTTCTGGGTCGAGACCTTCGACCCAAAATAGGTTATGCGGTAGACTACTCCTATCGACCAATTAATGCTTTTATATTTTTACTCTTACTATCGCACCCTTAGTAACTACAATAAAAGGGCCTCACAAATTAATAGCTAATGCATATCTGGGTAAAAGTAACGAAAACGCTACCCCGCTGGGGAGCGGGCTTTCAGGCTTATCTAGAGTAGATATTAGTATGTGGCTAAGTTGATTTCAAAGGCAGTGTTTTTAACTATGGCGATACTATAGTGAATGGCACTTACATTGAAAATGACTGCTAAAAAGGCCTTTCCTAAAAGGAATCAGTATCTTACTTAACAAACCCTAATATCGCCAAATCTATAGAGCAATTCCAAATGCGGTCCTGTGATGATGGCTCATTGATAGCGATGCAGCCCAAATCAAGAAGTAAGAGTAGGGAGATATATTGGATTTCGATAGCTATTGTAATTCCCGTGGTAATGGTCATCTATTAATTGATTCAAACACTGTAGATCCTATTGCCTATGAGGCCATGCGCTCAACACGGCTCTGCAGTTCCTTGACCATGTCAATCCCAGACTTGGTAGCCTCATCCAGGCTCTCCTCCGGCAATCCAAGCAGCTCATTCTGCGCCTTAGCCGAGAACTCACTCTTATCATCCGGGTAAAACGCCCTGGCGTACAGCATCTTGCTGAAACCAGACATGTTACCAACTTTAACCAGCGCAAGGCCCTCCTCGTATCGCTTCTTGGTGGGCTCGTGGGTAACCGTCCAGTCAGCATCAGTAGTGCCTGTGACGCGCTTAACGCTCTCAAAAATGTCGTTTTGGCTGACCACAAAGCTCTTGAGGTACACGCCCTTGTTCAGGTACCCAGATACAGTAAGACTCTTGTCGCTCTCGTCCTCGGGAAGCTCCTTGAGGCTCAGAACTGTGGCCACGGCACGTCCAACCTGCGACAAGGTGGACGTTGAGTTCTTGGTGTTGCCATCGTCATAGAGTGTCACGGAACGCTTATCAAAGTCGAACCCAAAGCGCGCTTCACCGCCCGCCAGGCTGTAATCGTACCAGAACCCGCAGCACACGGAGATCCACTGCATGCCGAGCCTCTCAATCTCGTCCCTGTTGGCCTTTCCCACGGGTCCTAGAATTGTGTCCTGCCCAAGTTTGATGTTCTCAATGTCGCCGGCGTAACTGTTGGGCATGACGTAGGGAACACCAGCCTTGGCGGCTGCCTGGACGAGCTTGCTGTGGGTGTCTCGGGGCGCGGTGGGGGCCATAGTGATGATCAGAATTTGCTGGTCCTTGAGGGCGGCGATAATGGTTGCCTCGTCGTTATAGTCAACTGGGGCAACGATCACGCCCTCGGCGAGTTTGTTGCTGCTGTCTTTGCGGGAGAGGGCCGTGACTGTGTGTTTTCCGGTTTTGAGGAGGGCAGCGACGATGTGTGATCCAATGGTGCCTCCGGCCTAAGGGCTTTTATTAGTATTTTTGTGCATATGGTGTTATTGAGTAGTTTACTTACACCAACAATGGCGATTCTTTCAATGGCATTTTTGAAGCCGGCGGGCTGATCTTTGGCGTACTTGGTCATTTTGGCTATTTTTGAACGAGATGTCAAACCCGATTATTGGGGTGTATGGTCGAGCGTAATGGTCGAGATTTTGTAGCTGTTTAGGCAGGTGTGGGCTGATGTGCGTCTGGCTTGTGAGTGTTTGGCTAATCCTCCCAGCAGAGAATGCCCGTCCATTTATACATTTCAGACTCAGTCTTGATTTCGTTCTATTTCGATAATCAGGTTCGGAAGTTTCGGACAATTGTTCTCCATCTCGTATATCCGAGTCAGTCTGGCCAGACCTTCAGAGTTGATTCGCCCGGAGATAATGGCATTTGGGGGCCACGGAGCAATGCGATGGAGTTCAACAACGCAACATGTGCGTCGCCGTCGTTGCCGCCGCAGCCGCAGCTGCAGCCGTTATTCGCTGGTTCGGGGCCGCTTCAGAATGGCCGCCGCAACTACATTGACCAGTACCACAAAATGGACCGACACATTTGTATGATAATAAGCGGGATATCCCCGATGTTACGGAGATAAGGCACGGTCGAGGTTAATAATAAATTATGAGTGCAGTGCTGTACAATAACAGCAACACTAACACCACCAGGGTGGCTAGTTCCGCAATAGCCGTAGCAGCCGCACCGCACCAAGCCGCTCAAAGACAATGACAGTGAGTATTCAAATACGGACTAACAGAGCTCCGAGCCGATTCCGAGGTGATGAAAATCAAATTCCCCATAGGGAGCACATATTTACATATACTTCATTGCATCTCGCGGGGCTGACACATGGGTATAATGCACATTTTCGACAACGCCATTATCATACTGGCTGATCGAGGCCTCCTACTGATTGGGCTAACTTGTCACTTACAGCACACTCTACTTTGATCAACTACAATAATTATATTTGTAAGAAAAGGATGACATGTCGCTTGGCGAGACGCTACATGCCCATGATCGTCTAGCACCAGGCAAGCACCCTTCAAAGCCTCAGACGAGGACCATCACAACAGCGTCCACAACTAGACCCACGACAACAACGTCTAAGGTCACCAGCTCGAACCCTTCTAATCCCACGTTGGACGCTCCCAGTGCCGGATTCGCTGTCTAAAGCCGCCTAGGCCGCCCCCACGACATGGTCTTAAGTCTATTCGGTGCCGCCGCCCATGGCGACTTCTTTGCCAGCGCCGTTGTCGCCCTGCTCTCCTAGATGGCATGGTGCTTCGTCTGCCTTCTGCTGGCACTCTAAGTCGTCGTTTTAATTCCCGATACCCCGCTTTTGAGCAATCTAGAGCATGAGAGATCTTCAGACCCGTCACTGGCGTAGCCGCCCTGGTCCTCTTCAACTTTGTAAACCAAGGTCCCGTTTACGCCTGGCTGACACTCATCGTGATTGTTGGCGTCTTCATCTCTGTCATCGTCGGAAAGACGGTGCTCCACTCTTTGATCTCCTTAGGCGTCCTGAGGATCTCCATGAGTGTTTTCCTCACAGGAGGCACCATCTTTATAACAAAGCCCATCTACCAGATCTACTGGGCGCAGATCGTTGTGGGCATCGTCGTCCCCCATCCTCCATTGGGTTATGGACATGTCCTTCCCCCACCGCCACCAGCCCCTCGCCGGGCCACTGGTCAACACCTTTGTCAACGATTCCATCTACCTCGGGCTCAAGCTCACCAGAACAGTGGATCCGCGGGTCAATGACGGAGGAAAGGGTGCTGTATAAGGTAACCGGGGCGGCTTCTACATGGTTGTCAGTCTCTCCAGCTTGGGCATAGTTGTGGCTTTGATCTTCTGCTTTGTGGAGCGTCATCAGTCCATGGCGTCTGATAAAGCGGCATAAGAAACGAGCCAAATACAAAAGAAGCATGTTTAGATGTTAGCTATGGCCAGTTTACATAAATACAATGCTGAGATTCATTAGACCATTTCAGAATGCCAGACCATGTTTTGATGAGTTGCATGTTGAATCGCCACTGAGTGGAGTCAACCAATGTTCAACGACTCCTGTGCCACTACAACTGGATGCCAGGGCCGATCATCGATAGATATGGCTCAGTGAGGAACAGGTCCCAGTCCTCCGCCCAGCCCATGTCTGGCACAGCCTTATTGGCGTCGGATTCCGGCTGCGCCTGGAAGGATTGATAACTCGCCTCGACAGCCTCTAGCTGGGCGAGTTCCTTTCGCTTCTTTGCCATATTGAGGCTGAGTAGATGTCGCGCCATCGACAATGCCTTACGCGTCAGTCCTGTGTCGGCAGCGTGCACCAGATTCTCCAAACATTTGAAGGCAGCAGCGATGTGGACCGAGGCGGCCGGCGTGTCGATGGCCAACAGGATGCAGGCATACTGGAAGACGCTGCCTATGACGTTCCAGAACAGATGACCCTGGTTAGCTAGCTGCTGCGCCGCCTCCACCGCGGCGTTGCCGCTATCAATGACTAGTTGAATGATCTCGTCCGATATGCCCATCTTGAGCTGGTAAATGCGTCGATAGAAGCAAAACGCGAGATCCGCCTTAGTCACCGTCAGGAACGGATGGGTGAATTGGAGCTTATCCAATGCCCTGAGGCGCTCAAATAGCTCCTCCCTCGGAGTTGGAGGCTGGGGTTCGAGGTGGAACGGGGAGTTAGGTGCCGGGATGATCTGCGCTATTTGCACGAACTGGTCGGCAACAGAACCTACTGTCGGAATGATAGCCTGGCAAGTCACGGCGCCAAATCGTACAGACGAACGATCGAACTCATAGGACAGCATGTTATGCCCGGCCCAAGAGATCCAGAAAATTCGCCTCAGCCGGTCTGCATCATGTCCAACAACAGCGGCACCGGCGACGGACGCCATCTTCTTTATGTTCTCTTCTTCGTGCAGCCCGACCGCTTCGCAGAGGTGCATCACAGTGCACGACGCGACCCAGGCAGTATTAGGGCGGGTCGTGGCCCGCAAGTAAAGCACTCGCAAGCCCCCCGCGATGATGTGATCGATGCCCAGCAAGCGCATGGAGGCCGGGTCATCGAGAATGGCTTTGGCGTACTGCACTAGGTCAGACTCTCGCGGGTGTCTGTTGGGTGATAGGAATGACCCGAGAGCAGCGACGCCAGCGGCCACAGCGCCAAAGGCGACCGCGGTGCTGCCGAGGCCATGGTAATAATCCCGACATCGCTGGGCGTAGATTCTCGGGTCCATATAGTCACCGATAGGCGCCAATACTGAAAAGTACACACCCGAGAAGAAGCCGAGGTCGTCCTCCGAGATGAGCTTCCCCAGCAAGCCATGAGTGTTGGAGGCCTCCTCGGGGCGGATACCGAAGTTATAGGCAAACGAGTGCATCTCGGGAGGGCCGTCAGAGCCGAGAGCCACGCCTAGGATATGTGGGAATGCCATGGCCGCCGATGCCCCGGCATATCTAGACTTCTGCTCGTCGAAGATGCCGGCGGCCGTGGGGGTAGCCGCGGACGAGGCGGCTATGCCGGTCGGACTCTTCGACGATGAGCCGTCGGCTCCGCGTGGCCCTCCCGCTACATATGGTCGGTTGTCCGGACTCCGCGATGTGGCGGCAGCCCGGCTCCCCTTACTACTTCCGCCGTCGACGCTGACGCGCTCGGCTTGGGCCGGCGGAGCGTGTATGCCGCCACCCGCAATGCCAGTGGTGTCGTCGTCGGCATACCTGCAGTTGTATTCGTAGGTGGTGCACGTGCCACAGGGATACTCGGCGTCGCATTTCCTCTTGCGCTGGTGGCAAGGAATGCATGCCTTCCTCGCACGCTTACGCTTTGCGACTGTCGTCGACATGACTTCCCAAAGTGAGCTCCAGAGAGCTTTAAAGGGCTGTAAAGCCTATGATGAGACGGACGGGACTAGATTAATCGGCTCCCCTGGGCTTGGGCTTGAAGGGTTCATAATTTGGTTTAGGATCTTTGAGTGATAGGTTAGACTGTGTGTTCACAAAGATTCAGTAGTCGTGCCAAGCCCAGCCGCTAACTAGCGCGAATTAGTCCAGGAATATACGACCGAAGTAACTAATTATAATTCTCACCTTTTAAAGACACCTAAGTTGGCATTAATTGGCGACTGTGCTAAACCTGATTCGAGAATAGTTCGCCTCTTATTTCGAGCATTTGAAATACCTTTTTGCGACTGAGGTTTGCTTTCCTGACCTTCAGCATGCACCTCGACGTGCGGAGTCCTCTCTGATTATGGGCCCCGTAATATATATTTAACATTCCTCCATGCCCTCCGTAAGCCTCTCAATGGAAGCCACCGTCAACTTCTAAGTGCCTCTCTCTGCGAAGCGCCTCACCAGCCTTATCATTGTCACTAGCGCCTATCTCGACGACACGCTAAGTGGCCCCCACGATCACTTATCAACGGTGTCACCGCAGTGCTAACGTTATCAAATGCTCTTAACAAACGTGACTCTCTCTATTCGACAGTCACATCGCTGCATAGAGCTTTCACTGCTCGTTAAGTGCTATCATCCCACGATATCTCTCTTTTGACTTACGCCTTCGTTAGTGCCTCTATTCATTGACGCACCTCACCTTTCCCCGTATTTTACGCCGCAACCCGCTTTACATGCGGCTGAATGTTTTCTATTTTTAACCAGCTTGGCGGACGAAGCTCTTACACCTCGTCCTAGCCCTTACCGGCGAATGTAACTTCACATCGAGATCAACCGCTTAAGCCACACGTGGGTTAGTTAGTAGTTGGGTGTGTGACCACCAGCGCATCCTCCTTTGCTGTATATTTTTGCTTTTTGTCTGTATTTAATTGATTTGCTCAACTAGATAGGTTGAAGGGAGATAGCAGGGAGGTGTGAGGTATTGTTTGGTGGAGGTACACATACATCCCTTTGACTATCTCTGATCAGGACAGTTTCCCAAACTCCCCACGCGTGTCCCGCACAACGTGGAAACCTGCGACCCCGTCGTTCGCCAGTTGCGCCACAAGCCCATACTCCCAGTCAAGATACCCTTGCATATCCTTGCGAGCGTTGCTTGTCCCTTCATATGGCCTTTTATACACGTCGATTGGCTGCGACAGCCACCGCGATTCCGCCTCTAGGGGATGACCGGCGGCTACCCAAGCATTTGTCCCTCCTGTCAAATACAGAACTTCTCGCGAGACTGACTTGCGTGCGTCGTCAATGTTAATTGCAGCAACGTCACCATCGGGTGAGGCCAGCACGATAGGCCCGTCCCCATCAATAGCTTTCAAATCTCGGGCAAGTTCCGGTCCGGAAGCAAACCATGCGCCCGGAATGTGACCTTTACGATAGGATGGACTGCGGGCGAGATCGACCACGGTTGCTCCTGCGAGGGTTCGAAGGTCATTGATTGTGATAGAGCCATCCTTTGAAGGAAGCCATGAAGGGACTTTAGGCAACTGAAGCCCATCGGGTACTTGAGATTGCTCTTCAAAAACGTAGACCTCCCATCCGAGCTGTAAGAGCCAGCTGGCTGTCATGCGCGCCCGCACACCATCCGTGTCGTATAGAACAATGCGGGCTCCTCGAACACCGACCCATTCGTCGGTGGCTTGTACCAATTGACCACCGGGGGCATTGGAGAATCCGGCTGGGTGTCCAAGGGCGTACTGCTCCGGGTCTCTTACATCTAATAGGTAGAGAGTTCGATCTTCCAACTCTGCGGTAAATCGAGCGAGCTGATCACCATCAATAGAAGAGACGCCGACGTGCTTCGCCCACGATTCAGCGTATTGCCGTGCCTTTTGCGATGCTTCGACGGAAGGACTTGGCACCCGTTCCGTCTTTTTGGTATCCAGTTCCAAACCCTCCAATGTCCATCCGATGGTTCCATTTCGCAGCGCGACCACTTTGTTCGGTATTCCAGAGTTGATCAAAGATTGGGTCCCAACAATACTCCGCGTTCGACCTGCACAGTTGACGATGACTGTGGTTTCCGGAGAGGGTACAGCCTCAAAAAAGCGATACAGAAGTTCTCCCCCTGGACAGCTGCGGCCACGGGGAATACTCATGGTATTATACTCCTCAAAACGTCTCGCATCCAACACAACCACGTCGGCTTCGCTCTCCAGAACATCCTTGACATCCCGTGCGGATAAGGATGGGGTGTGGTTGATGGATTCGACGAGCTCGCCAAAGGCCTTAGATGGAACATTGACATCGCGATATACCTCACCGACGAGGGCATAGCCAGAAAGCCCGTCTTCCAGGATGGCGACATTCTGATACCCCAGGGCTAATATCCGGGCTATAGCCCGATCTGCATACCCTTCGCCATCGTCATAGACAACAATCGGGGCCGACAATCGAGGAACCAATGGAGGCAACTTCTTCTCGATCTCCGAGACTGGCACACTTAGTGCAAATAGAGGATGGGACTCGGAATAGGGACCTTCTTCGCGAACGTCGAGGAGGGCAATTTCATGATGATTTACCCAATGCTGGCGCAACTCGCGTGCGGTTATGAATTTGGCCATTTTGCTGTACAAATCCTTGGATAGAAATTCTCTAAACTTCTGAAATGGAGGAATTAAATGATGGAAATAACTGCGGAGCGATCTTGAACATCTCGGGTGTTTTTTTTTCGGAGGTTTTTAGAGAAACCCGCAACCCACGACAACTCCGAACATTGATATTCAGAAGCGCACGCAATCCTTGGGCTTTGACAATCTTCTACGATTGATTCATTCCATCACAATCCCTGATTTCGAATGATGCGTCAAATCTGTTGCTTAGAAGGCTACTCCTGTACCCCGCTCGAAGCTCGGTTGACGCCATCTCAGCGCAGGATGACCAATCGTGCGATTCCACTTGGTGGACATCAACTCCCGACCTCGGGCCTGTCTTGCTTGTTGGATCAAACTGACACATTCAACATAGTATGAACCCCACTCGACAGCGAAATTCCTGCGAAGCATGCCGTAAGCCGAGCCGTCCTCCAGTCCCCTGAACGTGTAGCTAATGATAAATAGGGGCCCGGAAGCTCAGATGCTCGGGTGAAAAGAGCGGTTGCTCTCGTTGCCGGGGCTTAACATTGACTTGTAAATTCAAAGACAAAGGAGCCCCAGGAAGGCCGAGAAAGCGTGCGCGACAAGAAGAATCAGATCGCGATTTCCCAAACGGAGAGGAGCAAATAGGGTCCTCAAGCTCATCGCATTTCTCACCGGTCGTTTCTCAATCGCCCTTTGGTCCTCATGAAGCCGGCCATATGTTAATGGGAGCCAGTGAATTCGACTCAATACCATACGAGATATCTGCGAACTGCGGATTCGATTCCTCCCACTGGGAGATGCTTGGGAACGGCGATATGTGTTCCTTCCCTGTTGAGTTATTGCAGACATCACGCCAGAACGGATTGCACAACCCCGAGATCCCTCCAATAGGCTTGGAGGCATACGTCTCTCCTATGTCGTTCTCACAGTCTTGTAAATGCGACGAAGAGGTTTCCGATATAGTACGCAGCCTGAGCCGCGCGAATATGTCACACGATATCATCCCGATGCTTCGCACAGGAGTCTCCCTCACAGAGAGACTACTGACCTGTCCTATGTGCTACGACGTGTCCAAACCGCCTCGAGTAACGGTTCAAAATGTCCTGCTCATCGGCCAGCTGATGTTCGAAATAACATCCGGCTACCAGAAGTACCTCCGCTGGCTGAATAAACACTGTACTGAGATCGATATCAGTAATGAAACTAGAACGGTCTACCTTGACTCTGGGCTTGGAATCTCATCAGAACTGAATTTACAAATCAATGGCGAGAAACTACGAGATCTAGTCGTGCATGGCCTTCAGACAGATACTGAACGGCTTTTGATGTTGGGGAAACAGTTTGCGCAACGGCAACGAAATCGCCATATGGTCGGCCACGAAGCTTGTCCCAATTCCGAAGGTCTTTGTCGGAGAAAGGAGGATGCTACTGATCATGATCCGCTCGATCTCTGTCCGCATGATCCAGTAGCGCGGAAGTTGGTGCCTTGTTTCCGTATCGTTGATGAAGTTCGCGGAATGATCAAGCAAGTTGCAGATGCCGCTGTGTGATACCCGTGTTTATAACTCATTCTTTTAAGCGTGTTCCAGAAGACTGTAAAGGGCCGACATGTTACATTTGGCGTTTGTTTTGGTGGGCGCGAGCTATCTTTTATTTCTTTCTACGTATCTTAAGCGAGAACCCAACAAAACAATATTAATTTAATCAAATGTTCATCTAACTCTTATTACACGTCGACTCCACACTGTGGCACCCATTCACTTTGGGCTTTCCACAAGACAAAGGCAATTTCCCAAGCCGGCAAAAGCATGAAGATGTGATCTCAACATCTGCCTCCACAAGAGCAAGGGAAAGTTGTTTGTTGATAATATTTGCCTCCGCATGGCGACCCAAAAGTTCAAGGCACTCGTGATAGCCATGCAAAGCCCAGACGTTATTCGGATGTTGGTGGGCACGTTTCGGTGTCGGAGAGAGCCCCAAATCTTCAGCATAAGCCTGTGCAGCCTGCTCAACTCTGCCCTGTTCCAATGAGAGGGCTGCATATGGATGCCGGGCTGGAAGCATCCACCCCCATGGCTCTGCGAAAGGCAGCTCGTCTTCCAGAGTAATTGCTTCCCGTAAACTGCGGAATGCTTCGTCATACTGGCCTCTTCTATACTCAATTTCGCCATCTAGCATAGCAGATGCGACTTTGAGAATGTCGGTGATTTTATTAGGGAAGTCGAGGCGTGTGGGAGGGACAAGCTTAGAAGCCGCTTTGAACAATTCTCGCTCTTTGTCGGCTTCTTCAAGCTGAGACGTGGCCGCATGCGCGATGGCCTTTCCATAGTGCCTCATAACATTCGTCACACAATATAGGTCCTTGTCTTCGAGCGGTTCGAGCTTCTTGAGTTCCTCCCACATCCCAAAGCGAATGTACACATGCACTCTGACAGCCTTGAAAAATTCCATCCAGTTTGCCAGTGCAGGCGTTTCGACCCGAAGAATTTCTTCGGTGATAGTGGCCTCCATTCGATCTGTCGCTGACAATGCCGCCTTAGATTTTCCACCAAGCATCGCAGCGTAGATGAGAGAGTGATAGTCGTGTAGGCGATAGTAGCTGTAAAATGTCAAACCACCATTTTTTTCAAAGTATCTGTCATCTGCGAGGGTCGCTTTCAGATTGTATTCCACGGCGCGACGATAATCGCCCACGAGCACATCGATATGAGCAGGCATGTGGAAGGTGTGGCCTGTATCGGGAAATATCTCACGGATCATCTCTGCTGCCGGCAGAGCTGCCTCGGGAGTCGCCGACATTTCCATCAGGTGGATATACATGTGCGCGGGACCTGGATGCAGTTCGACTTTTGGCATCTTCAGGGCCCGATCAAGCAGATCTTTCACTTCGAACACCGGGGAAGATGCTATCGGCAGCCCCGTAGAGGCGTCGTATAACTTTCGCGGAGCACAATTCATCAATGCGTCGGCGAAAAGTGTGATAATGTCAAAGTCTTCGTGACCAAAGCTTATATACACCTCTCTCATAGCATCGGCGTACGCTCGGCTACATCCGGCAAGATCCCTACTTGGATCATCGTTGGGGTAACGTTGTGCAAGAGCCTTGATGAGCGCTTGCTCCCAATCTAATGCATTGTTTGCACGCCTGAGTGCTTCTTGGGAAAATATATAACACTGCTTGATCGCATTGAGCCGATCTCTTTGGTCAAACAGCGCCCATGTTTTGTTGTAATTGGAGCCTGAGCAGAAAGATATTCCCCAATAGGCCATGGCGCAGTTCTCATCGTGCGCAATTGCCTGTCTGTAGCAGGTGATTGCCTCATCATGATTAAAGCAATATGTCCAGACAAGCGCCCTGTCGAACCATATCTGGGCTTCCTGGGAATTGGTGCTGACTTTGCGACTCAAGGTTCCCAAATCGAAGTAGGGGTCGCTGGAAGCTCTTGCGAGTGGTTGGGCGTCAGATGAGTCCATTGTGCAAGCTAGATGAGCCGAGGAACAATCGTACTGTATCACAAACCGTTCTGCGAATAGGAGATAATCTTGAATCTAAAATAGCACATGAAGAAGTTCCCACAAAATGTGAGGGGTATGTATGGTGTCGGAGGGTTTTGATTAGCGGCGGTTAGATCGCGCGATTTTGATTCGACTCTCGGACCTTTTTTTTCGAAGCGCATGGTGCGGAGCAATTGAACCCTGGGGTAAGTAACATCGTTTTTATACATTGTCTCATATAGTCTCATTTTTCTATGAAGAACTTTGAGTTATGGATTTTATTCAATGTGGTTTTGTTATGAATTGTGTGGATTTGGGCTTTGGTCTATGATCTAGAACTTGTATAACTACTCCTTTCAGCTCCGCAATTTATTTAGGCTTCTCAATAGCATCCCCCTCTAACGATTCTTCAAGTCATTGTCCACAACGTCCTCCAAAATTGTCTCCCCCCTTTTTTCCGCCGCAATTTTAGCTAGCTTCAACCGCCTTGTGTCACGCTCTGTGTCCTGAGTTACCCACCACGTTATCACCGTCAAGATCGCGCAAGCACCCACAAGACCCATGGCAACGGAGAAGGGTACTTTATAGTCTGGTGCGTACTTGCTTTGGAACAGCTGCGGGCCAATGGCACCACCAATCTGACCGTAGCTGTTGACGAATCCGATAGAGAAGGCAGATCCAGTAGCCCGGGAGGTTGTTTGTACACGCCACGGCCTATCATCACATTATGAGCTATACATGAACATTTTGATCGGGTGAAGATATAGAAAACTTACCACATGACAGGATACCATCCTGCAGTCAAGGCATTTCCGATCAGCGTCACTGCGTATATCGCACCATTACTTGGATGGGCAACAAAAACGCCGTAACAGACTAGAATGATGAGAAGGAAGGTAAGTGGGTACAATGGCCGGGGAATCCGGCTACGATCTGCTGTAACTCCTGTAATCGCGATGAACAGGAGACCGCAGACTGTGATAGGGATATTGAGGAGTTGGGCTTCAGCAATGGTCCTGAAAGACCGTTAACAATGCACTTTTATTTCCAACTGGACGGGGAAAAGTATCCAACTTACGTGAAGCCGAGGTTGGCTATGACTGTTGATTGATAGAACCCGACGCCGTTGGTTCCAACAGTAAAGGTAGCCCAAATGGCCGTAAACAGCCACAGTCTCCGATCTTTCAGTGACTCGATAACCTCACGTAGCTGAAAGTGTTGCTCGCTTGCACGAGGAGCATTAGATGGTAGTCGGGCCTGAATAAACTTCTTCTCCCTTTCAGTCAACCATTTGGCTGTCTCGGGAACTATACCGCATTTTCTCATATTAGCCACTGGTGTTGCGGGAGCACCAAAGGACACTTACAGTCTGGGAGCAGCAACCAAATCACAACTGAGAAAAGAACGGTCGCAATTCCTTCTGTGAGGAACAACCTGGAATAATCTTAGCAGGTATTTGAGAAGAGGAGTGGATACAAGTTTCGCTTACCATTGCCATCCGGAAAGCCCCGCTGCCCCGGATACAGTGTCAAACCCATAGGCAAGAAGACCACCGAAAATACCAGATAGATTTCCGCAAATATCTTTATATTGTGCGTAAGTAAAGTTCCATGCAGCGCGGGATTATGTTTGAGCAGATCGTGGGCATCTTACAAAAGTAGAGTAGTCGCAAGGACATCTCGTCCGGGCGATACCAGTAAGTCATCTGGAGAATGACACCAGGAAACTGTCCAGCCTCGGCCTATTGCAGTGTTAGTACATTTTATTCTGAAATCATAAAGTATAGGGCGGTAACTTACTACACCCAGCAAGAACCGTGTCGTATATAAACCGCCCTTATTCTTCACGGCAGCATTGCACATGAGAGTGATACCCCAGGTGAGCATAATTCTTGACTGCCACTTTGAGGGAGAAAACCTCTTGAGGAGTAAATTCGAGGGTGCTTCTAACACAATGTATGGGATCTGGCACGTTCATTATTAGCAACACGCGGCGGTTCCTAGATCAGGATGTAGTCAAAATCTTACATAGTAAACCACATTCACAAGATTGTACTCGTTAGATGTAATTCCGAGCTGTGTCATGATGTTCTGGTCCGTTCCCTTGTTCATGATTCGAGCATTGGATGCCTGCGAGGCTGTAAGTTATCTTGTAGCACAATGTTATCCATGACGGGAATGGCTGTTCACGCACATTGTTGCTGTCCAGATTCTTGAACATGAAGATGAGTGAACAAAGTGTCATTAACCGCCAGTCAATCTTGCGCAGTAGCTTTTTTTCTTCTTCTGCCGTGAGTAGTGTCCTACCACTCATAAGCTCTGGATCGTAGCCATCAATGCTTTCCTGGCTTGATGAGGCTTCCGCAACAGCTTCACCACGTCGGACAAAATGAAGCTCATGATCGGCGTTGCTGTCACTGGTAGAAGTAATATCCGTGGCTGTGGTTCTACCCAAGTCTTTGGATGCGTGTTCTTCGTCTGCCATTGTCACCATGTTGCTTTCGACAGTAAAATGTTCAAAGATCACTGCTGAAAGTACGGTGAAACGCGAGCAGGCATTTCTTGATATCAATGTCTTTATCAGTTCGGAAACCCTCCGAAAAACATTATAGAAGCTTAGACCAAGCTCCAAACCTAGCACAACAAAGATTGTATCATAGTTCACAAGTCTTGCAAATGCTACGGCCTAGGCCATACTACTGTCGAGTCTGTAGATACAGCATGCACTCAATGGGGTTTTCAATCTAGAGACGTTCTATTCTAATATTTCGGGAATAATCTATTATGTCTGTTCAATAATTCTATCGTAGCGAGAATTTAGTAAAGTTATGTGGTTAACCGGTTCTAATTGAGCACATCACCTGTGGAAATCGTTATTTCAGACATTTTCTAGTCTTTCATAATTCAGTAGAATAACCTGGGGGGAATGGTGCATTCGTGATTTAGTCCCCACAGTATCTGATCACGCAAACGGAGGATATCATGATGAGATCTGAGATCCCCATTGTGGCGCAAAGTGGAGATCCACATGCACTTGCACTAGTAATTTCACCTTTCATATCAATCTTGCGGGTGAATGGGATAGAGCTCGAAATTGCCCGATTGGAATGGATTCAACAACAAAGTCAAAGGTTAGTCCCGAGTCTGCCGTGACGCCAAGGATATCGAGATCTTGATAAACCTCCCCATTTCTCTGATATAGTGCAATTCGATGCACGTTGTTGTCTCCACAATAAAACCGTTTGCTCCAACCTACTGTGATAATATTTATCTTGCATATTCTGTCCCGAACTATTGCATGAACCATGGCAACTTTAGCTCAACCTCTAACCCCAGTTCCTACGGGATCTGATATCCCGAGCTACAGTCAAGTCCCGGAAACTTCATTTGATCGTACGTTTTTCTCGTCCTCCACTCATGCTCCATTGTAGAGTCATGTATTCTAGTGAGTTCTATACTTGAGACACCATAGCTAATGTGTGATTGGCATATAGTGGACTGGGCAGACCTCGCCACCTTGGATCTGTCTCTGTTTGACCAGCCTGGCGGTAAAGAGCAGTTAGCCAAGCAGCTTTTCGAGGCTATCCATAATATAGGTCAGTATCATATGGTTCAGGTTCGCTACTCTCCACGCTTGTAATACTTATCGAGCGTTAGGCTTCTTTTATATTACCAACTTCGGTCTCTCGCAGGAAGATGTTGATCGACAATTCTCGATTGGCAGGGAGATTTTCAAGCTCCCAATAGAGGAGAAACTCAAGTTTCGTGCGGAGCTTGAGAAAGGTGGCTACAATGGCTATAAGCCAAAGGGTCTTCGAGTAAGTTGAAAATCGAGAACATCAGATGAAAAACAACAACCGCTGATATATTAACTTAGGAAATCAGCCCGGGCGTTTTTGATAACACCGAAATCTATAACATCCCCAAATTTATCCCAGCCCTCGAGCTTCCTCAACCGGAAATTGTGAATCACAATCGTCCTATCATCGAGGGCTTCGCGCGCCATATCCATGACCAAATTGCGAGCAAACTTCTTACCCTCTTCGCAATTATCCTCGAGCTACCAGAGGACTATTTCCTAAAGGTGCATCGCTATGACGAGAAGAGCGACTGCCACCTACGGTACATGAAGTACCACCATCGTTCAGACGAAGAAAACGAGAAGAATGCCGGGGTTTGGGTCAAGGGGCATACCGACTTTGGCAGCTTGACCTTGCTGTTCCGCCAACCCGTTGCCGCGCTGCAGGTTCGCACCCCGGAGGGCGAGTGGAAGTGGGTCAAGCCGTATCCCGAGAGCATCACGGTAAACCTTGCCGATTCGCTCCATTTCCTCACCAACGGGTTCCTCAAGAGCAGCATACACCGTGTCGTTGCGCCACCGCCAGATCAGAAAGACCTAGACCGTCTAGGTGTCTTATACTTTGTTCGACCGGAAGATGACCTCGAGCTTCGGCCGGTTGTGAGTGAAGTGCTTCAACGTCTAGGTTATGATAAGATAACTGATAATAGTGCGGTTGGTATCACTGCTGGTGAGTGGGTGAAGGCGAGAGTCGCCACGGGAGTTAACAAAGGTGTGACTCGGAGTGAAGTCGAAGATCAGCCTATTATCGGGGGTGTGGTGGCCAAATACTATGATTAGAGCAGATATTAGCATGTCTGTTACCCAAGTGATATCTTGTATGTTTTTGTTTTACAGTTGTGTTGATGGGTCGTGACTTCCCTGACAGTGTCATCTTGTTGAGGAGCGGCCTAAACCCTTGCGTCAATGTACTTGGTTCTCTCCAACCTTCTCAACTCAGCCAAAATTGCTTCCAAACTCCAGGAAAATCCTAAATCCATTTCATAAATAGCCACTTTTATCCTCTCGTGCTTCTAGTGAGTGCGACGATCAATTTAGGACTTTTGAGTACCAACTTGAGCGAACTTAGTTGATTCGGCATCCAAGATGATTAAAGAGTTTAGCTGTATGAGCGACCATTGGAAGTCAACAGTATAATATATGTCAGGTGGTGCTTATTACATCCGCACCAAGTCACCACCCCACATGTACTGGTTTCTTCAAGATCAAGACGACGGGATAATCACTTTGGATCCCAGAAAAGCAATCAAGTTTCAAACCAACTGAGTTGACTTCGGAAATGCTTTGCCTGCACTACCAAATAATCGTCGAATCCTTGAAAGAAAGGATGACATCGCACTGGTTGCACTGAGCTCACATGGAGGCCACACCATCGGTGTCTGGAATCATCATGTGTCGAGTACTATAACTTCCTTCCAATTCACTTTCGGTAGCTTTTACAATGGAAACTTTGGGGTTGATTGGAGTTTTAAGTCCAGTGCTAAGTCCAGCTATGGCCGCAATCCATATCTGGTGTACCAAGTCCAGTATGCCGGTGAATAATGGGAGCTTGTGAACTAGGGAACAACCCGAACGCATAGCTATCATTCAAGGCCTTAGATTTAACATGTTTGGGTTCTGGGAATATAGTGAATTACGACAGAGATCACTATACCCGATTGTCTATGTGTTATGTTCTTAAATTAAATTCAGAGGCTTGTAGCAATTCACATTCATTGATATCACTGGCTTGGATAGTTTCGTACGCAATGCCGTAGGGCAAGATCGGAATGGACAACACCATGACGGTGGATAATAACAACAGCTTCCAAGATCTGCTGGTACCATTTATATCGAAGTTTCGGGGTGATCGAGTTTTCCTGTCAATATTTCACAAGGTCACCATGTGGATAGTACTTAATGTCGATATGGATATGCCCCTTGATAGCCATTCAGCAATCCGCGCATGAGTTCCGAGAATTCCAAAGTTGAACCCCCATTTAGGGGTTTTTAAATTACCCTATGTTTGGATCCCGTTTCAAGCCTTTTTGTTAGCGTAATATTTTAGTATTTTAATTAATTTAGAGCTAACAATTAGTTCAATTTATATATCACGTTTCAAAACGCGAGAAAACGCGTTATTTAGATAATTTATAAATTACAAACGTTCACTTGGAAAGTATTAGTACTCCTGTACAAACCCAAGATATATATATCATCAAAACATTGAGTTTAACGGTATCTCAACTTCTACCGGTTATATTTTGTTCAAAATTGGAATTTATACGTATAAAGCTATTAATATTGTAAATTACAAAAATTTAAACTCTATATAATAAGTAGAAGGTGACTATAGCGATTATAAGATACTAGGTAAACCCTTAATGGGCTATAATAGGGGCCTTATAGGCCCCTACGAATGAACTGTGGGTTAGGTTGGGCTTTGGGCCCCGTGTTCGGGCCCATTTATGGGCTTTGCGGAGCGCTAGTGATAGGTTCATTTTGGTGTCATCGAAGAAAGCGCAATGAATAAGTGCTGAAGGTGCCGGAGAACGAGGCTCAACATGTTTCAGGCGAAGTGCGAAATCGATTATCATACAGACCACTGAGATCAATCCAGTGCGCTTTGCATGTGAAGAGGGGGAGATACTTTGTCGAAACGAGGGGTTGGAGAGAAAGACACAAAAAGAGCAGCCTGGGCGCTGCAGTAGAAAGCAAGCTACACTACTGCATAGCCATCACTATCCATCCATATCTAAACACATGGCATGCTTGTCATCTATATGGGTGGACTCAACCTTGGAAAGTTATGATTATAATGAGACTTTGAGAGAAATTTAAATATTAATGCTATTCGTAACAATGATCTCTTTTTCCTAGCTTAGGCTCATAGTCATAGGTCATGGTTCTCAAAATTCCAGACATGCCCAATCCTCACCTTACTGCTGGTACGTAGGGTAATTATAAATTAAGAAACAAAACAACCGCTAAGTTCGATACATCATGAATCAAGAACAAGTGAGGTCTTCCCAGTCCGTTAAACTCTAGGAAGAGTCACACGCAACGCCCGAGGGGATAAGCTTGTCGCATCCCCATCATGATCCAGTGCGAACTCAAACTCTGGGAGACCCACGTTTCCATACACCATGGAACCGAGTAATATCCACGAAAGACAAGATCCGACAAGGGGCCCGGCTTCTTCCGAGACATCAAGACTATAGATAACAGCCAAGAAGGAGATCCTCCCTGGGGTTTCAAGACCGCTGGGCTGTAGACGAATGCTTATCTTAGAGCGATCTGTCACTCCTTGCAACCCCATCAAACTTTTGATCATGTCGACCGAGTCGCTGGTCCATTCTGAGACTACCAAGCCAGCCCCATCATCGGCCGTGATGGTGATTGAGAAATTGGAGGAGCCGCTCACCAAGGCATATGTACCTCCAAAGCGTTCAAGGGCTTGGTTTCTTGCGACTTCATCAAGCGCGGGAAGCATAACATCGGCTACCATCTCCCCGATTGCCGATGTCATCGCGTGGGAGTTATTACCGGCAACTAAAACTGTGAAACCGGCATTGTGATCTGGTGAAAGAGCAATAGAACTGGAGTATAGTCCGATATCCCCGGCCTTGGTATACAGGTCGACCCGACGAGGTGTCAAAAATGAATAAATCTCCCAGGGGGCGCCCACGGAATGTTGCAGGGATGATGTGTGCGCTATCGGCTTCAGCCACCGCCTCGTCACGGCAGGGTCGACAAGAGTACTGGAAAGAACAGCACGGCCGAATGTAGCCATGTCCTTTGCAGAAGAGAAGATGCTTCCAGCGCTAACAATGTGTAAGCGATATATAAATCCAACAGTTCATTGGCACTCACGGAGCTTCATCGCCAAGGTCATAATCAAACCAACTAAGACTCTCATTGTGGGGAATCACCGCCAAGCTGGGGTCTGGGCCTCGAAGGCAGGATCGAGTCAAGTTGAGTGGCTTGATAAGACGATCTATCAATATGTCCTCATAGTCGGCTTTCGCGATTGATTCCAGTACGTAGCCCAGAATTTGATATCCTGAATTCGAGTATATCGGGGTCTGTGAGGTCGGAGTCAAGGGGTCTAATAGCATGTCAGGGTCCTGTCCAGATTCAGCGGAACCACCCTACTCACGCGTTTTTAGAATGCCACGGAAAAATTCTTGAAAACATTCCCGCTGTCAGCTAAACAATTCGAGCGATAATGTAATCACACACAATCGACTTACCTTTCCTGTTGCATGCATGCTCACTCCCACAAGTCAACTTCTCGTTTTTTTGAAGTGAAGGGAAACCCATACTTTGGACAAGGTCTGACTGAAATCCAAAGTCTCCAAATGCATCTATAATACAAGGTCAGTTTCTTTTTCACGTTGCGCAACTGGGCCGTCGAGGTATGGTCATCGTACAATCTCTTGCAAGGCCTGCTTGATGGCTAGCCAGTTCGCCGATTGTCACATCGCTCCATTGCAAATAATTAATTTTATCCTTTCTTTGTGCCGAGCTGTAATTTGTTCGCAGCTCAGGCACGTATTTCGAAACGGGCTCGTGGAAGTACCGCGTTCCTTCAAATGTCATGAGGAGAAACATAGTCCACAGCTTTGATATGCTGCCAATGCGGAATATGGTATCCTCATCTACCTCTTGAACCCCCACAGATCCAACTTTAACTGGATCATCTGTGTGGTAGAAACCGAATGCCAAATCGTCCTCTTCGCTGCTGAAGACCTGCACTGCGAACGATATCGAAGGTAGAGTTCCATTGTCAATGGCTTCATTGAGGTTTGAGGTCAATTCTTGGGCTTTGCTGAGAAAGATAGGATTTTCAGACAGAGCGGTAGGGGCTGGGAATGCCGGTCCCAAGAGAGGACATCCAGTTGATTTGATAGCTTCGGCTGAGAGAGCCAATGCTGATAACGTCCACAGCGCGCGCATTATAAAGAGAAATTAATAAGTTCGCCAATAAATGGTTGTATTGTGCGGATCCAATTATCTCAGGCTGGGAAATACATCCTTATATGGAGGGTCAACCTTAAATTGCTGGTTGAAACATTGTGTATTACTGGCTTCCCATTTGGGGCCTAGGAATGTCTTGGGTTACACTCCAGCAATCGTACCTTAAATTACATATAGTCTGGGATAGTTTGGCGCCGGTGTCAAACTCAATTTAATTAAGGTCATACAGATTGCTCGAATCACATACAGGCAAAGGCGAAAGGACAACCCCAATATCAAAACCATTCCGGGGTAGTTAGTCCGTACGCGCCCCCGACAATAAACAATCCTTGTCATCCTAGTAGCTCTCATAGTCGACCATTGATGTGTACACGATTTTCACCACGCGTTCCGGGTTGTACTTTTGTTTAACCGGGCCTAGTGACAGTGGCATATGATAGTTCTTTCTTTGATTTTGAGGGATCTCATCGAAATATCCTAGAATCCTGAGGGAACTGAATCAAAGAAGCCTAAGTTCTTGCAATGTTATGAAAGGGAGAGGATATGTCGAGGCCAGAGGAATCCATTGTGATATCTGTGAGAGTGAATAATTGGCTTGAGCCCTATGTGAATGTATACATTCCTCATACGTGGCGGCACTTAAGTGACTCCAGCCCATACACAACCCAAATATACATAGTCGTGAGAAGACAAATATTGCAAATATACTAGCTATCGTGCTAAAGGCGGCGAATTCAAAAAACTAAAACTAAAAACAAAAACAAAAACATGGGGCTCAGCCGGGAATCGAACCCGGGACCTCATCTAAATTGGTAATTCGAAACCAGAGATTTCTCCCGAAAGATGAATTATCCCACTAAACCACTGAGCCGCATTGCGGATTAAATTGACACCTCTGTCATCATCACACATTCCCCAGAATCACTAATTTGGACAACCCCAAACAATAAGAACTATGTCCAGATCACCATGAAATGCCAACCTGCATAACCTTGCATATTCCTGGATTCCCAATTTCCATTAGGTCTAAATGTCTTAGAACAGTGCCCCTGACTAACTACATATAGTTGCCCATTGCAGGTTTTCACATGAAGATAAGTAGAATTTTATCAATAAAAGGCTCTCGGTAAAAGATAGTAGCTCAACTGTCCTGTTTAATAATACTGCCAATCCAAGCAAACCCACAGTGTCTAAAGCGAACGCTTGCTCTTCAAAGCTCCGGGGAAGGTATCTTGAAGAGCCTCCCATAGCGGATTCCCTCCCATCTGAAGGTCTTGGAATGCCGGACAAGTGAGGTTGAGCAAAGGCACAGCGAGAATATTGGTAACAAATTCCAACGGCTTAGCCACGGTCGAGTATATCCCAGAAAGCGCGTTGGGGCTGGCAAATTTCAGCACCTCAGTCACGAAGCATAGTAGATTGTTATCCTTCAGCAAGCCAGCCAGGTTCAAAACACCATCTGTCACATCCCCTAGATCAACTCCTGCAAAGCTATCCACTTTACCCATATTCCCTCCAATGCTGTATTCATATCATAATTAGAAACTATTCAATACGGGAAGCCTGGTACTGGCTCTTACCTTCCAAGCTCCGGATATCTCGATATGAAGCCAATGATATCCACATTGAGTGAGATCAGCCCGTAGTCTACAGGAGTCTTGTACCAGTTCTCAGGAATCCTTTCCCATCCCTCACGGTAGGTCAAATTGTGTTCCGGGCCATAAATGCCATAGAAATTGCGAAGGTGGCTTTTAGCTAGGATGGGGTTAGTCAATGTCGCATAATCAGTGGCATTTCACCATATCCGATATCAACTTACTCAGTGTTCCCTCTGGATTCTCAGCGGAGTGATTTCGGAACAGTCGACCTGCAAAAATGTAACCGGCGTTGCGCGAAATGAGCCCAGTCACGGGTCCATAGTAAAAATCCGGGTTTGTATGGATAGTTTGATCCATACGGATCTTTGCGCGTTCGGCCATGAGACTCATATCATAAGTGCCGTCGGAAGACATATTATACCATGTCATGAACTTGTCCATATTCAGTGTCCAGCTGTTGCCCGTAACATAGAGATCGTCACGCGTATTGGAGGAGTCTGCCTCGATGAAGTTGTGCGAGTTAATCAGACCTTGTGGTTCACCTGTTGGTGGTGTTAGTAGTTGACGGGGATTTGCAGGTAAGTAGGGTATCCTAACCGAGGATGCCGCCTAAGTTGTTTAGCAGGCTGTTGACGCCAGTATCAGGACCACCGATAGAAAAGCTGGGATCGAGGGACAGCACATCCCCAGCCCATACAGTGCCCATGATCGCAAGGACGGTGGCCAAATCGACGCCCATGCCATATACTGTGGAATAGAGGTTAGAACATGCTGCCTAGATAGTCCAATGATGCAATTTTACCTTTGTTGATTGCCGCAATCACATTTACGAACTTTCCACGTTTAGCTTAGGAGTCGACGCCAGTCACAAGGGAATACCCTACCGACACCACTCCACTCCGTGGAATATACCCATGGTTTGCGAGTGCATTGAGACCTGGACAGGGACCTCGCTGGTCGCCATTCTCGAAGTCCGGTGGTTGGAATGCATGTTCGTTGGTAACTAGAGTTATTTTGTTACAAATTGTGACAGCGTGAGAAGAGGTTTTTGACGTACTATCGACAGGTGATTTGATCAAACTAAGAAGAAAACGCTTTTCATGTTCCGTCTTCGGTTTGGCTTGATCCTGAGCGTTCGCATATGGGCAACGCTTGTGTATGTCTTGATGTCCTGAGTGGCCATTGTGGCCGTTCATTTGCCCCGGGAAAGCTGATACTAGGTTAATGAGCGATAGTGGCCAGAGCAATAGCCCTGCTGTAAAGATGCGCATGATGAACGAATGTGTTGGTTCTCCACTTGGAATGCCAGTTTCTGATTGAGACCAAAGGAATTATCATGTAACGAGGGACTGAAGAACACTGTTCCAGAAGATTGGAACTATGTCTCCCTTAGATAGCCGGCAGCAATTATGTGCCTAGGTAAATCTCCGAGTGATATGCATGCTGAGAAATGATGACCCCCTGAATGGCCCGTCTTAGCGCCTGAGTCCACCGTAGAGCATATGCCATAACGGCCCAAAGGAGTACATCGTAGAGACCACTGGGCAGCTGTACGGTAGTTTTATGACACAGAATTCATCGTAAATCGTTAATTAACTGCTCCACTTGATGTCGGCAATCAGGTTCAACGCCCCGGCTCTTTCTCTTTTAAGGGATTCTATTGTGCAACATAGTTCGTACACCCCTTTCAGCGCCCCTGCACAACACAATATGCTGTGAATAGTATGGCACAAGCCCCTGATCTCTGCATGGTCATCCGTGCATCTGTGTGGCATGGGTATATTTGTATGTTGATGTTGATCAGACCTGAATTGGGAATGCTCTTCTAGCCGACACGAATCTTGGCGCACGCCTCGCAGTGAAATCAAAACTTAAATCAATGACAGCGCCGATCATCTAAGCTATGGGTCAAACGGTGCGTGTAGATCGTACGGAATAAATATCGAAGCAATCTTTCCCTCAGATAGCGACTCCAGACCCCTTACGGCTAATATTCGGGCCTTCTCCGTGGGGTCTGAGCGGCAATGATAAGAAACGTCTGGCAGGCTACTCTGTTCCTCAACACATTTCTCACCCGCCAATTTAGGCAGGTCGATCCCCACATTTTAGAGTGCCGACTCCACTTTCAGAAATGGGATTTCTTCTAAGAAACGGGGTTTCTTAGGTGGCTACTCCGCACAGAGTAGATATTTACAACATAAGTAGCTAGTAGGCCGTACTACATTGCATTTTGACCCCATGTTTTTGTCACTGGTTACACATAGGAAGCTACATTTTCCGGCATTCTCACCTGATCCCCACTACAAGACCAATACTGGAAAATTATCTGCAAAGAAACGACATCTCAAAAGAGTATGTAAGAATGTATCTAGAGAAACGTTGAAAAGGAGACTCTTAAAAAGACTACCAAAAAAATGCAAGAAGTCCGACTATTTTTGTATCATATAATTGCACGGAGTACGGAGTACTCCGTAAAAACTTCTACATTAACCCTGATTATGCATAGCTAATACTATTTGTAATTCATTAGTAAAACCTACTTTCCAACCTTATATCTCATTTCTATATGTTTATTCTACTCAATTAATCTATTTTTATGCCTAAATATGCGAGATTAAAGTGCCGGAACAGCCATTGTTGTTCCGGATTCTGTCCCGCTTGTGGACCTTCCAGGAGAAAATTAGAGCCAACAAAGAAATGGAACGTAGAAACCCATTCTAGTAGGGGTCGTGGTCTCAAACTCAGAATTTAGATCAACGAATGAACAAGCTCCCTGGTTTGCCGGATGGGTATTTGCGGGCCCTGAAACGTCTAGAGTAAAGCCAAGAACTGGGGAAAGGCTCGTATAGTTGCAGATCCCAATTTTCAAAATCAGCCATCATGTCCACAAGAGACTAAGTTAGTCAAATTCTCGATGGACTCCGAAGGACGCCCAAGATTACTGGTTGTAAAGCTGTATGGAAAGTGCTTATATTGTATACTACTAGTAATTTTTAGGTCATAGACTCCTGAAGCTGTGGATTGCTTCTAGACCAGAATGTGATACTTGGCAGGGAGTTGAAACAGTTCCCGAACTCCTATCAATGGCAGATCTGGTGCCCAAGCACCTGGACAATTAGGCAAATTTCCAGCGAGGACGAACGCGGCACTTAAACTTAGGGTTTTCATACGCTAACAATCCCAACAGGGAGGTAGAGCAAACTCTTATGTCCTAGCCAAATGATCGTCGTGAATCTCATAACTTTAGATTCTCCTGATTTGCTTGATCAAACTCAAGCCAGGCCTTCTCTTTCATCTCTTGATCACGAATGCATCCTACCCTATAAAATTCATAATGCGTTTGTTCGGTACAGCTGCCCTCGTGGCCGCCTTGTTTGCAACGACTGTGATAGCAGGGATGGAAGAGCTGGCGGCTGTTTTACCCTCGTGCGCGGTAGGTAGTACAATCCTTCTGCCCCTATTTAGGTGCGAGCCCATAATACTAACTCTTCGAAGCTGGATTGTATGATGACTTCGGTATCGCAATCATCCTGCAAGACCACCAACCAAACATGTCTATGCAATGATGCACATTACACAGCCGTTCTCCAGAAATGCGTTGTTACTAGTTGTACAATTCGAGAATCTCTAAGTGAGTCAATGGCTTCATCTTTTATCCCCACTGGTCATCACTGCTAACATACATACACAAGCTACAAAAAATGTCACAACATCAGCGTGCGGGGCCCCTATCCGGGATCGCACAAAGATTGTTTCTTATGCAGGGGTTGTAGGCGGTATTATAGCCCTTCTCGCTTTTGTTCTCCGGATGCTGGCTCGATTGAGTTGCTGTGGTGGCATGTTCGGCGTGGATGATTGGACAATGGTATTGACGATGGTATACAACCTTCTCCTTTATTAAACCCCGAATTTTCTTCTCACTAAAAATTGACAGGTTTTACTCATTCCACTTTCAGCACTCTCAGTCGTCTGTATGTTTCTCTTTGCAGCTGGTTAAATCCAACTTCACGCGACTAACCGTTCTGTATAGTGGCAAATTCAGGTTTAGGAAAGGATATTTGGACCCTTCCTTTCGACAACATCACCCATATTCTTTATGTGAGTACCCTAAAGCCCGAAATTCATGCCCTTCCCAAGGCGAGCCTGTCTAATTGTACCAGGTCTATTTTTGGGATGAATTGCTCTATCTAAGTATTCTCCCGCTCACCAAAATATCAATATGTTGTTTCTATCTTCGTATCTTCCCTGATCGGACGTTTCGGATAGCAAATTACGTGGCAATTGCATTAAACATCTCCTACTGGATTGCTTTTGTCTTAATTTCGGTGTTTCAGTGTCGACCTCTACCGGGAGCGTGGCACCGCTGGTATGGAGAGGAAAATTATAAGTGCAATCATATCAACGCACAGGGCTGGGCAGCGGCAGTGCTCAACATGGTCCTTGATATAATTGTCATGGTGCTTCCATTGCGCCAGCTATACCGTTTAAACCTTTCCGTGAGACGGAAAGCATTCGCGATGTGCATGTTCAGCCTGGGTATATTGTGCGTTGCCTATTCCAGCCTCTCCCACAAGGTCAGTAACTAATTTATGAGCTTAGTGTCACCCTTGTCAGCATCCTGCGACTTAATTCACTCATTCACTTTGCCTCTACCACTAACCTAACATGTGAGTATTTCTGCCCTTCTCTTTCCTCTTTTGATATGTGCAATTTCATTAACATCTTTAAGGGGACTACGTGACTGTTGGGTATTGGAGTACTATTGAATGCGATGTTGGCGTTATCTGTGCGTGTCTGCCTGCCATTCGATCCCTACTACGTCGTGTAGCCCCTGGACTCTTTGGCGATACTGAGAAAGCCAAATCATCATACGCTATGAACTCTCATTCTCGTGGGACTGGATCTCAATTCGCGGCCGTCCCCGTCCAGGGCAATAGTTATGATCGGCAATTTTACCCACTTGATGAGGTGGACACCTCTGATGAAGCTCGGATACATCACCCACACCCGGTATAGTTAAGGGTGAAAACGGGGTGTCTTTACGTGGAGAAATGTCTTTCATTTTCTTCATTTCATTTGTATCTTTGTGTTTTTTATTATTTATTTATTTGTGGTTATTAGATTATCGGATCTCACAAAGACGATAAAGTTCCTCCCCAATATACTCCGTATATATTTTCAGATGTGTATCCAACATAATCAATAAACGCATGATAAACCCCTGTTATTCACAAGATCACTTCATACTTCCCTTTCATCCCATATAATATAAGAAGATATTTTAGCAGGGGGTACTCCGTAGTGCAATCAGAGAAAGCAAAGCAAGCCAACATCGCTACATCCCCAGTTCTAGGCCAAAAATAAGGGGCTTTAGCTTTCAGGCACGGAGTAAATCTTTACATACCTTTTTAGCCGAAGTGTGGAGCAACTCCGGTGGCTGGCTATTAGGTCTCACATCCAGTACAGCATACGGATATCAAGTCCTAATCCATTTAGTTTGCCCGGTAACGTGGCTTAGGAGCATGTACTCCGTACTCCGTACGCCCCTCGAGACAGTAAACTGGGGGCGTAGCTGCACCGACCCAAAGAAGACTAGCTTCACCGTTAAATTGGTGGCTGTTTGGAAATCTGCATGATCGGCATGTCAGACGGCATAGAGAAGACGCTAGGAGGTCGGCACGAGTGCCCAGGATTTAGAACATATTGATTGGCTAGCCAGTCCCACAAGCCAAAAGTATCAACGTCTATCTCTAATTCGCCAAGACGCCGCTGCGTTCAGACCTAGTAAAATACAAGCCAGAGCCATTCCTATGTACGGAGTACAGAATAGTATGTTACTAGGGCTGCATTGGCGTCGTGTGGCGGGATGGACATCCATGCATGATACAGGCTAATTTGGAAAGTGGAAGCTTGTGTCGATCACCCTCAGAAGGAAAATGAAGGATTATACTCAGTAGCACGGTCAAAAATCTTTATGGGTGCTCATCGTGCTTTTGCTTCTACGGTGGTCTTATAATAGACCCAGGAGAAGGGGGCTGTGGCCATTCATATATCCCAATTCGCTCGTTGCTTTGTTTGCTGTTTGCCTGGAGTTTTCTTTTGAATTTTCTTTTCTCTTTCGTCATGCGTCTTTCTGCAGTAGCTGGGCTACTATCCACCCTTTCAGTTGTCTTGGCTTCGTATGCGCACCTTCGATCTCTCCTTAGACCTTTGGACACAAAAAGCTAACGCTATAATTCAGTGATCATAGACCAGATCGGCGATATCATGATGCGCACAAGCGGTCTTCGGAGAACCAAAATTCCACCATAGAGTATGATTATGTCGTTGTGGGCTCTGGTGCTGGAGGTGGCCCTGTAGCGGCACGATTGGCGATTGCGGGATATAAGGTGCTTCTTTTAGAAGCAGGAGATGACCAGGGAAATGCTACCCAGCAAATTGTCCCCGCTCTGCAGCTCCAGTCGACCGAATATGAGCCGATGAGATGGGATTATTTCGTGAACCACTACTCGAACTTGACTCGTCAGGAAGAAGATACCAAGATGACATACCGGACACCTGCCGGTGACCTCCATGTTGGAAGCAATGCGCCCAATGGCTCCGAACCCTTGGGGATCTTATACCCTCGAGCAGGTACTTTGGGTGGATGCTCTGCTCACAATGCCATGATGTGAGACATATATTCTCCCCGGTGTCTGTCATATGTGAGTATCATATGCTGATTAGTATGTTGATAGCACTATCTACCCGTACGAGAAGGACTGGGAGCAACTGGCCAGTCTCACTGGCAATGATTCATGGTCTGCCTCAAACATGCGACAATACTTTAAGAGACTAGAGCGCAATCGATATCTGCCCAGTAGCGTGCTAGGCCATGGATTTGATGGATGGCTTACAACGAGTCTTACAGACTTGCGTCTCGTCATTGAAGACCAAAAACTTCTTTCTTTGATCTTGGCCGGCGCAACTGCCGCGGGTCAATCACTATTGGGTAAACTTATCACCACGGTCACGGGCCTTGCCGGAATTCTGCTACGTGATCTGAACAACCCCCTCCCTTCGCGCGACTACGAGGAGGGTCCATACCAGGTTCCTCTCGCCGTGGATGTCCCTGAGTACAAGCGGACAGGCCCTCGAGAATTCCTCATGAAGACAGTCAACGCCGTGAACTCGGATGGTTCGCGGAAATATCACCTTGATATCCAGCTAAACACCCTAGTAACAAAGCTCCGGTTCGATACCACCGGATCAAAGCCACGGGCTACCGGTGTCGACTATCTTCGAGGACAGAGTCTCTACCGTGCTGACCCCCGGGCTTCCCAAACATCGTCTAATGGGACACCAGGTAGCGTGAGTGCTGCTCGCGAAGTGATCCTGTCTGCAGGCTCGTTCAACACCCCCCAGCTGCTGAAGCTGAGTGGCATTGGCCCAAAGGAGGAGCTGTCCAAACTTGGAATTTCAACACTGGTAGATCTCCCTGGCGTGGGTCGTAATCTTCAGGACCGGTACGAGGTGGGCACAGTGGGCAAGTCACCTACCGATTTCGTCCTCACATCCAAGTGTACCTTTTTGTATACTCTTCCCGATCCCTGCCTGGAACAGTATGAGAATGATCCCCTCTTCAAAGGCACCTATACTACCAATGGAATCGCAATCGCCATTATTCGAAAGTCGTCTGTCGCAGAGGATGAGCCCGACCTATTGATTTCTGGAGCACCCGTCAACTTCCCCGGGTATTACCCTAACTACTCATACGAAGGTCTCAAAGATGCTCAGCACTGGACCTGGATCACGTTGAAATCTCGCTCCCGCAACAATGCTGGCACAGTTGAACTGCGATCAACTGACCCGCGTGATATGCCCCTTATCAACTTCAACTCGTTCGATGCCGGAGTGACCACGGATGGTGCAGCTGATAAGGACCTGCAGGCTGTTTATGAAGCAATGCAGTTCTCCCGCACAATTTTTGATGACCTTGTTCCCCTCGATGGTGGGTTTGAAGAGGTCTGGCCGGGACCTAATGTCACTACCGAGAATGAAATGAAAAACTTCATTAAGCAAGAGGCGTGGGGCCACCATGCATGCTGCACTGCTGCTATTGGAGAAGATGGGGATCCTCAGGCTGTGCTGGATGCTGACTTCCGTGTTCGTGGGGTTGATGGGCTGCGTGTTGTGGATGCTTCGGTCTTTCCCAAGATCCCGGGGTACTATATCGCCCTGCCTATTTATATGATTAGCGAGAAAGCTGCCGAGGTTATCATTGCCGATGCTGTATAACACTGGTGCTGGTACCTTGTTTACAAACTTAATGTCTTTTTTTCGTTATCAGTGACTGTGATCACGTTCTATTCTTGTATAAGTTCTTCGATTAAACAGCCTTAATTAGTTCCTAAAGTTGTTCAGGGCTCAAATCTCTATGCAAATCATGACTATCAAGAATTGTGTGTTTCTGATTTTAAGCTTAAAATTCAACCGACTTGTATAGGCGACCCAACAAGTGACTATTTTTTGAACGCAAGGCCATCTACTATAATAGGGATCTAAGATATTATAATGACAAAGTGATGATTTATATCTCTAAAAGCGACCCCAATTAAATATAACATCACTGGGTGCAAATTACTATCAACCACTCAATCAAATAATAGCTCATGCAGCCGTAGCAAAGGCAATAGGCGCAGCAATAACAGGCTCAATCTCAAATCGCATCTGCGGCGCAGTCGAATTACACCAAGTGACAATCCGAGTGATCTTCATGGTACCCCTAGGGAATGAAGAAAGAATAAGACAAGCCACAGATTTACCCAACTTAGTTCCGAGGAGTTCTTGATACTCAGCACTACCATGTTCAAATACCATACACCCAACTTTGCTTGACTGTGACCAGGTAGCACCAAATCTGGGATAGAGTTCATGGCGTATATATGGAGCTGTTTCTTCATTGCTGATATCGGTAAAGATAACATGCCTGAGAGTTTTCAAGTTAAAATCAAGCAAGTATTGAGCCCGAGCAACTTCATTCCAATGAGGACCGTCTTCCCTAAAAATTCTCTCCGCAACAAGAACACCCCGAGCAATCCGGTGTTCAAATTCGTTAGCTGCGAGCGCGTTGGGCCCCGGATCCCGTCGGAGGTGTGTGTAACGGTATCGCGGACCACCGCGAGCAATATTCATCGATTCGACATCGCCGCCTTCTAATGCCATAGGCTCGACTGTGAAGCACGATTCATCGATTTTCCAAGGCATTGGTTGAGCTTCGTTAATCATCTCTTCTATAGTTAATGTTGCTCGTTGAATTCGGCACCCTGGCGCTTCCGGGTTGTCGATCCATGCTTGATATCGTGCTCCTATATTTCGATACCTGGTGACGTCCTTCACGGTCGGTTCGATGCCGGTTCTCACTCTCCCGCTTGCGGTGTCAGATGAGCCTTCAAGACGCTGGCGCTTGCTTCTGCCACTACTGCCCCTCGATCCATAAAGACCCTTGTGTTCGGCATCGGCTCGAGCTTGGCTATCTAGCGAACGTCGACGTCTCCTGTCACTAGAATTTGTCGGCCATGATTGGCTCAAATGGTCGGATGTTTCGGGCTCTCCCAGATCATCGTGCATTTCTTCATCGTCGTATTGGTTCAAATCAAGGCTGTCTTCATCAGCTCCATTATAGTCATCTTCATCGGTATTGTATTCACCGGCACTCACGAACAGAGAGCTTTCTCCTGATTCTGGGAAGGATTTATATTGGGACTCACCGATGCTGGCATCACTCATCTCAGGAGTAATACCTGTGCGTGAATTTCTTGTTGCGAGGGAATGAAGGTCACCACTAGATGAAGCGTCTTTGGGATCAGTATTACTTACCTCGTGTGTGCGAGTATTTCTTGATGGGCGAGAATATGGGTCATTAGAGGAAGAGTCATCATCGAGATTTGTCTCACTCATCGCGGGTGTTATTCCCGTGTGAGAAACCTCATTATATAGGGGAACCTCACTGGGTGGGGGAGCTGGAGGATAATAATCATCGCTGCTATCCTCATCTTCGCTGCCGTCTTCATATTCACTGCTGGCTTGGGGCTGGTTAGCTGGAGCTGCGCCTCTGACCACATTCTTAGGAAGTGATTGGCGTAGGGCACGCTTTGGTGCTATTTCCCGTGGGCGGTTGGGTTGAGCTCCGGAAGAGTCACTGTCGGAGTCGCAATCGCACCGGCGTCTTGGGAAACACATCAGCGAGTGACGGATCCTCCTCAACATCGTGGCGGTGGTTTTGGTAATTCAAAGAATTGAGTTCGATATAATCGAGTTCCTTATTGTTGGAAAATGGGCTTGGAATGAAACTATGAGACATGCAGAGGGGGATTATATAGGTAACCAGAGAAATTTGAATGGGCTTTGTTGAAGTTATTGTTAGTTCGTTTTGATCAAATACAAAGTTCACCAGAAATAGGGCCAAAGAATATAAACAAAGAATAAACAATCAACAATACCCTGAGCACGTGAGTGAGAGATACAAGCATAGCCTTGAGAGACAAAGAAACTCGAAGTAGAGCTGGTAAGGTTGAGAAAACAATGAGAACGCGAGCATATCAATGGCAATGACATGGTATATCAACTTAAAGATAGTAACCCTGAAACCCAGCGGGGTTGCAGGAATAGAAGACAAAGAAGTTGACTTGAGGTTCCTGAAAGTTGTCAACACCATACATTGAATAAGATGTATAACCTCTGCTATTCATATCATGCTATCATAGTGAAAGAGGCAACTGTGTTAGATCCCCCGAATCGGGGCAATATTGAAGTGACTTTTGGGAGTTCAGTGGGAAGTTCTTAGGAGAGATTATCCTACTTCAGAGAGCTACTGGGACTTGGTTAGGGGGTGTACGACACCTCAAGGGAATATGATAAAAGTAATAGAAATTTAATTCTTGATGGGCTCATTTTAATGGCCATATTTTTGGATTGTACTTGAAAGCAACCCATTCAATCATGATCGTCAGACATATTATATACAGTTGGCAACGTCTTAACAAATTTAATCTATAATTTAAGCATCCTCCTTCTGCTCGACCTCACCCTTCTCTTCGGTCCGCATCCACACGTCCACCTCGGCAGCCTCACCTTGAGGCAGGTGACGAGCCATGGAGACAATATCCCACGGGGTCTGGGCATCGCGGAAGACATGATTCAGAGCCTCCAGGTTGCGGTTCATGGTCTCGGGGAAGAAGAAGTAAACCGAGACAGGAATGCAGGCAGAAATAACAGCGTATACAATGTAGTACTTGTATCCGATGGTGTCAAGCGCGACGGGAGTGATCATGACAACCACGAAGTTCCACAGCCAGTGGTTAGCAGTCGAGACAGCGGACATGGCGACACGGAGACGCATAGGGGCGACCTCGGTACAGTAGAGGAAGTTACCGCCGAGGAAGCCGACAGGGTAGAACGAATTGAAAAGGAAGATGAAGACGGCCGAAACAATCGACGCATTTTTGTTGTCCTTGAAGCTGTTGGTGATGGCAAGGACAGTCATGCAGACAGACATACCAGTACCGCTGATAATGAAGATCTTTCGGCGGCCGAGTCGGTCGATGGCGAAGAAGGAAATGAAGCTGCAAAGGAACTTCCAGGTCATGGCGCATGAAGACAGGATGCGAGCCAGGTCGCTGTCCATGTTCAGGTTCTCTTGGAAGATTGTTGACACGTATGTCGAGATCAGGTTGCCACCACACATCTGCTGGAAGAATTGCAGTCCGATACACAGACAGAACCGGTATAGAAGGCGCTCATCGTCGGGTTTGCTAAAGCTGAAGATATCCAAGAGGGAGGTGCTGCTGACCGTACTCTCGAGTGAGGTCTCGATACCAGCGATCTCCATACGCACGGCCTCATCATCATCAGACAGACCTTTGTAAGCAGCGAGACTGCTGGTAGCCTCTTCAATGCGGCCAACTCGCACGAGCCATCGAGGAGACTCGGGGAGCAAAAAGACTGAAAAGACGACAATGACGGAGAAGAACAAGGAAATGGCCAGGGGAACACGCCACTGCAATGAGCCGGAGACTTTGCTCAAGCCAAAGTCAATCCAGTTACATAGAACGTAACCCAAACAGATACAGATACCATCCACGACAACGTGTTGTCCACGATGTTTGGCTGATGTGCACTCGGACTGCCAGACGGGAACGGCAACACTCAATTGACCGACACCGAGACCGAGAATGATACGGCCGATGACGAATTGCGGCAACCCATAAGCCGCAGTCTGCAGCACCTGACCAATGATGGTAAGGATAGCACCCAAGAAGATGGTCTTGCGGCGACCGAGGCGGTCACCTAGGAATGTACATGACAGGGCTCCGAGTAGAGCACCGAGCTGGAAGGATCCGATGACAGTACCCTTGCTTGTGTTGTTTTGTGCACGCTGGGCACCCGTTGTGTTGATTGTGTCGATTTCAGGGAATACATTGGACCAACTCTGCAATGTAGCCAGAGGGCCCAAGCCAGACTGGTTGTAACCGAAAACGATGAAGGCCGGTGCTACAATGAGCAATGCCTGCGCTACGCTCAGCGCTTTTCCTCGGAATAACGTGGGCATATTGGAATGTGTGTAGGAAAAGTCACTCTGAGGGATGAGAGAAACAGAGAGAAGAGGGCGGCCGGTCTCTCCATAGGTTTATACCCTCCCTCGGTCTACCATCCTCGTGGAGACCCCGCATCAGAAAAATTAATACAGTACGGAGTAATCAGTACATAGGTACGGAGTACATGTTCTGTACCTGTGGAATGGAGAATTCCACAGTGGATAGCATTTATCCACCAAGGTGCCACTTTTTAGTCAAATTTCGACAAATGTCCGACTGTGACTCGATCACGTCGCCGACTCCACGGGGTAGTTTTGGTCCCGGTGTGCAAAGATCCCGCCCCTTCGCCACTCCCGAGTCAAAAACCGCTTTGATCCATGGACTTAGGGCCGAACATGGGAGTTAAGTGGTGGGATGATCTGGTTGGAAGAGAATGCCGAATATCGGAGCCAGACGGATTTCCAACAAGATCATCCCTCAATAACACACATGGACTGGGGAAGGCGAAGAACTGCTTGGGGTAATTCATCTCCCGACAGATGCAGGCATGAAAATTTCCCGGTTTTCGGTTTAGTTTTCGGTTTAGTTTACGCCGGTGTGGCCACTTATTGGCTGACTCGGGCCGGCCTCGGCATTGATTGGTCAAGAAAAAGGCTTGAGCTACTTCGTACAGCCCCCAAAGGCTTGACCACTAGCGCCAAGATATATCATTTAACCTGGGGTGCCGAGGGGAAATGCAAAGGCACCCCACCATCTCGGTCACTCTCCGGATTTGCCCGTATTGTCATACACTGTTTCTTACAGATCGTGGGGGATGTGTGTCAAATACGAAAAAGAAAAGGATGTCTCATTCACGTCAGGCGAGCCACCTACGTTGTCCATTACGATAGTGTTGTGTATACAGCATTGTATCGCATTCTTTCCTAGTGGATACCTTCCCGCATTCTCCGAGAGATTTCCGAGGAGAATTATTGAGACTATGTTGTAAAGACTCGGTCAAGGTGATCCCTTCACACCGTGGACGTATTCGGCTCACCTGCAGTCAGAGATTTCAACTTTATTTGCGGGGTCTAGCGGATGTCTATGATAAGGTAGAAGAGCTGACCAATAACCAAATGGGTGAATGGAGCAAAGGTCAGCGGTTTTTGTAACGGCCAAATTGAAAGAACCTGCTCCTCCTCCCATCTACACCGGATACATATGTAGCTTGGAGCCTCGCCCTAACCTACATTGAGGAATATTCTCGGCATTTCTGTCCCGCCGTGTACTGACACATTTTTAACCTGCAGCATTTATCCCTTCCAAGCCTTGATCAGGCCAGACGATAGGCCCCCATCCGATCCATCCGGGGTCACATAACAGAATTTTATTCACACATGATGACAATATAAAAACTTATGCGGTTAGCCACGGAATACAATTTCCGTCTGAGACTCCCCGATCTCGGGAATCCTGAGCTCTGAAGGATTCATACTAGAATTACTCCGTAGTAATATTTGAATTAGCTAAATTAAGCGCATCATGTCCATGTGCCTTCTGTGTGCGTGATCCAGTTTCCCGTCCCCTCTTATGGAGTACGACTTTTGAGGTTCGACCTCCCTCTCTCAATTCAATATGTTTCCATTTCGCTTCAAGCTCAAATGTACCATTTTATCTTCATGTCTCGACTCATCTGTGATCGAAATCCTAAACAATATCACCTGCTACAAGCCCTCGTGCCTTCTATGGAAGATACAGTTGCGAAGGGCAAAAGCCAGTAAGTATTATTATCCCGGGCCCCCTTAATGATGGTCTCTGCCAAGGCAAATATATGAAGTACGTAAATTTAGATCTAGAGCAGTTGCTCTGGGTAATACTATGGCTATTTTAATTTCTATTTAGATTATGCACTCCATAATGGCTTTGCATAATATACGACATATGGATTCTTGATAAGCACAGAAACCCAAGGTTGGTGGCAACTCCGAGACTCAAAATCCACAGCCTTGGAAGGCTAGAAGTCACACAGGTTCAAACTCTAATATAAACTTTGATCTACTTTATTCTCCTGTCGTCGGCAATGATTAGTGGAATAGGGGAATAGTCGAATAGCTCTAGGGATTATGGAGCATATTGATAGTAGTTTCCACACCCATATTATTACATAGAAACAATTACTCAACCAAAAATCCATTCCTAAAATAATTAGGCAATCTACCTTTAAAGATATTTTTTTTTAAAAAAAAAATGAGCTCGTCAGCTGATCCGTACTCCATACAAGATTTGACTGTGTACACGAATGTAACAGCTAGTAGACGCCCGGTCGCCTTGACCAAGATCTTGGAAGCTGACATCTTAGAATTAATTGCCCAATTGTGCGAGGCTGGGTGGATCCTGAGATTTGAGGCTCACCGGACAACCTTCCTCTCGATTTTATCTCCGGCGTTTATAACGATGCTGACTGGGATTAATATTTCATTATTATCGAGATTTATTTGGTCACTTGGGGCTGGAAATTCTTGACAAGTACCTTACCTAGCCAGCTTGGCCATATCGATATCTACTTCGGCTATCGCATAATTAGCCGTACCTAGCTCTTATATAGATATTAAATCGACGGCATCATCGACTGCATCTGAACAATTATAAGCTAAACGCTGCTGTGCCCACTGTCGGCCTTGACCGCCTACTATATCTCCACTATCATAGCCTCATGCCCAGGTGTGCCTAGACTATGACTAAAGGGTCGTAGGGTTCCCTCTAGATGCTAGAAAACTAAATCTAGGCTCATAACCAATTACAGATTGATATCCCAATATAGTATTCGAATTTAGATTCAATTTGTACAAACGGGGAGGTATGATTTCATTTTCACGCGATAAAGTAAGCAGAATAAAAGGCGGTCGGGAATCAGCGAATTGTAGTTTGTCTGCACTGCCGAATGACCTCACCTTGACAATAAATTGCCAGCTCCCTACCACCCGCACTCACGTTGTCGCAATCATAATGGACACGCAAGAAGATGTTGTGCCAACCGAGTCCCTGTTTCGCCCAGCAAAAAAGCGCAAATTCATGCGACGACGTCCCGATCATGAGACCCTAGACACCGAAGAGGCCGATAACCAAAATGACAATTCTGGCGCGTCACAAGCTCCGGGGAGCAGTAATCTTCGGCGTCCACGCGCAGTTAGAAAGGGCGGCATTGGGTTTTCTACCACATCACGACTAGGAGATGACCAGGGCCAGCAAGTAGCGCTAGTACCAGTAGCCGGAGAAACTGAGGATGAGAAGATACGAGCAATGAATGAACGTTTCACGGGATATACTGGTCAGACAGTGGATGTTGACAAGCACATGTACGAATCCTTTCCTAAAGCTGATCGTCCCGTTCGTTTGATGTGGACTAACGAGATAAGGATGGCATTCATAGATTCCGAGATGGCTAAGCGCTACCAGCCTGAATCAAAAGCGGACCATTCAGGTTCCAACCAACCAACCCAAGAGGAGGTCGCTGGGGGGCCGTCGCTACCTGGACACCAGACACGCGAACCTGCATCGCTAGGCAAACTCCATGAAATTGACCTCGGCCAAGAAGCCACATTGCGAAACATTGCGCGGACAGAAGCTGCGACTCGACAAATGGAGAAGGGAGAACTGCCGACATCAGTGGATCATGCTGCTTCAGAGACGGGTCGTCCTGGGCCAGACGGCAAGTCATGGCGCAACCGCAAACAGAGGACAGATGCAGACATCGCAAGAGATCGTCTTGTGGAGGAAGTACTACGTGAGAGTAAATGTACGTGGTATTCAAAATCGAAATCTTACAGGATCATATTATTTGCTAACACTGGCTGTCATAGTGGAAATTTATGATGAACATGAGGAGGAAACACAGCTTGATGACCAACAGGCTGCTGATGACCGAGTTGCTGAGCAATTCAGACGAGACTTTATGGATGCGATGCAGTCTCGACGTCGGACTCGGCCTGCAGCAAAACCGGTGGCCAATGTCGAAGCGCCCCGGGGTCCGAAGCTTGGAGGCAGTCGCAGTGCAAGAGCTGCAATGCGAGAAAAAGAAGCACAGGCGGGAAAGAAATGATGATTATTCTCATTCAAACTGGCTGGTTTTCCTTTATATACTTGATCCTCTGCGACATCTTTTTTTACTCGATATGCATACGATACCATAATGACTTTGCGCCAATGCTCTTTCTGACCTCCTTTTCAACGGGCTGCCGACAAATCACACTGCTTTTAACCACGGGTGATATGCGATTTGGGGCCAATTATAAATATGCTTATCGCTCTAAATACAAAGGAGGAAACCATTTTAGTATTATCTCAGGCACAAGGGTTACAGTATCATCTCGAGTCAACTGGATATTTAGCTCACTAAAAATTTAACGTTATCGAGCACCAAGGTCGTCTTACTGGCTAACTATTTTCGATATATATATCCGGAGACATACTATATGGTTAGTGCAGATACTCCAATGGTTGAATGTTACATATGTTTACCCAAACATTATAGTGCCATACAACGGCACTGAGATGCAAAAAACAAGCCTGAGAAAAAAAGGGCAAAGAAAATGATATTTTGTTTGTTAGGTACATCTTGTCAATACATCCTTTTAGCTTCTCAGGTCGTTTTGGATTATAAGTAGGCCACCTCACCAATTTATGTCATATGAAACAAGCCCATTCCTTGAAATACTCGACATATCTCCAGCATTGAAATCTCAACAGGATGTGGACTCAACAAAGGTCATATATAATGTCCTAACTATAACCTTGGAAACCCTGACCCGATTAGTCATCATAGCTGTTAGGAATGACTAAGCCTGATCTGGGACTGCCCGTTTGGGTTCCAATGCCAAAGCTACACCCGCACCAAAAAGACCCGCCCTTCTCCTGCCTCCAACCAGCCACTCTGATTGTCCGTCCGATACGCATGGTCACGTCTTGATTTGTCTTCAGGCGACTTAATTCAAAACATCCACATGATCCTTGTGACAGCTACGACCCCCTTCCTAGATACACCCGCACGACTTTCGCGATGAACCCTTCCAACCCACCTCAAGCTGCCGAGTACGGTGGAGGTATGTGACCCCAGATATGCCATTCCAATTGCGCCTACCGCTGCGATCCCAAAGAACGTTTGGCTGCTATTCATCGCGAAACATACTAATTATCGCATGACTATAGATGAGGTGTCAGCTATTGTCCTAGACCCGGGATACTCAACCACTCGCGCGGGCTTTGCCGGTGAAGATGCTCCCAAGTCACTGATCCCAACCTACTATGGAAAATACAACGCCGACGGCCAAGAGAAGTTCGTATTTGGCGACGACGTATTCGTGACCCCACGGCCCGGTCTGTCCATCCACAACCCGATCGGCAAGGATGGAATCGTTGAGGATTGGGATATGGCAGAGAGGGTGTGGGAGCACTCATTCATGTCGCGACTCACGGGCACCAAAGCGGGCAATCCCTTCCAGAATGGATTAAACGATGTTTCCGCAGACGAGCTCCCTACGGAAATGGAGGTGGAATCTGAGGAGAAGCCTTTATCGGACAGCCCATTGTTGATGACAGAGCCTGGATGGAACCCAGCGAAGGCACGCGAAAAGACCATTGAAATCGCAATGGAGAAATGGGATACCCCGGCCTTTTATCTCGCGCGCAGTGGTGTTCTTGCTGCGTACGTATCCCAGGCCCACTGACTATGGTATTTCTATCATTTGCTGATCCGATTTTACGCGCAGTTTCGCTTCTGGCAAGGCCTCCGCCCTTGTGATTGACATTGGAGCTTCCAACATCTCTGTCACCCCGATCCACGATGGCATGATCTTGAAACGGGGCGTGCAGCATTCTCCGTTGGGCGGTGATTACATCTCGTCGCAGATTAAGGCAATCTTCAAGGCCAACTCCCCACAACCCATCACAATCACGCCGCATTACCTTATCAGCTCGAAGTCGGCTGTCGAAGCTGGCCAACAGCCCCAAGCTAACTACAAGACTTTCCCCGCTGACAAGGCACCTGATGCGTCGTACCGTGCTCTTCTTGAGGAGCGCACCCTGTCCGAGTTCAAGGAATGTGTCGTCCAAGTTTGGCCCGGGCCTACAAGGCTTTCAGCCCCCAGCCCCACGGGCGTCCCCAACGAAGATATGGCTCGAACTACCCCCGGTCGCCCATTCGAGTTCCCCGATGGATACAACCAAGTCTTCGGCGTGGATCGTTTCCGCGCGGTGGAATCCCTGTTCGATGCTAAGGCTGCCATTCCAGACCCCGAATCTGCCTACCCTCCCCCGACACCCGCCCAGACTATCCCAGAACTTGTCAAGGCTTCTTTGGCCGGTGTTGACGTCGACCTCCGCCCCCACCTGCTGGCTAATGTCGTTGTAACTGGTGGATCCAGCTTGCTTTATGGCTTCACTGATCGTCTGAATCACGAGCTGATGCAGATGTTCCCTGGCCCCAGGGTGCGTGTCACTGCCCCCGGTAACACCTCTGAGCGCCGCTTCGGCTCCTGGATTGGAGGAAGTATCCTGGCCAGTTTGGGAACTTTCCACCAGATGTGGATCTCCAAGAAGGAGTATGAGGAGCATGGGCCAAACATTGTGGAGAAGCGTTGCAAATGATTTATATCCTCGCATTTCACTCCTGTTGGTTTTTGTTTTTGATGTTTACAGGCGTTACTGCGCTATCTTGGGCGCTTGAAAGGGGGTTTTGAGCAACTCCGGATCTGGCCTGTCTGCAAGGAAGGACCTACAAAACTGATCTAGATATTTTGTGTACGACTAATGCCACTTGATTTGATTTGTCTGAGAATAATATGCAAGACATGAAGGTGCACCGCAGTGTAGATCAACTAGTTATGTAAAGACATACATATATTAAGTAGTGGAGAGTAATGACATCCCATCGATTTGAAATGACCTTGTTTTCCCGGCTTTCATAGAATTATCAGATGTGTTGAATGTGAGATGTCTATTGGCGGGGGATGCTTATTCTTCTGCATCGATGCGTTGGCAGCCAACACATCAGTGCCGGGGTGGTCCGTGTCTCAATTATTTATGTTGGCCCTGCCCAGGTGGACTCTCAGTTAAGTTCTTCCCCCATGAGCATTGCCAAATTACTCTAATACATCAATTCAGGAAAGCGACCAGGAAAAAAACGATAAAGAAAAAGAACGGGGATCAAACGAAGCACACATGACCATTAACATACATCGTCATCATCATGAATTCTCAAATTCATGAGCACAAGAAAAAAAAAACAGGACTACATCGTCAACATCGTTACATCCGAGGCTGCGGGCCAAACACGCTAGAGTCTACAGGATATGAAAACAATCAAAATGCGAGACAGTCAAGGGTATGAAAATGAAAACGAAAGGGATATCGGGAGTCGAGGTCAAAGGTCAAAGCTGGCATACACACAAGGGACAGTATCCTCACCGGTTAGCTCGGGCAATGAGCCAGTGCAGGACAGCGTCAAGATTGGTTTCCTCCTTGGCGCTGATACCATAGCAGCTTACTTCGCGGTGGGTGATGGATTTCAGATCCATCGCTTCGATGATCTCATCGACAGACAGTTTGTCTGGAAGATCAGACTTGTTCCCGAGAACCAGGAGTGGGATGCTATCCAACGTGGGCTTTTTCATCAGGTCGTGAAGTTCTTCTGTTGCTACTGGGAGTGCAGCGCGGTCTGCTGCATCCACGATATACCTTTATTGACTTTGGTTAGTATGCCGGGAATGAAAGAGAGGACCCAAGAAATGAGGAAATAAGCAAGCCTTACACGATCGCGTTGACACCCCGACAATACCGTTCCCACATCGGCCGAAATCGAGGTTGGCCGCCCAGATCCCAGCTGCGGGGATAATATTAGCGCCGCTGTGCTTGATCGGGAAGGATGAACATACCATTTCAATGTCACATGGCCTTTCTGCACTCTTTTGGTGTTGAATCCGATTGTCGGGATGGAGCTATACGGAAGAGATTAGAACATGGCTGGGATGAGATGATCTCTCACATGTGAGACCATTTACAACTTACTCAATAGTGAACTCTCCACCCTACTCCATGTCGTCAGCAACCGGGGCCCCAAAAGAACTTATCAGATCGACTTACCGCCAACACACGCAGCAGAGAAGACTTGCCGGCATTCTGAAGACCGATCATGGTGACATCCATCTCGCTGGCCCTATATGGAGTTCAGCAGGGCTTCATCTGCGGGGACGGGCCGTGGTCTCCCGAGAACTGCATCTATCAAACGGCCCACTTACCAGAACATCCTCAGAAGCCAGTCATAGATAGCACGGAATATGCCGGCCATGACGAAGGGAGGGGAATATAAAAATGAAACCGGAAAAAAAAGAGAAAAGAGGAAAGAGACCGTATAGTTGAAATAGAACTTAAAAAATAAAGAAAGCCAGCCAGGGAAATTAAGAGCTGAGAAGTTGGCTTGTGTGTGGAAAAAGCTCAGGATGACAAAAGCCAGAGAGTGGGGTCAACCTTGTAACTGCGCAACAGGTTGATATTGTTGATATTGTTGATATTGTTGATGTTGTTGATTTCTTGATTTGATGAAGAGATAAAAGGCAAGGGAAAGGAAAAAAAAAGAAAGGAAAATCAAAGGAAAATCAAAGATCGTCACACCGTAACAAGAAATCAACCCAGAAGCAACAATTTAAATGGCCTATTAGAGAGCAAGGTATTTTAAGGGGATAACCGCCGACAGATGTCAATAGAAAAGGATATTGGATCTACAATTTTCCATGGAGAATTGACCGATCTACCCTACACACACATGACCCGAGGGCGCTTAGGCTCCATTGGCCTCAGAATGGAGGGGGGTGAACAGCGTTGTGCAGCATATCCAGCCCGTGTGGCGTAGTTACAAAAGTTTCCCCATTTCTAGTCGTTGGTGTTGCAAGTTTAATCAATCTAGAGTTTACTAGGATTAGGGGTTCAAGAGCATGTCAGGAACTTGCAGTTGAACTAGAGTTTCAGTAGGGACATGAACGGGATGAACGGCAACCTCTGAACGTCGATGAACCTCATTTGGGCGCCTCAGGCCATAATGCATATCAC